ATACCACATTCCCAAAACTAAAACAACAGTAGCAACAAAATAACCACATCTGAAAAAAGATCAGACCTGATGGATCAGGGTTCTTTGATTTTGTGTCTGATCTACAACTTAAGCTGATAAATCTCTTTTTCTCTCGACAAAATGGAGGAGCAGATCGGCTTCTTTTTGACCTTTGTTTACCAACATTATTCTGTGTGCCATCCCTATAACTGAACTTGTCCTTTCTGATACTATATTGTTCAATACCAACATCATCTGCATGCTCCCACGAAGACTTGCAAAAAATTTCATCTGACTTAATGCTGTTCTGAATATCTGTGAACGAATCTGCACCGGTTTTCCAGCAATCCATTTCAGGTATGACCTTGTGATCAAAATTGATGTTGTTAGCTGCACTGAAACAAAATTCAGGGTCAGGCATCCTTCCCAGCCTCAAACTCCGTTCAAGAATTCGACAACCTTTCTGGTAATCAGACTCCCACTTGGTCGCAGAAGGTGTGGAGAACATTGGAGACCACTCAGAACTCAAAAAGAAACTACCAGTAACAGAGTTCCCCACATTGACATAAGAAAGATACTTTTCTCTGCCAACTTTGTCTTCATAAGAACCAAATTCCGCAGTACCTATGGGGATAATGTTAGAATCTTTTCCAATTCCAACACTTCCCATATCTGAGGAACGCTGTGGAGTAAACCAATCAGTATCCTGCCATGAACTCCCTAGGGAACAATTAGGAGTCCTATCAGAGAAAACATCACAGTAAGAACCACCTTCTCTGGTCTCTAGGACCCGCGGACTACTTTGTTTTTCATTAAGTATCATAGGCATGACGGATTCAGACCCTTCACCATGAGATAGTTTAGGCTCATGAAGGGTTAGGCTTACTCTTGAAGAGCAACCACGCAAGAGATGCTTTCCAATGCAATTGCTGACATCCAACTCATCTTTCACTCCTTGAAACTGAAAATTTAATACGTCTGAATCTTTCATAAAATCATGGTTGATATTGAGAGGAGTTGTAATCTGACATCTTGTTAGAAACTGTTTGCGGCACTTAGAGTCAGTAACCACGCTTGTTTCCAGGAGGTCAGTAACTTGTGGGAAGTCTTCATTCGTTTGCATTTCTATGTCACGTGACTGTAGAAGAGAATCAGTCAGGCTTTCAAATCCAGCTACAGTACCTTGCTCTTTGGGACTCTGAATTTTCAGTTCAACTTCATATTGTGGAGACCATACATCCTTTCCTTGAGAAAAATAATCACCATCTCTTTTAAACTCAGCAGACGGAGACAATACAGAACTACAAGGTGCATGATCATTACTTCTCTTCAGCTTCTTTTTTGTAGGTTCCATAGCTTCGGGCCAATCTGCATCCAGAAAAACGAAGAATTGAGAAAAGAGTGACTAGGAATGTCAAAGGGACAAACAATAAATACTGCCCTGTTCCAATATAGAAGAATTAATGTTATATAATGTAACATTTTGAAAAACTTACCGTTTTGAAGTCTAATTTTGTTATCAATCAGGTCTTGTCTATCACCTTGGGCCAGTAGATCAGCTCCCCCACCAAAAAGTTCTAAGAAAAAACCGTAAGAAATACATTGAAAACCCCATTAAAAATATCAGGGATACTATCAGAGATTGAGAAAAGTGTGGCATACCAAGATTTCTATCTTTCTTCCAGTTGGCTAGAACGATTCTTTCTATTAAGGCAAGTACAGGTCCCCACTTCTGCCACAGATAGAAATATTCACAATCATTATAAAAAAAAAATCTACCTAAATTTAGATCCAAATGAAATCTAATACCTTGAACTCAACGTGCGTCTTTGATGGTTCAAACGAGAATTCATAAAGATGGCGTGGACATGTTATGCACAAAATGTAACCAGGATTGGATTGAAGTCTATTGCGTCTTCCTGTTTGTTGCCCATCTGTAGGCTTCCAGTCATCCGCACACTCAAAACTAGTAGCCAAGTTGTTCAGCAGCTTATGAATAGGACCTTTGCTAATGAATCTTGAATTGATATCTGTCGCTGTGAAGGCCATACAACCATATACAGAAACTGCCTAACTAAACTTCAGAAGATAGTTGATGTATAGTCACACATAAAAAGATGCAGAAATATGGATACATATATACTGCAAAGCCTGCAAGGAAAGTACCACAATAATTCAGAAAGGTAAGGCTCAAACTTACAATCTGACAAACAAGGGAGATGATTTTGAAGCCCATAAGTGGAGCAAGTAACCTACCTTGAAACTATCTCCAGGACCAGATACATACCCAGAGACATTCAGCATGCCATCTGTAACGTTTACTTTACAAAGCGAATTTACAGCCTCGGTCCCTGCATCTCTCATCAGTAGTGAGAATGCTGAAGAAGAAGGATTGGTTTGGAAAAGCTCTTCATCACTGTAACAAGGAAACGATCAGAAGGGCTGATTTCATAAAGATCTTTAAATGAAAGTAGGAACCCACCTTTCGATATCAAGAACACTGAAGGAAACATTGGAGTGCACAAGGGCAATCCGGAACACACACTTTTTGATAGATTCCAAAACTTTCTTGGGGCTTCCATTGCAAAAAGAAAAAAAAAACATGGTCGCATTCATAAAAAATTCAGACAAGGCGAAGATAGGTTAAAATCCAGATGTCTTACTCTAAAAAGTAAGTGTCTAAGAAATGAACCTGGATTGCATATATTTTCGTCTCACTGGCTGACTGTAAAATAGATCTCGGACAGTTACTGCATCAACCAGGGCAAGATCAGATGTTAATCATGCATGTACCAATGTTAGCCAAAAATCAAGCAAACATCGTATAGCACAAATAGTTTCCGAAAATTGTACTTAAGGCTTCACTTTCACAATTGGATAAGCATAATAGAAAAAGCAATGATGACAGAAGACACATTACCCGTCGTGCCAGAGTCTTTTCTATCATCATCAATTCCTAGATGTAGACACTTGGATCCCTGAAAAGTATTTTCAGAAGTTTAAAGCCATGACCAACGCCACACAAACTATGTAGGAGTGGTGAGTCGCATCAAAGTCATCCCCTACCTTCATAACCTTTCGATAACCATTAGGCCTCCCAATAGCTTTTGTCCTAACCTCCAGTAACGAGATATCTGATATTGAAGCTAAGGCCTCTCCACGGAATCCAAAACTTTCACTAGCTGTCTCCACATTGGTGAAGTCGTGAAACTTTGAAGTAGCTGTTTTTACAAATTGCTCATGATAAGTTTCTCCGCATAAAACTAACAAATAACAAAAAAAAAGAGCCAGAACTTACCATATCTTTCTCCCAACAAAACCAAATCATCTCTTGAAACGCCTGATCCTGAAAACCAAAATCAGTGAAATATTTCCAAATTAGGATTCAATGATTAGCATAAAGTTAAAAGTAATGATTTTGAAGCTATACTCACCATCATCCACAACTTTCACAGAGCATGAAACAATACCCACGAAGATAGACACCTGAATATAGAGATATCGATAAGCAGAATTCCAAAACCAGAAGAAATCGAAGTAAGGGGGAATTTGATTTTGTGGACCTTGGTCGCACCAGCATCGAGACTGTTGAACACGAGTTCCTCCACGACCCTCGACATGTCGAACATGATGATTCCGGAACGCATGGAGTGACGAACACCTTCGGGTAATGGCTTAATCGTCTTCATCCCCGAATTATCGGACTAAAACACCGAGAAACAAAAACCCTAAACCCCAAAAAATTCGAAGAAAATCCCGCGGGTATCAATTACTGGAAATTGCGAAGCTGATTATCGCCATTAGACATGAGACTGAGAAAAAGGCATCGCCTTTCGCACCATAATCTCACTCGCTCTTAACGGGAAAGGTTCAGCAACTGGAGGGAAAATCGGAAATTGGGGGTTAGGGTTTAGGTAAACGACGGCGTTTTGTTTTTTTTGGCTGTATATACATCATATTTATATTTCTAACCACCTTAAAGCTTTTTTTCCCTGTTAACTTTTATTTCATACAAGACACAACACACATCATTTTTGCCCTTTGAAGAAAAGTCACAGGATTAAAATATACGTAATCAGTATCCAAATTATTGAACCTATCCTTTTATCTATTGTGAATAATCAAACTCTTTTATCTATAATCTAAACAAAATCCTTACAAGAAGAAGTGAATCTTGAAAGAGATTAATTATAATATTCTTTAATAAAAAAAAATCAAAGGTGTTGATATCTTTTCTCTAAATTGTTGATGATATTTTTATTTTATTTTTATGATATTTTTTGGTCAGACTGTTGATAATTACGATGTAATAATTCGATAAATTTCTTTGTATAAAATGATTTCATTAACTTTTTTGGGGTCTATTGAGATTTGAGAATGATATGGCACGGCAAGTGGATGGTGAAGTTGACTATCTCTGCCAAACATATTAATTTTCACCAAAGTAGGGACTAATGATCATAAATCTATCAGATTAATTTAATTGTTTTGTCGATTTCTTTTTTTTTCCAAAGGCCCAAACTAAGATCTTGGATCAACCACGTTGCTTTGATATCCATCCACCATAAATTCTATAACACGTCAAATAATAAGGTAGTTCCCTTTTATTACATGATCTAAAATTCTGATACAGATCCTTCAAGTATAACTCTCTCTTTTAAGACAGAAGATCGAATCATGTTTGACCCTTTTCTATGAAATAAAAATGATCCGACCCAAAAAAAAAAGTAACTCCGTGAAGAAAGAAGCGAAATAAATGACGGCCGTTATTATAGTTAGACGGAGGGATGTAATAATAACGGAAAGCATGAGACCAGCTGTTTAATTTTCTAAGTAAGGTTGTTGTCATGGAAGAGATAACTGTAAAAAAACAACAAATGTCAATCAAAATTACAAAATTATGTGATAATTAATTGCATTAATTTAAAAGAGAAAAAAGAAAAGAAAAGAAAGATTGATTTGTAGGGTTTACATATAAAAATGAAATTGGAACAAAATTCTCTTGTCTTCTTCATCCTCCTCCTCCTCCTCCTTTCTCTCTGCAAACCCTAATTTCCTTTCTCATCTTCCTCTCTCTCTCTCTCTCTTTTCTTCCCAAATGATAAGGTAACTTCAAAACTACGACAATTCAATACTCTAAGGAAACGCCAAGGTAAAACCGAATAGCTTGTTCTGTTGTTGTTCATCGTGTACTCTGTTTTTAAAATTTTGTTTTACACATGTGATTTATTATTCTTCTTCTCTCAATGCTGCGTAATTCCTTTCTTCATCGATCACAAGGTGATCGAGTAATTCAGCTCTTCTTGTTAAAACTTTTGCTTATTTTCTTGTTAAATTGTGTGATTTTGGGGATGCATATTTGATTATGGATTTTAAGGATCGATTTGTGTTATTTTCTTCACGATTGCTTAAAGTATCGATCTTTAATGAAAACGGAATTATTTTTTTGTATTTTGTAATCTGAATGATTCAGCTAACTCGTGATGTATTTTACTCTGATTTGTTCCATAGAGTTTTCATCGAGCTGATCTCATCCATAATTCGAATTCTGATCCATTTTAATCCGATATTAAGACACAAGTTTGTCTTCTTGTTTCTCAGATTTGGGTTTTTAGCTGATTCAAAATGGAGACGAATCCGTGTGACATGAATCAGCTCGATTCCGATTCGCATCTCCCTCCTCGGAAACGATTACTTGCTGGATTCAAGAAGCTAAACTCCAACGGCAATGGATCTTCTCCTTCAGATTTCGCTTCTTCTTCCTCTACTTCAAACTCAAACGGATCTTCCTCTGCTTCCACCCATGTTCAGACCCATCTCGACAACTTGTTATCTTCCCGTTTCAACAATGACCAGTCACCGGAAGAGCTCGTGGAGGCAACGAGATCTGCAGCTGCTTTAGCGGTTAAAGCTGCAAAGGCGGCCAGAGCAATTGCGAACGAGAAGGCTTTGATTTCCGCAAAAGCGATTGCTGCGGCTAAGAGGGCTTTAGAATTGGTTGATTCTTTCCCTAAAGAAGCAATGGCTGATTGCAAGGAGAGGTCTCCTAAAAAGAACAAGCAGAAGAAACATGTCCCGGTCGAGCTCTTGTATTCAAAGGGACAGCTAAGAGACGAGGAAGATGATTTAGCGCGTAGGTTGCATCGAGCTATAGGAAATACATACCCTAGAGTCTTGAGAACTTGCTCAGCTTTCGAAGAGAATGGTCAGAGATACAAGAAGCAGAAGAAGAACAAGACCGTAGTTGAAGGTGAGAGTAGTAGTATTGTAGTGACCGGTTCTATGAATGACATTGCTGGAGTCGTGGATTCAGACAGCTCGTATGAAGGATTAGAGATAGCTAGATCAAACAGGAATGAAGAGGATTCAAGACTGATGATGGAGAAAGCAGGGGAAGAAAATAACTCATTGGTTAAAAGAAGAGGAAGAGTAGTGAAGCTAAAGAAGCTTCCTTTGAGCATTTGTAATTCTAGAAATCAAGAAAATGGAACTTCTTCCGCGTCTCCATTACCGGAGGTTCAGCCGCAGGAGGACGGTGGTGCGATAACGGTCATACCGGGATCGTCCTCTTGGAAATGCCAGGACCTAAAGGCACCAGAATGCGTGAAGCAGAACAAAGCCGTACGGTCATAGTGTCTACAGAAAAAATGACTCTTTTTTTCAAGATTTGGTCAGCATTGCCATTTTCAGTAGAAGAATCACATTGTTGTTTCCTTTTTTGGATGTGTTTGAATTTATGTTATATATTGTTAAATATATACATAATACATATATGGGTTTATTTGCAATTGCAGTTGTGTAGAAGAAAGTTTGATATTTTGGATTGATAGATGCAATAAAGTGATGTACTTTTTTTGTTGAATGATAAGTTTTTTCTTCATTGAATCCATTTTTTTTTTTCTGCTAAGAAACAATTACTCGTTAATAAGAAAATTACGTAAAAACAAAGATTGTGTGGATTCAACGATTGGATACAGGTTGTCACGTGTAGATCCACGTGCTGATATGGAACGTGTGACACACAAGTATACGCAAATCTCTAAAGACAAAGCTGCTAAGTCATGTACGTCACATGTGGTCTGAAAGTTAAAACAATAAAACCATCTGGCCGTGTCGCTTTTCAAAATTACTAATAATTAGAGTAATTTTTATTTTTCAGTTTATATGGCTACGAAATTTCAGTTTCGCCATTTAGGGTATTTTGGTTTCTATAGAACGTTAATATATTACTTGAATAAATACATTGACAATGACATGTCTACATTTGGAACTTCATTTTGTTTTTTGACCAGGTAATGAGAGTCAATAAAGTAACTGCACTGTACATCTACATGCGGACAAAAACAACCGACAAAAACATATATATTTTGACAAGAAAATAATTAACGGATTAATCGACAACCAAATGAACTATATCATTAAATGATCACAAATAACAAAATTTTCTATTAAGACATAACTAACATGTAAATTATTGGATCTAGTATTTTTTTCAAGATTTGTCGAATACTATTATTTCTCATTCTTTAACTCATAAAATTAAATTCTGAAAGAATTAGATTAACAAAAAATATTTTTTTATAAAACTATTTGTTGCAAATACATGGTCTCCCAACCGATACAAACCCAAAACCAAATTTGATCAAAACCGAAACCAACTGACATCTAACAATAATATCAAAACAAACCAAAAGAAACATTCAAAATTCAAAGTCTAAAATAAGAAGATGCATCATCTTTGTTAGTCAATTCATCACTACATAGACATTCTTTATAAGCAACAAATGAAATCGATGGTTAATCAATAGATCATAGGTCCCCCAAAAAATGCAAAGAACAATTATACAAAACCAAAAAAAGACATAAAAAGAAGAAGAAAGTTATATTAAAAGAAAACGAACAAAGGAATGAAACAAGAAAAGAAACAAAGAAGAAGTTTGAGTTTCTCTCACCCTTTGATATGCAAGTTGTTCAGTTGGGCATCTACATTATCTGCATTGTCCTGTGTTGTTACATTCATCCATGGATGTTCCAAGCACTGTTGAGCAGTTGGTCGTTTCTCTGGCGCAAACTCAAGAATCGGAGTCAAAAACTCGGCAAACTCCTTTGCTTCTGCTTCCGGAAGCTTATATTTATCAATCAGCAAGCGATCAAGTGGCCAATATTTCAACCGCCGGATTCTCTTTAAATCACCGTGTCTGTCAAAGTAGTCTTTGGATTTCGCCCCTCCAATCGCAATCTGCTCAATCAAGTATATCAAAAGGAGACTATAACCCGAGAAAACACAGTTGGAAAGCAAAAAAACACATACCTTTCGAGGCATCTTTCCTAGGAGTTCCATCATAAGAGCAAGGTGATCCTAAATCCAAAACCAGATAACAAAACGTATAAGAAATCAGGAAAAGACAATGAAGCAGCAAACTCTTGAGGTTAGATTTAGATACTACCTCATCTTCTCCATAACCATTTCCATCTTTAGGAGCAAATAGCATATCTCCTGTGACAAGCTCGAAAGCCGTACAACCAAAAGACCACATATCAACAGAGAAAGAGTATCCTGACTTAAGTATTACTTCAGGAGCTCTATACTGTCTCGTTTGTATCTCTTCCGCAAACTGTTTATCAGCCCAACAAGCGTTACCAAAGTCAACCACTTTGCATCTCATATCAATTCCATCAAGACTTCTTTCCGTCTTCGATGATGCTTCTTCACCTGTAGCACCCACCATTGAGACTCTTCTTTCTGAAATTTTAGCAACCGCTCTTTTCGCTCTTCTCTTTAGCTTCTTCTCAATCAGATTCATTGAGGATCCACCACCGTTTGCGTTTCCCTCTGGCTTTTCTAGTAGTGGGGTTAGTCCAGATCTAACGGGATCTTTGGCAGGGTCAATGGTGGAACAAAGAAGAATGTTTTCAGGTTTTAAGTCTGAGTGAATCATACCGAGCTCACGGTGCAAATAATCTAAACCAGTCAGTATACATCTGCAAATCTCCCGGACTTTATTTATTTTCAGACCTTTGTAATGATTGTATCTGATTAAGCGGAGCAAGCTATCGCCGAGAAACTCAAGCACCATACATAAATGCTGCCCATTTGGACCAGTATGCTTGAAATGGTCAATAAGACGAACAACACATTTTGTATTGGCTAGATCTCCATCAGCAGCAGCTGAAAGAAATTCGATTTCGTGAAGTGCAGCTTGAGCAAACTGTTGTGCACTCTTCTGAATCTTCAAAGCCACATAACTCTAGAAAAAGAGACATAAAAACATACAAAGCAAAACATTCTTAGGATATACTTGTTATGACAGTTACCTTCCTATGATTAAAGATTCTATAACCATTTAATACGCAATCCATTTTGAGCTAACAAATCTGATAAACTAGAGAGACTAGTACAGTGCCAAATCTAGGGTTATAATTCATTCAACATTATCATAATAAGAATCATCACCACATGAAGCAAGGATCTTGCACCAAAAATCTATTGAACTTATAAGAGTAACAGAAGCGTATTGCATATAAAGGACGAGTCTTTAGCTTTCAACAGTGTATTTGAAATGTGATTGGATCACGAATTGTCAGACAAACTCTCAGATGAGAAAGAGAAGAGATCAGAAACCAATGAATCAAAATGAAGCAATACGACCAAAGCAACAAAAAATCGATGGAAGGGGAAAAAGAAGAAAGATGCGTACAGAGGTACGAGTATCGTAGGCAAGCCAAACGGTGGAGAATTGACCCCAACCAAGCTTTCTCTGAGCGATGTAACGACCACCGGAAAAAGGATCGCCGATCCTGACGGCGTGATAACCACCTTTCCGGTAAGCATCGAAACCTTCTTCTTCTCCTTCTGATCCGGAAGAAGATGAACACGACATATCTCTATCTAAAGACGTGTCTGAATACCACCGGGTCGATTTTGATCGTAAAAATTGGATCTTGGCAAGGACCCAACAAGACAAGAGAGAGAGAAAGACAAAGAGAGGAATGGCACTCAGATTGCGTGTGGCCCTGAAACGTAAGACCCTCTCCACTTTTTGCTCTTTTCTGTGATTTTTTTAATCAATGTGGTTGCTTCAGATTTTCCCGATTTAAACTTTTTGCCCAATCCTCTCTATTTTGCCCTTTGCTCCGGTCAGGTGTCTCTGTCTTATTGTTTCTCAAGGGCCAAGTCAATGTCTTGCGTGACCAATAACATTCGAGATGGTATCAATTTCAAAAACTTCCATAGACAGCAAATTTTGGACATTTCATGTCATAAGCTTGGGACCCGATTACAGTCTCCAAACTATCACATGTCAGTGTGATCAATTCTCCTATGAAACAAAAGTAAAGTTCTTGTTTCTCCAAACATACATGTCACTTGAAAACATATTGCAGAAGAAGACTCAAAAAACGCAATTCAAAAGTTCTCAGCTTTGTTAATTTGAGATTGCTGTTTCTTTAAGATCTTACTTACGCCTTGCCATTTCAAACCACCCCAATTGTTCCTACGAATCACTGAACTTTGAACACACAAAATTCTCTGAAAATCGACTTTTGCAGAGAAAAACTAAACAAGAATTCCATGAGAACAGAATCTGATCTAGTGAGTTAAAGGAACGAACTTTAGATTATTTTGCTTATAATAACGATCCGAATTCTACACCAAGAACAACAACACGATCTCTGTACTTCCCAAATTCTCCAAACGATCAAACAAAATATCTGATTTTGAAAAGCTTTTGGAGCTCAATTATCCATTGAAACAAACAAAACAATGGAAGTAACCAGAACACAGAACAATCTCTCATGATTTATAACTTTACTAATCAAAAGCAAGCACATTGATTCCACTCTTTCATCAGAAACCCTAAATCATCACTCCAAATCCTTAACGATCTTGATACCCATAGAATTAGCAGTACCAATGATAGATTTGCAAATCGATTCCAATGGCATATACTGACAAAACGGATCCGTCTGCTTCACCTTCGCGATCTCATACACGTGTCTCACCGATAGCGTCGTCACCGTCAAATGACCCGGTCTCGTGCTTCCTTTATCGACTCCAGCTGCTTTCTTGATGTACCACGACACCGTCGGAGACTTGACGGTGAATTCGAAAGAGTTGTCCTTGAACGCCGTTATCGTCACGGCCATCGGAGTGTCTGGTTTGTACTTTTGAGTCCGTGCGTTGAAGTCTTTGCAGAAAGCCATCAGGTTAAGCCTGTACTGACCTAGCGCCGGACCTACCGGTGGTGCTGGCCTAGCTCCTCCCGCCGGAACGGTTAGCCTTATTGTTGCCGCCACTGGTCGCCGTGTTAAGATCTCCTTCGCAGCCGCCGCCATTGTTGCGATCGTGATGAGAGCTTCACTGTTGTTCTTCGAGGGTTTTTGTGACAAGGTGTAGAGATTGGGCCTTTGCTTTTGATTTGGGCCTTATTTTCTTATTTTGAGCCCATTCCTATTTCCTTGTTTTGGAATTGTTGTTTTGGACCGGTTGGTGGGATTTATCATGGGACGGTTGCCGAATAATCAATAGTTACATGACAAAACAATTTAAATGAATTAACAAAGAGTGTTTAGTGTAATTAATTAGGAACACATATAAATAAAAAAAATTATTCAGTTTTAATCTATAGTTCTAAAGTTCTATTATACTATTAAATTGCATAGCGATTGAATGGAACGTTTTATGACGTCATGTATATATGTATAATTGAAATTGATATTTCAGTTTTATGACCCAAACAAAAAGTCAAAACAAGTATGCGCACCGACATGATATTGCCATTGCGTTATAAGCATGGACACATATAGAACACGTAACACAAGCATGACTTTGACTCGTTGTTGTTGCTGTACATTATTCAACTCTTTTAAGTCTCAAAACTGATTGTATGGGCTTTTTAGATTTTGTCAACCTTCGTTACTTCGAAACTACCATTTCTCTATCATTTTTAGTTGTATCTGGTTAGCTGGAATCGCATGGACTCTATCATATTATATGTCAAGATATAAACTTTACATTACTGTAATTGGTGTAGATATTTGGCCGTGTATACCTAAAGATATAGAGACTTTGAACATAATATAAAATGTGATCATCCATGATGTATATCAATTGTATTTTACAGTTTTGTATTCATATCCACAGATGTTTAAATTTAAATTTAAACACATACTGAGTCAATCGGACTAATCCGTTGTGTTTGCGATTAGAAATGTTAATGATGATTTTTGAAACTGGTACCGGTTAGTGTGAACTCAAGAAATATATTTTCATTAAAAAAAAATATACAAAAACGAAAAAAAAAAGTGAAGATAATATGATCAGAGGATAACAAATATCCTATACTATTATTTGGGGAGTACAATTTATAAGATACCCTTAACTAACCTTCCCTTTTGTAAGAATTTACTTAAAAATGCCATTACAAAAAGCTTATTTTAGAACAAATTTCATTCAATTTATTAAGGATAAACAAGTAAAATACTAATTTATGTCATTTAATTAATTTAATTAAATTACAAAACGAAAATCTATTTTTTTTTTTTTAAAATGACCAATCGAAATGAACATATAAGATTTGATATCTAACTTACCATATTAATTTGTTATTAATCATTAAACTTCACCTCTCATCTTTATATGATTATATTTATATGAAACAAATAAATCATCATATCATCTACATAATAAAAAAAAAAAGTAATTTTTTTTCTACATATGCCAAGATTTGAATTTTTAAAAACGCATATAAATTGTTCACTCTATAAAGGAAACAATTAAACGGGTCAAAAATTCAGACTTGAGTAATATATTTCTTTTACACAAAAATATTCGATTTCATACATTTTTTTTTAAATGTATAATTTTATATACTACAATAAAAATTTAAATATTTTAATTTGCAACATTTAAAATAAGTTTTACTTGATATTTTTAGAGATTATCATCAATACTTAATAGTTAAAAAAGTTGAAAATTATAAATACTCTAATTTGATTATTTTTAAAAATATTTATAATAGGTAGCGGGTTAAATATAATATATTATATGATGAAATGAGTTTGGATCCTTATAACTATTTGAATAGTTATATTTAATTTCATATGATTTGTTTTTTGAAATTCATAATTTTATAAACTACAAAACAAAATTTAAAGATTTTAATTTGGAATATTTAAAAATAGTGTAGAACATTTAAATACGGTTTGACACCTCTAAATATTTGAAAATTTGATTCCGCAAGCAATTTTAGAATTAACGAATAATAGATTGTGTACGTAATATTTTAAAATGAAATATTGAGATTCTAAAATAAAAATATAGACTCCACGCACGGGTTGATTCTGATATTATTATATACTAAATATATGTTTATAACATATTCGATTATGCCAATAATTGGTAAATTCCGTAATTATAAATCGCAAACAAATTCTGTAATTAGATTAGCTCAAACAAATCTCTATTTCAACAACCAAAGAATTATAAATTGAAAAAGAATTTTCTAAATTAATTCAAAATAATAGCTAATATTTTAATTAATTCAAAATAATCTATGTTTTATATGCGATGCATTTATGGTATTTTAATTTTTGATCTAACTGAAATATATGCAATCCTATTTTGTGGTTGTTAACATAAATTAACTCATTGTTAAAAAAATATTAATTTTACAAAAATATAATTATTTTCCGTTTTCATATCTTAAAAAAAAAATTATCCACAATTGAGTATTATAGAAAAAAAATCTATATTTATTCTAATATTGTAATAGGGACTGACAAAAAAATTAATATTTTTTTACTTACTATTATAATATATTAAAACTTAAGTCTAATATATATAGTATATAAATTTTGTAATAAATAAAATTTAACCCGTACTTTAGTACGGGTGATGATCTAGTAGCATCTTTATTTGAGTAAAAAACAAAAAAAACACACATATATAAAAAGTAAAATCTTCTAAGCTGGCTTTATCCAAAACTATGGATTATTGATGCTCCAAACCCCAGTATAATTGATGCTTACAACCTCCATTATTGTTGGTTTTCCCCGTTTTTTACATGTTATAATTAATGCTTCCGTTCTCAATTATTGTTGATTTTCTTCTTTTTAATCCGATGTGCTAATAATGTCTTCTAGTTTTAATTATTGGTTTAATAACTCGGTTTGCTTTTCACCTTTTTGGTTCCATATATGACGTTAACACTCACATCACACGCATTCAAACACAAAAAGATATTCCATTCCGATTGTACTTTGAACTTCAAAGTTATTATTCTTGCAATTTCATTTTCATTTATTCTTCTAAGTTCCATCTATCTCTTGAGTCCAGCCCAAGACCGATAATCTTGAGATATTTCGGCCGGAAATCGTTTGTTTTTTCAGGAAAAGGTTATCGTCGTTGGTTTGATTTGATAATATGTTGGTTTGATTCGACTTTTTAAAGTTAAAACCATATTATACAAAATAAATTGAAACAATCTTTCAGTTAGTAGTATGACCAGAGAGAGTCTAGAAACACCAAAACTTTATGCACACGTGGACGGTGTTACCTGCCGTTAATACTATAATGTAAATATTATAATACCTCTGAGGACACGTAGATCCATTTCAAAGATTCTGTAAATTGATAGTTATCAAGATCCCACCTACATGGCTACATCTAAGACAAAATCCAACATATATATTACAAATCTAAACAAAACTGCTATGAAAATAATATATCTATACTAACTACTACAGTATATTAACTTTAGTTAAAACAAATTTGGTATTTCCAAGAGTCTAGCGAGTAGCAACTAGAAACAGAAGGCCGATTATCCTTGTACGAAGCAGGACATCGATCATCGAATACCTTTGATGCCACTGCTCTAATTTTCATAGATGTAAAATTGAAGATAAATATTTTATAAAACTAGATAATATCGCTGAGAACTTCGAAATTCATTGAATCCAAACTTCAGCACCATCTGTCAACAAAACCATTTTCTGATCTTAATCTTTTGCCCTTTTTTTTTTTGTTTTAAAGGGATCTTTGAAGATGCCCCAAAAAAAAATGAAAGAATGCAGAGAAAAAAATAAATAAAAGAGTCTAATCGAATTAGGTTTAGGTAAGAAAGTAATTTATACTTACACCTTTTTGATAATGAGTTCGTCAAACAGAACCTAAAAAGAGCGCCCACACCTACCCATCTTTTTCCATGTTTGGTTTTCTAATAATATACGGCAATTTAATCCTTATTATAATTATGATATTTTGAATACGATTACGATATTTCCAAATCTACTATCTAAATGGATTTCATGGGAGAACATTATTTAAATTGAACCCCGTATTTGAATGTAGATTGACGCAATGTTGTCAAGATCTCGGATGCGGCTAAGAAATAATTTAATCATAACAGATAGTATTAGTACTTTAGATATCTCTTAACTAAAATAGGTTAATCGTCGAGACATATAAAAATTATGTCTAATAGAAGAAATCATAACAATTTTTTATATGATAAAATATTTCAATCTATAGTTTTGAATCACACAGTGGATCCTTTATCGATTCGAAGTAATGTTTTTTTTGTTTTTTTTTTAATAACCGCGGGTCTCCCAAAGGCTTCCTAGACCCAAGGACTAATCCCACGAGGCTGGCAATTCCCCTATGTAAACCTGCCAGTGGCCGTGCCTCGAACCCTGGTGGCGGAAGTCACAGCTGTGACCCCTTTACCACTAGGCCACAAGGCCCGGTTGTAATGTTTATTTTTGACATTAAAGTCTAGTAAAAAATACCTATAATTCTGTAAATTTTTGTAACGGCATGAACAATTTTCAGTTGATGATTCTATTAGTTTGACTCCACATATTTATATGATTTTGGCAATTTGCTAATCAGAACTTGAAATACTTCTAAAGTTCAAAGCATGTATTAAAATCTTGGAACATTTAAAATTTGGACCATTCGAGTAAGCTTTGGTTTTCCTAAAAAATAAAGATTTTGTTTGAAGAAAAAAATCAAGTTTTTAAGAACATCAAATTTGAATAGAAAAAAAAATTCAAATCTTTTACTTTAATTAAAGATTCAAATATGTTTGTCTTTATGGATACTGCAATCTCATTATTTATCTTCGGAAAGTTGCAAAACAACTACGTTTTTTCTTCTATTCATCCAAAACCTTTTAAGCCGATATGACATGGAATTAAATAAATAGTACTTATTAATATTTAATTGATTTAATCTGCAATTTGGACAAGTCTTATATAAGTATAGATGTGTATGTGTGTGTCTCTATTATAACTTGGATCAGATTCTTCTTCTTCTCTAAACAACAACAAAATTTCTTCCCTCTGTCTTTCACAACTTTCACATTTCCTCTTTCTCTAAAGACAAAACTCAAAATCAAAACAAAATGACTCGCTCCTCTAGATTCCTTGGTACGGCGTCGCCTCCACCGCCGGAAGAAATCCTCGCCGCCGAAACCGACATGGTTGTGATTCTCTCAGCTCTTCTCTGCGCTCTCATATGCGTAGCCGGCTTAGCCGCCGTAGCTCGCTGCGCTTGGATCCGCCGTCTCACCGGCGTTAATTCCGCCGCAGTCGGAGAATCTCCGCCGCCGAACAAAGGCCTCAAGAAAAAAGCACTTCAAGCTCTCCCTAAATCAACTTACACCGCATCTGCTTCTACCACCACCGCCGCAGATGATTTACCGTGTTCCTCCGGCGGAGACGGAGATTCATCCACCGAGTGTGCAATATGCATAACGGAATTTTCCGACGGCGACGAGATCAGGATCTTACCGCTGTGTAGTCACGCCTTCCACGTGGCGTGTATAGATAAATGGTTGACTTCACGGTCGTCGTGTCCTTCTTGTCGTCGGATATTGGTGCCGGTGAAGTGTGATAGGTGTGGCCACCATGCTTCCACGGCGGAGACTCAGATCAAAGATCAACCTCCTCATCACCAACAACATCCTTCACAGTTCACTTCCGCCATTATTCCTGCTTTTCTTCCTTGAAATTTTCACTTTTTACTTTCTTTATTTTTATAATTTGCTAAAAATATCGGCATGATTAAAGAAAAGTGAAGTATTAATTAATTAGGAATTAGTGATCTTTAGTTACTTCGATTTTTCTCCTCTGTAATCCACTGTTATGAATTAATCAGATGAAAATTTCGAAGTTCGACTTGTTAAATTTCTTTCCAAGAATTCACAACTCGATAAGAAATTATCTTTTTACTAAAAAATTTCGAAAAATATACTATAGAATGATTGGACAACCAGAGCACTAAGAAAAGAGTCGGTCATGTGAACTAGTTTCAGAGCAAGAAAAAAAAAGCTAATTATATATTTTTGGAACTGGAAAGTATTTATTTCCTTAATTTCTTGTAATGTTTTGCAAATATTGGACGATCAATTGGGCGTTATCTTTTTCCGACAGACGAACACACTAAGTAAAATAGATAATAAAGTAAAATAAAATTTTGTTAGCGATGTTATTTATTTAATTTACTAAAAAGGTAACAAAAGTGTAAGTATAAAACTAAGCAATTCTTTTGTTTGATTACTAGTCAGAATTAGGAAAATTGGCACACTGTCAGTCCAATTTAGTAGTATTAAAGTTTTTGGCGAAATGTTAGTGTGTAGTGATTGTAATAATTAACTGTAGTTATAAGAAGAAGATAGTTATATGCAAATTAAACAAAATGAATAAAATCATGGTAAATGTGTGTAAAGTCTCCCTTATTTTCAGTCACAAGTCAAAGAAAGCATGTATCATGTATGGCCTCATCTCCATTACCCGCAAATAAGGATGACTCAGTCTCATTTCTATCCAACAATATCCGAATGCATATATAACGTATGATTTTTTTATTTTCTTAAATTATGCATATATAAATAATTGAGATAATTATCTATACATGTTATATTAAAAACTTAATAATCTTGACAAATATATGACAATATGAAAAACGCATGCATGTCAATCGTTTGAATATTGATCTATAGTGTTAAACAATCGTCTACCAAGTATATTAATCAACCATTAAAAATTACAAGACTACCGTTTATAAGAATCTATATTATTTTTGAATTAGATATAGTGAATATATGTATATCGATCACATATAATATAAGTAACAGATGTATTTTATTTTATTTTAAAATAAAAATAATATAACTAACAAAATATCCCAGGAATACTCCATGTGAAATAAACATAAATTATTAAATTTGATGAAAATGAACTATGTTAGGTCACTTTCATCACTATAGCAATTCAAATTATTTTCTTACATTTACATTTATGGTATCAATAGTCATTAGCGGCGGATTTAAAGAAGTTTTTGGTTATTTGTAATGCAAGTTGATGTGGATTAACTTAAAACAAACATTTATCGATTTAACAAAATATCTCAAAATATCTAAGAAGAGTACTCCTTGTTAAACAGACGTACATTTGACGATAATTAATTTTTTTAGGTCCCTTTTCACCATTATAGTAATTCGTTATTTTGTTTTCCAAAAATTTATACTCATAGATTCACAAACATCTATGAATTTAACAAAATATCTCAAAATATCTAAAAAGTACTCATTTTTTTTAAGTACTCATTCATGTTAGACAAAACATAAATTTGACGGTAATTAATTTTGTTAGGTCCCTTTTCACCACTATAGTAATTCAATTATTTTGGTGTAAGTTCATTCTTATAGATTCACAAACATTTATGGATTTGCCAAAATATCTCAAAATATCATAAAAGTACTCATCCATGTTAAACAAAACATAAATTGACGGTAATTAATTTTTTTAGGTCCCTTTTCATCATTATAGTAATTCATTTATTTGGATTTATTTTTAAATGGATATTTGTGTCATACTCTAACTAATTAATTTCGAACTTATATATCGACAAAATAACAATATCTTATTTTGTTTTCATTATTTTTTTTGTCTTAAATGTTTTTCAATTTCTGATAACAAAAATATCTAAATTTACTCCATGTTAAAACAAGCATAAATTTGACGATGATAAATTGTGTTAGGTCCCTTTTCACCATTATAGCAAAATTCAATTTTTGACTTTGTCTCTAACTAATTCGGAACTTAGATATCGACCAATTAAGTTAAATTCATTCTTTTTATTTGTCTAATAATTTTAAAATTCTTATTTAGACTATCGAATGCTACTAGACTACTATCATTTATTTTTAATATTTAAATATGGGGAATAAAATGAAAGTGAATAAAGGGGAAAAGGTGGAGAAAGAGGAATATTGAAGCGAAACGATAAACGTACCACCAAACACTTATAGAGAGACACTAGAAACGCATGACAAGCCCAAGTATCATCCACCTTTCAGTTTCACTTAATGGAATCTTATGCCTTATCTCTTTCTTCTCTTTTTCTCCATATGTTTTATTAAATTGCACCCAAGAGGCAAAAAAGTGATACAAAAATTTCGGCCAAAACTTTTCATCTTTTTAACTTCGCTTTTTACAATTTTCTCTCTTCTAATAATAGCTCAATGTTATCCAACTTTTCTTTTGTATTTTCTTGTTAAGACCGAACGTTTTCCGATAAACATCCTCAAATACTACCATAGACGAGTTGATTGATTTTAAGGTCGATGTATTCACTTGGTTACCGTTGAGTTTATTACAAGTTTTTAGATTATTGCACGGTTGGATTCGTGAAATCCTGTTTTTAAAAACGTTATACAGCAATATATGCAGAAAAGCTTATCTAGTTCAGGAGCTTATTATGAGCACAAAGAAATGAGAACACTGGAAAAGTTGATAAGACATTTTTGCCGTTGATTTTATTAGCTTCAAACTCAAGTAGTCCCTCGCACTTTTTCTTTAAACACATTATCATTTAGTTTTTGGCGTATCATGTGTCTAGTGTAAAGTGAAATTTGGATTTCAAGAATATTTACTTCTTAGATGATTATCATTTTCAGGAATATATAAATCTAATCAACTTATAAATTAAGAAGAATAAAAGAAAGTTAGATAGAGAGAATGGTCCGAGGTTTAACAACTAGTTCTCTCTTTTTTCCTTTCCTTTTAATTAAATCAATAATAATTTTCCATTATATAGGTACTTTCCTCCTAACTATCTTTTGCCCTCACAGTCAATAAAGTGATATATTTCAAAGATTCAATCCTTCATCTCTTAATCTTCCCTAACCTTTTCTTCCTACTTATTTCTAATGTTCACATTATATTTGTCACTTTTAAGTTACTACCACTTTTTGCCAGCCTCATCATTGAAAGTTGGCAAATCCTATACCCAAAATATAACCTTTTCACCATATTAATTACAGCCTCTGCTTTCGTAAAAGCTAGAATCAAGTTTGGAGTATATATATGTTCAATGAAGTTAATAAAAGAAGAACCACAATTAGATTCAATCGATTTGTATGAGGTTGATCATAAGATGCGTTACTTTTCATACATAAAATAAAAGGATAAAACTGTTTTGGACAAGTGGCCTACTAAGATCAGATCACGTTTTCTATTCCAACAAAAATGATTTACTCTATATGGGCTGGGCCATCGCTAAACAGTTATACCTGAAAGAATCACATGAATCAACTGAAGAAATTAAAGAGTAAATTAGGCCTAAAATAATGCAACCCCAGGTCCAGCCCAATAAAGACTGTATGGGCTTGTATGTTTTTTTCTTCCACAGAATGAAGAGAGATATGGGGTTTCTGATGTTGAACAAAGTTTTGCTTCTTTCATTGGTTCACATGTGAAGTCACATGTATTATAATATGATAACACACATAAAAGAAAGACCATGTCTCGTGACGAGTCGTGAAGATTATACATAGACAAAATAAAACAAAAAAAGAAGTTGCATTATTACAAGGGAGTATTAATTAACCAATTTACTCTTTAGACAAAACCACGTTCATGGCCAACTCATGTCATATCTCTCCTCTAAGCATCAACACCATCACATCTCATCAATATCCATATACACAGATGCTTTTAGTTGTGAGTGTCTTAAGTTTCAAACCAAAGAAACAAAACCAGAGACGATAGACTAAACACAAAAGTGGTAAGTAAGAGCTTAAAAGAAAACCCTCAATCTACAAGGGACATGGTTCGGTTCTGTTTTGGGATGGGCTCTATGATATGTGGAGAGACATGAATGAAACAATGTTGTGCACAATGATACATGTGAATAGTGAAGAAAGAAACAAACAAAGAATGAATAGTGTAACATCTACAGTACTTGGAGTTTGCAATGCAAATCAATGCATTGTCGTGTGAAGATAGCTGGATTTGTTTGTCACTTGTGCTGTCAACAGCTTTAACAGAATTACCTGAAAAAGGAGGGAAAAAAACAAAACATGTGTTATTGTTATTTGTATACTACAGAGGTTGAATCTTGATTGTTGAGTTTGGGATTTAAAGGAAAGTGTTACCTGATTTAGGGTCAGTGACATTATCAGCTGTGTTAGACAATCTCCATGCTGCTCTGTTTTCTCTTGTTGGATTTGGAGAAGAAGCACATCTGGACCCAGCTCTTCTTTGGCTTAACCATTAGAGATTTCGCATTTCTCGTCTCCACAAGATCATTCATGTATTGAACAACGGCCTGTAAGTATGATGAAACCATCCGTGAGTGAGTACCATTTAGAATCTAGACACATGATGAAAAAACTAGAGAGAGAGAGACAGAGAGAGAACAGAACCTGAGGGCCCTTTTCTGCTATATCACGAGGAGGAACTTGTAGTGGATTCTCCTGAGCACGAAACACACGCAACTTTGTAAGCATTTTGAAGGAGTCAGGTAGAACACGGATCTGATTATTGCTTATATCAAGCTCTTCAAGCATCTCAAGGTTGCCTATTGATCTCGGGAGCGATATCATGTCAGCGAAGTTGTTTCCAATATTCAGCTTCACAAGCGTAGTGGCAAAACACAAACTCTCAGGCACTGACTCGAGCTCGTTGAAACTCACATCCAGCTCTTTGAGGTTAGCTAAAGAAGACATCGTCGTAGGTAACTGTCTGATGTTATTGTAACGGACAGACAAGATCTCTAATGTAGTAATCTTCCCAATAGCTTCTGGAAGAGCCTTGAGTTTGTTATAATCTGCACGGAGTTCCTTCAGCGAAGAACATCCACCAATAGAGTATGGGATCTCTTCGATATCATTTGTCTCAACGTCGAGCTTCTTTAGACTCACAAGAGAACCGATGGATTCAGGGAGAATCGGGAGGTTGTTACAGCTCAAATCAAGCTCCTCGAGTCGCAACAATCTGCTAAACGCTGAAGGCAGAGACGATAACTGGTTGCTACCAAGATTAAGGTAAACCAAGTTCAATAATTCTCCTATAGACTCAGGAAGCTGACCGATTCTGTTGGAATGCAAATCGAGCTTTGTCAAGGAAGAAAGTCCTCCTATAGTGTTTGGCAACACCACAATGTGATTCTCAGACAAATCAAGCGAAGTTAAACTCGATAACTTGCCAAGAGAATCCGGAAGCCACTCGACTTGATCCGTTAACTTGTTCTGTAGATTTATCTCTGGAGTAGCTTTCTTAGCTGATACCTCAATCAAACTAGCAAGTTTTATCAAACTCAGCTTCTCTCCATCATTGCCTACACATACCAAACGATTCACACTACAGTTACTAACATAATCTATTGCAAACCAAACAGCTCAATCTCTAGTTCTATCTAAAGGTTCAAACTTTAAACAATTCCAATTCCTACATTTTCTATATTTTAACCTAGAGCTTAAAATCAATGGATTTAAGAGAAGATAAGGGTTAACTCACCGGCGAATTTTCTGGCGGAAAGTGTTGAATCCAGAATCTGTGGTGGTTTTCGTGGAGCTGTAAAATCATCACTGTAGAGAGAAGGCTTAGCCTTTGTGACGAAGCTATCGTCTCGTGAAACCATATCCTTGGGACGAACAGGAGCTTTCTCAGAAAAATTCAAACTTGACTGAGAATCAGAACGAACAGCCGTCGTTGTTGTCGCCGGAGGCAGTGGAGGACGAGACGAAACAGAGCCGTTAGAGGAAGGAGAAGCAATGCAATTAGAAGCTCTTTGAATGAAATCATCGAACAAAGCGTGAACAGTTTCCAGATCGAGAAGCTTCAAAGCTTCTCGTTTCTGTTCTTTGCTACGAAACTGAACATAACCTTTCTTCATTTCTTGTAACACCATGAAAAGCTCACCAGGAACTTCAGAGCTTTTCCTTTGTTTAGCAATGGCTTCTAAACAAGCTTGATCTTCTTTCTCAACGTTATCAATCAAACCCTTGGCAGCTTCAACTTCGTCAATTCCTGGTCTTGGTGGTAGAGATCTGTGAATTCTCATGATTTCTTCAACCACTTGCTCTGTTGAATCCAAACGCTTATCCATTTGTATCAAATCCATTACAGATTGGAATCGGAAGAAACGAAAAGATAATAAAAGAAACCCTTTTTTTGGCTCAAAGTGTCGATTTTGAAGTGAAAGAGGAAAGAGAGAAGAGTTTAAGTAGAAACCCAGAGGTTCTTGTTTCTTCTCATAATAAAGACAGCTGTTTCCATCACTCTCTGTCTCTTCTCTTCTCTTCTCTATCTGTATATTATCTCTGTTAATTCTCTCTTCTTCTTCTTCTTCTGCTTCCTCAGTTCTTCAACAAATAATTGATTACTTTTTTAATATTGTCATTTGTCACTAATGAAACTATAATAATGATAATTAATCTTTTAATTTCCTTGTTACATATAGATTTTTTATTTCTTAATTAACATTATCATTAGGGGACTTGTTTTTTTTTTTTAATTTAAAAATCCGACGGAAATAACGTGAACCGTGGGATGGTGACCTATTGCTTATCTGTGGATTTGTATATCACGTTATTCCCATTTTCTCCCTATACTATACCCTCTCGTTATCGTATTTTCTACGTATTTGACCGAATTTATGGATATTATCAACTGATTTTCGAAAAGACAAAAGATAGTGTCCGTTTAAGATATATTATGCGAGCTAGTGCAATAGATTCTGCGGAGATCAATGCCTATTTCCATAGGAGTATAAGATAAAATAGTGTTCGTGACCGTTAGAGTTTTATTTTCAAGCTTTGTGGTTCTTATATTGAAAATAAACATTACTTGGAAGTTGGAATGTTTTAGGGATCATCAAAGAAGGTGGAGCATTATTATTTTTGTGAAAAAAAGAGAGGCATTAAAACAACCATTTTTTTGCTATAGTTTGTTTTTGTGAAATAATAATACTATAGTACTAGTAATCAAATTATTTCCTAGATATAATAAAGAAATAAATAATGTTGACAAAAAGAAAAATTAAAACAGTTTGCCAAAAAAAAAAGATAGGTAAAACGGAGACTCGAAATGTTTTAAAAATGGTGAAAGAGAAGAAAACGCCATGTGTGAGATGGGACACGTGTCGGGGATATGGTCGATGATGTGTTGTCCTTTAACCTGTATCCAGCTGTCACATTCATGGCCCCCACTTGCATATGCATTTGCATATCTGGGAGATTTATAAAAATAAAAAAAAATTAGTAAAAAGAAAAAACTTTTATTTCAGAATTTATGGATGAATTTCTCATCTAAAATTATTTAGTATATAAAATAGACATTTATAATGTAGAATTTTATTAGAAAGGCCTAAAATTAGCTTCTTCCTTTTAAAAATTTTCTTTTACCTTTTTCCTTTGTAACATCAAAATATATGCTATGATTTATAAGATACTTGAATTTTCTTTGTATTATGATCATACCAAATAAAAAGCTTACATGCGCAACAAAAAGTTAAAATAAACTCTGAATAATCATAAGTTATATTCTAGTTGTACATATTCTTCTACAGAAAACGAGTAGTTTAGGAATTTAGTGTGTCAGTATTCAGTAAATCTGATCCATTTTCATCATCTTTTAAGTGGTTTGACACAACAACGTCGGATCTATACTGACAATAATTATAATTTGTTTTGATATAACTGATTGAAATCTTATAGTTATAGGAAATTCCATTAAAGTAAAGATAAAACAAAAAATATATTCATTGCACTTTTCAGTGGTCGCAACGCAGTGCAATTTTCCCTATATAAAACAGAATTCTACATATTAAGATTTGATCATCATTCCAAATTAAGCACAAATTTTACTTGAACATGTATGAACCTTGAAATTTTTAAGAAGTCCTATTTTTACAATACATTTCCGAAAAGTACACTTTATAATTAACTTTAAAAACTCTTTAAATCTATATCGTTGATTAGAAAAGTTTAATATATCTAAATTAAGTCACACAGAAGAAAAAAAACAAAGATAAAAATTGCCGACACAAAGAAAAGAAGATAAAATGCGGGAACTTTTATTTCTTTATTATAATAAAGTAGACATTTAGTTCAACTTAAGGCATAGTTCAATCTTATTGACTACAAGTTTTACATTCATCGTTTCAAATTTTAAGAATGGTTAGAAGCATAATTGGGGTTACTTTTGGGAAAGCTTTTATGAACTCTTTTGAAAATTTCAACCATGTGGGAGTTTCTATTTTTGTGGTCGCACGCATTGCTTTACTTTATTGACCGACGTCATTTGTTCAAGACCCCTTCACGCCGTCATTTCTCTCTTTTTCTGACATCAATCAAAGTCCTAAAGCTTCAAAGCCGTTCCCTCTGAAAAATCTGTGACCATAGTTTCAAAAGCCTCTAGAAGCCCTGGAGGGTGTCTTAATGGCTCGGCAGCTTCAAGATCAGAAAATGTCTTATAGATTTCTAGAAACCCACTTTTATATTATAAGACTACATAATACATTATTGGATATAAATCAAGTTCACTGACTATATGTTCAAGCATCATCTGAAAATCAAATCTTAAAAAGAATTTCGTCGTAGCTAGCTAGTTTTACCATTAGAGCTACAACTTTGAACAATACTCGTACTCAATTCCAACTGCAATTTAAGAAATAAACAAATCAATGTATCTTATCTTGTTCTATGCTAAAGATCAAATCTCATTCTGGTCCATCAATGTCTAACTGAATCAGGGATCAACAATTATAACTCAATGACCTGAGCCTTCCAACAATTTCCTCAATCACTCTTACCTTGCTGAGATCCAATCTCCTGTAAGTAATGCTCTGCATCCAAAGCTGCCATGCACCCTACACACTCAATCAAACGGAGTTGCAATGACGATTATTACTCTATAAACAGAGCTAAACAGAGTGAGAACTGAAAATTGTGAAAACAAGACTCTTTAGTCTAAAGACTGTTACTTAAAACCATCAATGATCTCTCTACTAAGAAATGGAACAACACACTCAAGGAAGACTACAAACTCCAACACAAAAACCTTGGCTTGCATCAATCGTAAATTGAACCATATGATATAGAAGCAACTAAACCTCAAGAACTTGACAAGCCATAGGGTTGCAGAGCTGCTTTAAAAGATACTCCCTTTGAAAAGATGATTCCAAAATCAGATATTGCACACAAAGTCGAGTAATTCTAACTTCTAAGTAGATAAAAACACAGTTTCCCACATAACTAAAATAGCTAACTAAAGCAGTTTCTTTCAGAGAAAGTAGAGAACTAACCAGTTCCTGCAGCAGTGACTGCTTGCCTATACTTCTTATCCTGAACATCACCCGCAGCGAAAACTCCGGGAACGCTAGTCTGTGTAGTACCAGGCTTGGTCACAACATAACCATCCGAATCTAACTCAACACCACCATCCAAAAACTTGGTAGCTGGCTCATGACCAATAGCAAAGAACAATCCAGCAACTTTCAAATCAGAAACATCTCCAGTAACCACATTCTTCACTTTCAATCCTCCAAGCACATCTCTTTCCCCATCTCCATAAGCTTCCACAACCGAAGAGTTCCAAATCACATCAATCTTAGGATTAGACAAAGCTCTCTGCTGCATAATCTTAGACGCTCTAAAAGCATCTCTCCTATGGATTATATACACCTTTGATCCATATTTGGTGAGAAAGTTTGCTTCTTCCATTGCGGAATCGCCTCCACCGATAACCGCAAGAGGTTTGTTCCGGAAAATCGGAGCAGCTCCGTCGCAAACAGCACAAGCTGAGATTCCACGGTTCCAGAAACCTCCGGAGCCTTCACCAGAGCCAGCGAAGTTAAGCCGCTTAGCCACAGCTCCAGTAGCGAGAATCACAGCGTCAGCGAGAACGGTTCTTGAATCTGTGAATAGCTTAAACGGTTTCGAAGAGAAATCGACTTTCGTCACCGTCTCCGTGAAAATCGTAGTACCGAATCGCTCTGATTGTTTACGGAATTTGTCAGTGAGCTCTGCTCCGAGAATACCTTCTGGAAATCCGGGGAAATTCTCCACGTCGGTGGTGGTTGTTAGTTGACCGCCGGGAGCGATGTTGTTAGCCATCCATCCTTCGAAGAGAAGAGGTTTGAGTTCAGCCCTAGCCGCGTAAATCGCCGCCGTGTGAGCCGCTGGGCCACTACCTATGATACAGAGCCTTGTGTTGTGAGTTTCGAGGCCATTCATGACGGCGGATGAAGAAAACGTGGCGGAGGCGAGAGACGGCGGTTGAGAGAGAGTGGATTCACCACCAAGTCGTGCAAAGCTTCGTGCTCTGCTTATCAAACACTTTAAACGAGTCATACAATTCATTGGGAACGAATTACTTACACAAAGACAAGACCTTTGATTTTGTTTTAGTTTTGTTTCTCAATTTTGTGGTCAAAACAAGTTTTTTATTTTACAATATTTGGGTTTTAAGCTTGCATAAATATTGTCAAGCTTGGGAATTTGGGCAATACAGTAACACAAGAATGGAATGACTTGGAGATCAAGTAGTTTTCTTACATATCCTCCAAACCAGAATGATTCTTGCAAATTGAAGCATTCTATAGAGGTCGACAAAATAAACTTCAGGAATATAATCATAAATGATTGCTATTTCTTTCTTTATTGACTTTTTATGGAATCAAAATAACATAAGAGAGAAATTTAGAAGGAGAGAGGAACTAATAAACAGTGTACACAAAAAGCCTGTGAAACTGGCTCAGGACACACAAAATACAAATGCCTCAAAGACAGACAATATGAGCTTAGAGCTTCCTTTAACCAGAAGCTCAAAGGAAAGCATCCTTCTCAAGCAGCTTCACCACCTCGAGCTGGCTGTTGAGCTTCGCTACATCAATTGGTGTCTTCTCGTCTAGGTTTTGCAGAGTGCTGCAACCACACACAGACCAACCATAGCATATATAATTAAAGTCCTGAAAAAGTGTTTAATTGAGTTATTTCTTTATAAGTACTGTGTTGTGAGACTTACACTGCAGCACCATTCTCCAGGAGAAGGCTTACACACTCTTTCCTCCCGTAACCAGCAGCATAATGCAGAGGTGTGTTCTTGTTTTTGTCAACCGCGTTAACACTTGCTCCAGCATCGATAAGAACTTGAGCACATTTCAACTGTGGATAGGGCACAACAGGGTTAAACTCGGTTCAATCCATAGTCATAAGCAAAATCTTAAGTATGCAAGTAATCGCCAATTCCATCTCATTGTTCTTTCACCAAATATTTGAACATGCTACAAGCAATTGTGTCATGAAACTCGTAGGTGTAGTAGACTGGTTACTTTTCTACCAAGTGAATGATGATAAAGATTCTTCACTCCACAGCTAGTGAAAAAAAAGAGAACCACCTAAATCCGAATATTTAATTTCCCTGAATTGATAAGAGAATTGCATACCTCGCCATATCCACAAGCAAAGTGCAATGCTGTCCTTCCTTCAGAATCTTCTTCATCTTTGTTACCACCAGATGCTAAGGCAGCTTTCAAACCCTAATGAATCAACAAGTAAAATCCAATAACGAGTTCAACAAAACAAAATTTCAAACATCTAATTCCTCAAGCAACACACAAATGATAAATTCCACATGGTCAAGCATATGAAAGTTTAACAAAGTAGGAAGCAGTCTACTAACCTCAACATCACCAAGACTGGCAGTTTGATGAACAATAGACTCTTCTTCTTCACCTTCTTCTGCTGCCTCAGGTTCAGCTGAAACAGTCTGGTCTGGTAAGCCAGCAACAGGCATACCCATTGCTTCACCCAGCTTTTTCAGCACTTCTGGATCATTCCAGTACCTAATACCAAATAAAAATTCTTCCTCCATAAGGGAAAACAACCCTAAGCAGAAACAAACTACACAATTTCTATAAAAACATTGAAAAAAGTTTGTATTACTCACTTCATCATGGCAGAGGGACCACCGGCATCAATCTCATCTAGTATAGGTTTCAACTCTGGATCTTCTTTCATCCGCGCCATACGCTCAGTAAAGTGCTCTGCTGTTTCAGGATTCGAGAAAGCATCCAGAAAAGGAGACATTTGTGGATCCTGTAAGCAAGAAAAGAAAAAACCAGACAGACAGAGATTTTCATTCAAAGCCATGCCTCGAAAACCAAAGTAAGAAAATCCAGATGGAAAAAAGTCTTCAATTCCTAACCTGCACTAAGGCGGTACCAAGTTTCTCCGCCATTGTCTTAAATTCAGGGTTATGCATAACCTGTTGCATTGTGTTGACATACTGTTGTGGATCAAAGTTAGGGAAACCACCATCCTGACCAGCGTTTGGAATAGATCTCTGAAGCTGCTCAGCCAATTGGTTAAAGGCAGGATCTTTAGCTATTTGCTCAGCCATTTCTCTGATGCTTGGATCCTAAAAAAAACCATTAAAAACACCCATCAATAAAAAAAACTCAAAGAAGATAACTTTTCAATTGTGGTAACAACAAAGGTCACTTACGTTGAGGATACCAGCCATATTAGAGAAATCAAAAGCATTCAAATTCAAGCCAGGCATAGCTGGTGAAGGTGAACTCCCAGAAGCTGATTCCGGCTTAGAACTCTTATTCTCCTCCGTCGATTTGGGTTTTTCATCTACAGTAAACAAATTACACGAACCAATAACCAAATCTGACTAGAAACGATTCAATATCGCTGATAAGATTGTATATACGAAGGAGATTTGAGAAAAGAAAAAAAACTGGGTTAGATCAAAAATTACCTGAAGGAGGAGGATTTTTCTCTGAATTGGAAGCCATTAAATATGACTAAAACCCTAAAAAAAAAACACACACAATTCTGATTCAGCAAAAGTATCCAAATTGAGTAAATAAGATTAACAGAAGAAGAAGATAAGGAAATCGAAGCAGAGACCTATCAGAAAGAGATGAGTAAAAAAAACGAAGAAGAAGCAGAAGAAATTTACCCGACAAGACAATGTTGTGGTGGCAAACGCTCACGAAACTTGAAATACAGATAATCTTTTTTTTTTTTTTAATATGACGACAGAGAAAATTTATTTATTTATGTGTATTGATGAATTATTATTATCAGCTGGATTTTGGATTGAGAAGAAGACCGAGGCACAACAGCCACTGCTTCCCATTGAACTTTGAACCTAAAAAGCTAAGATCAAATCAATACAATAAATTGATATTGGCCCAAATAAGCTCTCAAGGCCCAAGCCCATGCGTTCGAATAGAAGCTGAGCCACGTCAGATTTATGATTTTCCCAGTAACGTTTAATTTTTTTTTTTTTTTTTTTTTTTTTCATCACAGTAACGTTTAATTTAAGAATCCAATTATCCGTTAATGGATAAACACGCGTCACTTCTCGGAAGCAGCCGTTCATGGCAGCCACGCTTCCACCCTGTGCTGCTCTCCGATCTCCCGTCTCTTCCCGGAGATTCTCTCTGATTAACAAAACCAATGCTCATCTTCAGTACAATGTCTTCCTTTCACCGTTGACGTCACCATCACCATTGTTCGGTTCCGTCGCTATTCGCGGCAGAATTTTCCCGCGTTTACCGGCGGCGAAGCAGGAGATTGATCAGCAGGATGAGGTTGGATTTGATCAGCAGCCGTCTCAGGAGCTTGCGATAGCGTCGGCGTGTTTGGTTGGTGTTCTCACTGGAGTTAGTGTGGTTCTATTCAATAATTGTGTTCACTTGCTTCGAGACTTCTCCTGGGATGGGATTCCTGATCGTGGAGCTTCGTGGCTTAGAGAGGCACCGATCGGTTCTAATTGGTTGCGTGTTATCCTTGTTCCGACTATAGGCGGTTTGGTTGTGAGCGTGCTCAATCAGCTTCGAGAATCTGCCGGAGAATCCACCGGAGATACTGATTCTAGTCTCGATCGCGTAAAGGCAGTGTTGCGTCCTTTCCTTAAAACTGTTGCCGCATGTGTGACGCTTGGGACTGGAAATTCGCTGGGGCCGGAAGGTCCTAGTGTTGAAATTGGAGCATCAATCGCAAAAGGAGTGAATTCTCTGTTCAATAAAAGTCCTCAGACTGGCTTCTCACTTCTTGCCGCTGGCTCAGCGGCTGGAATTTCCTCTGGTTTGTTCATCTTCTATCGAATACAATATCATCCGATATTTGCTAATGTTGTTCGCTCTTGCTTATGGATCTCTTGATTGATTTCGAAGTGTATGCTTGCTTTCTTCTGAGTTATAAGTTAAGTGGACTATGTTATATTTTGTTACAGGGTTCAATGCAGCTGTTGCTGGATGCTTCTTTGCAGTTGAATCCGTTTTGTGGCCTTCTTCATCTACTGATTCATCAACATCACTTCCAAACACAACTTCTATGGTTATTCTTAGTGCTGTTACTGCTTCTGTGGTGTCGGAAATCGGTCTCGGCTCTGAACCTGCGTTTAAGGTTCCTGACTATGACTTCCGCTCTCCTGGAGGTAATATACACTGTCTTTTTTTTAGGCTTTCTACCTTCTCCTTTGCACAGCTTTCAACTTATGCGAGCTGGTCACTGATTTGCAGAACTTCCACTCTATCTTTTACTGGGCGCTCTCTGTGGCCTGGTCTCGTTGGCATTATCTCGATGTACATCATCCATGACATCTGCTGTTGACAGTCTCAACAAGGACGCTGGGATACCAAAGGCTGTATTTCCTGTAGTGGGTGGCTTAACTGTTGGTATCATAGCTTTGGTATACCCTGAAGTCTTATATTGGGGTTTTCAGAACGTGGATATTTTGTTGGAGAAACGTCCATTTGTGAAGGGCCTTTCAGCTGATCTTCTGCTTCAGCTGGTAGCGGTCAAGATAGCTGCAACCGCATGGTGTCGGGCTTCTGGACTTGTCGGTGGATACTATGCTCCTTCTCTCTTTATTGGCGGGGCAGCAGGAATGGCCTATGGAAAGTTTATTGGACTTGCTTTGGCTCAGAACCCTGAAATCAATCTCTCTATCCTGGAAGTAGCATCTCCACAAGCTTATGGTCTGGTACTGTTCTTAGGTGGTCAATGTTTCAAAATTGTCTTAATTTCAGAGTCTCTTGATTGATTACCTATCAATACTTTCAACAGAATATTTTTTCGGGTTATCTGAGAAATGGATGCTAAACATTTTGCAGCTTCATTGCCAATAATCCTGTTTGTCTCATTGTTCAACAGGTTGGAATGGCTGCTACACTTGCGGGGGTTTGTCAAGTTCCTCTTACAGCGGTACTACTGCTATTTGAACTTACACAGGATTATCGTATAGTGTTACCTCTACTGGGAGCTGTAGGCATGTCTTCATGGATTACATCTGGACAATCAAAGAGACAAGAAACTAGAGAAACAAAAGAAACTAGGAAAAGAAAGAACCAAGAAGCTGTACAGTCTCTGACGCCATCTGATGATGGATTATCAACGAATAACCTTTGTGAAGTTGAAAGTTCTCTTTGCCTTGATGATTCACTCAACCAAGCTGAGGAGCTGCCGAAGAGTATATTTGTTTCAGAAGCCATGCGAACAAGATTTGCCACAGTTATGATGAGCACTTCTTTGGAAGAGGCATTAACTCGTATGCTGATAGAGAAACAATCCTGCGCCTTGATTGTTGACCCTGACAATATCTTTCTCGGTATACTTACACTTTCAGACATTCAGGAATTCAGCAAAGCAAGAAAAGAAGGAAATAAAAGACCCAAGGTACGCAATTTGAATAGTCTGTTCTTGCCTCAAACCTCTGAAATAACTATTTCTTGTGGTAGCCTGATCATAAATTGAAGCATTCTTTGGCATAGGATATTTTTGTTAATGATATATGTTCGAGGAGTGGAGGAAAATGTAAAGTGCCATGGACTGTTACACCTGATATGGATCTTCTCGCTGCCCAAACAATCATGAACAAGCATGAAATTTCCCATGTTGCAGTCGTTTCTGGCAGCATTGATGCTCACAGAATACACCCTGTTGGGGTCTTAGATAGAGAATGTATCACTCTAACGCGAAGGTAAACCTGCATCTGTTTCCCCTTGGTTTAACTGTTTGTCCCAAGATCACCTTTTCATATGGATTTTTTAATGAACCTAACTGACTAACCTAGTCTTCCATATGGCAAGAGTGTGTAGAGAGTCTGTGTTACTATAACTTGGGCTGCCAGGTTTCCCATAGTGGATGTAGTTGAAGTTAAATTAGTTAAAAGAAATTTTACTTGCAACTTGTTGTTTGCTCAGCGAAGAAAGGAGTGAGTAGCAAAGTCCAGTTTGCTAGATTTTTTATTCTTAGAACTGTCATCTGTGTCTAGAGTTAATACCAAAGTTATTGACCCAGCAAATAAGTTTCCTCAATTCATTTGGAACTTTTCTGCGTAGATTCTGCACTGGAGATGATACTGGTTTTTCTTAGCTTTTTCTCTTGCTTGACCTGGCAGGGCTCTAGCAACCAGAGTGTTCCTCCTAAATTCCCTGTACCCGTAAACGGGCTTGCTTTGTAACTCTTTTTGAGCTGACCAGGGTGATTTCAATCTGTTTCTTCTATGAGGCTCGGGGCCAATTTTTGTCCTTTCTATTAAGTGATTTGGGGAAAATGAGTTGGCTGGTGCGGCGTGGATATTTGTCTATTCCATATGTTGGTTGCAACCGGTGGAAGCTCCAATATCTCACTTAAGGTGTTGAGCAAAGGGAATCGAAACATGGAACGTGGTTCTGAGAAGTGAGAACATCTTCAGAAATTTTTCTGAAACCAAAGATACTGTGCTCAGGTGATTCGTTACCATTTACAACTTATTTTTTTACAGATTGTTATTGTACCTTACTCAATATTGTGTCTATTTTGTAAAGTGCTTTCTGACTTATATCATATTGAGAAAGTTTTGACTACTTGAAGACTAACAGTGTCAACAAATGTAAGGGTTTCCTTGTCCACTATTTTGTATTTTGAAGAACACTAAAATTTATTGAAATCCAAGATTGAAATGCCCTTATTCTGATGTGTATCTCTCTTGGTGAGCCGCAAGGGCATGTTGACGTCTAATTATATGGAGATTTTTCTCAAGAAATTATCTAGAGAAAACAGTAGTCAGGCCATTGTGTTGGTTAAACAACCGTCCTAAAACCTTTTAGGTAAAGAAGAAGCAACCCCACATGGGTTGAATGACCTACCTAATCTATACTTACCTCCAGCATGGTATAGCTAGTACCCTCTGAACAGGCAAGGATACACATGCTATATAATATCATTCGGGTGTGATTCCATTGATACCAGAAAATGGATCAAGCAAAGGCAAAAGTCTGTGTTACCGGGGCTTCAGGCTTCTTGGCTTCTTGGCTTGTGAAGAGGCTTCTGCTTGAGGGATATGAAGTTATTGGAACTGTCAGAGTTCCAGGTTTTTCTATCCTTCTTGTTTCCTTTGTCTTTGTCCGTTTTGGTGCCTGTCAGTACTCAGTTAGTTTCATGTTTTGACAGGAAATGAGAAGAAACTCTCGCACCTATGGAAGTTGGAAGGGGCAAAGGAGAGACTGCGGCTGGTGAAGGCTGATTTAATGGAAGAAGGAAGTTTTGATAACGCCATAATGGGATGCCAAGGAGTTTTCCATACTGCTTCTCCTGTGCTCAAACCTACCTCTAATCCAGAGGTATGCCACTACAAACTTTTTTTCTGGTCACACTAAGCTTTGTGTATCTTTTACTAGATTATCTTTTCTCTATGACTTTTTATTTCTTATGATTTGATAGGAGGAGATTTTGAGACCAGCTATAGAGGGAACCCTGAATGTACTGCGATCATGCGGGAAGAATCCGTCCCTGAAGCGCGTGGTTCTCACCTCATCATCTTCAACAGTCAGGATCAGAGATGATTTTGATCCCAAAATCCCTCTTGATGAATCAATTTGGACCTCTGTGGAACTCTGCAAGCGTTTCCAGGTATAATAATTTGAAAGTGAAAGAGTAGCTATTTTGCTCAACACAAAAATCACATTAGCTAACAGTTTGTGTAAATGAGTTTCACAATTTGATGCAACATGGGAAAAAAGGTTTGGTATGCTTTATCAAAGACATTAGCCGAGCAAGCTGCATGGAAATTCTGTGAAGAAAATGGTATTGACCTCGTCACTGTTCTACCATCCTTCCTCGTCGGACCCAGTCTGCCTCCTGATCTATGTTCTACAGCGTCTGATGTCCTCGGATTACTGAAAGGTACTCACTTTCTCATTAATTCTCTAAGCAAGATCACATGACTCGTTTTTGGGTCCAATATCCATCTGCTACAATAGCTTATAACTTGTCATTCAACACCACAGGAGAAACAGAGAAGTTCCAATGGCATGGACAAATGGGGTATGTTCATATCGATGATGTTGCACGAACCCACATACTTGTTTTTGAACACGAAGCAGCGCAAGGCAGATACATTTGCAGCTCTAACGTTATCAGTCTAGAGGAACTAGTTTCATTCCTATCTGCTCGTTACCCATCACTCCCTATCCCCAAGAGGTTTGGCACTGACCTTTAAATTAAACCGTTTCTCAAACCTTGTAAAATTTGAAAATCATAGACGATGATACTCTCTTTGAAAATTTCAGGTTTGAGAAACTAAATAGGTTGCATTACGACTTTGACACCTCGAAGATACAGAGTCTCGGGCTCAAGTTCAAGTCCCTTGAAGAGATGTTCGATGACTGCATTGCCTCATTAGTCGAGCAAGGCTATTTATCTACTGGTCTTCCATAACTCTTAGACTAGAGAATATGTGCAAATAAGATTGGTCTGAAATAGTGTGACATTTGGATTCACAATTAAAGAATGGAATCGGATAACATGTAGACAAAGGTTACAAACTTTGTTTATCTCTACTTGTTTATGAACCAAATCATAACATATTGCATCTATCGAAGTTACGCTTTAAGACGACAATCCCTCTGAGAGAAAAAAATGGGATGAAGATATCTCAAAACAATTACTGTAGCAGGAGACAGGGAACATGTTTTAGCTGCATAAGAGTGCATAAATGATGAAAGAAACTATTTAGTAGCCTGAGCGATTATATTACTTATTGAACTGGCCTCCTCTTTTGCAACCTCCACCAATTGATCCTTCAACATCATAACAGATTGTCATGTCAGGACAAATCCTACAGACTAATCTTTGCATTTCGATGACTTAAGAATATAACTCAGTACCTGAGCGGATATAATCCTGGCAACTGTTTTCTTGCTTGACTCTTGAAGCTCCCCGGCAATCAAGAGCTCATCCAATATGTAATATGCCTAAGAAAGCAACAAGCAATCCAGAAAGGCGTCATCAGAAACCAAAGATGCAGAGAGTAGAGAATCAAGTGGTGAATAACAAAGTCGTAGAGTGTTTGTAGTATGTTATTTACCTTGTGGAAGTTAAAAATCAAATCGAGCTCACACACCTGAAGGTCATAGGTAAAACAATTCCGTATCAAATTCTAGAGGTTCCTCTGAGATAAGAGATAGTAAAAGTGGAAATGTAGAAGTTCCAGGTGCTGTTTTTTTATGACTCACACTACCAAAATAGCGATCGAGAATCTCAACATAGTGATGAATGATCTCAAGGACCTCTAACTCGTTATCCTCCTGATCAATGCACATGCAGAAGTAGAGACTAGCATATCTTTTGTAAACAACTTTGTAGCCTCTCCATTCAACAAAATTACAGAGCTTGGGACCTCGATTCAGAATCACTCCACTGAGTTCACGTATAACCTATACATAGCATGTAAGATGAGAGATGTATGCTAAAGCATAACATGGTGTGTGTGAAGCTCAGTAAATTGGTATCCGTACCTTAGATCTTTCCTTCTGTGCGTAAGGTGAATACCATTTGGTGAGTCTTACCTTTCCTTGCCGGCTAACTAGAAGCACAAAATGTATCTGAAAACACACCCAAGAAAGATTCCAACAAGCAAAGGTTTGAAGCCATTGAACTAAATTAGGAGAATCGAAACTACGAAAAATCAAACCCAGAAGCTAGCATTATCAAATTACAGGTACCAAATTTTGTATCTGCAAACAATATTGAGCGGAAACATCTGTAACAACCGATCAATTCGTTTTCAAGAGCAGATCCAAGTATCAAACTAATGAAGACGAAGCATAAGACGAATCGGAGATGCGCATTGGTAAACGCAGAATCGAAGATGGAGCATTAGAGATTGTTACCATGATTTCGTAACTCAAGACGGAACAAATCTGTAGCAGCTAATTCCCAGAAACTGATGATCGACGATCTTCAGAGGAAAAATAAAATTGTTTTTCTTTGCTCAAAGTAAACTGTCAAACATGTCGAGTGTCAGGGGTATAATTGTCATTTACCTGATTAAAAACGGTCTGTATTTCCGGGTCGGATCCATTCAAAGAGGTGATCCGACTCTAAGCTACAATTTTTTCAAATAATTTTGTTCCATTATTGCGTCTAAAAATTCTACTCCCTCCGTTTCGTTTTAGTTGTCGTTTAAGGTTTTTGCACACAAATTAAGAAAATCATTAAATTTTCTGTTTTACCCTTTATTAATATATTTTATAATTTTTTCATTGGTCAAAACATTAAAATATTAAGGACAAAACATAAATTTTCACCAAACATTTGCATTGAAAACCTAATACGACAACTATTATGAAACAAAATTTTAATCCTAAAACGACAACTAAACTGAAACGGAGGAAGTACATGTTTTAGAAGATTCCGATGATCGATCAAACGACCATAGCAATTATCTTCTTAATTTTATCGAATAGACCAGCGCATTACACGTTAAACATAGCAATTACTATGTCAAAGGGTTTTGAATGAACATAATTATTCAGTTAATCTTATAGAATTACTTTCTTAAATATCAAAATATTAACTTTTCTTATACTTGGGTCACGAATATTCAATATTTTATCCCTAAACCCCAATAAATAGGGGTATATTTACTTATTTAGGACCGATAATCAATTTTAGAAAAAAATAAGCATACTTTAATTTCTAACTAAGAATGTAAATATAATTGTCCATAATCAAGATAGACATTTTTTTTTGTGCAACGTAACCATCAATCAAAATAGACATAAACAACAGTTTTAATAAGTCAGATAACAGAAATAACTCCTGAACTAATTTGAGCAGCGACTAATGGACACAACTGTGAAGTTATGAATATGAAGTCTTACATAAGCTTGTATTTATTATATAATTACTTAAATTACGCCTAACCTTGGAGTTGGAGGGAAGGCATATTCTCTTGCATGCAGGCTTTTGATTTTTATTTTCTTTAATTTTTGTTTTTATCAAGTTTCAATGTGTTTTGAAGTTGACATCATCATAGATATTAGGGTTTTAGTTGTTCTCCCCAAATATTCTTTCCCTTCTTTGCCAGACAGTGGAAGTTCAGTTTTATGACCTGTTTGCCAATAAATATATATACACACAGAAATTAGAACATGTTTAATTATATGACAATAATCGGAAGATTTAGTTAAAGCCTTAATATGTGGAACATCAATTAACGAATACAAAGTCCATTTTCTCCGTATTACTCACCTAATAATTAGGGACTAGAACAAGTTATAACAACAAGGGGTTAATTCAAGCTATGTCACAAAAATAAGACTTCTTTAGTTCTTTTTATAACACTTAACAATTCTAAGTACCAAAAAAAAATAACACTTAACAATTCTATTCATAGCAAACGAACAGAAAAAAGGAAACTCTAGCGTTCGTTTTCTTTTTCACACACCAAGTTTTAAGAGAAAGCAAAAATATAAAAAAAAAACCCTAATATTCGCATTTCGCAACCGCTATAGCTAGTACCTAGTAGCCTAGTAGTTTGAGGTCAAATACAAACGCAACAAAAGGTGTCACCAAAACGCTAAAACGCGGGTCTAGTCACACTGCCACCTCCTCCTCCGCTACCGCCGCTCATACCGAAAATATCTCCCCCGGAGAATTGAAAATTGTTCATATTCATTCCAAGATTGTAGAAAGCAACACCTCCTCCACCATTTCCACCTTGGAGGTTTGACTCACACGCCTGGGCCCCACTCCCCGTAACCTCCGACGACTGAGACGCCTCCGGCTGCTGCTGCTGCACCCCGGTGGTTCTCGGCGGTGGAGTTTCTTCCTCTTCAATCGGTAACCTATCATAAACTGCGTTTGCAAAAGAAGCAGCCATCAACACTACCGGACCCGAAGCAATTAACGAACCAGCCACATTCCCTCCTACAACTTGTCCTTGACCTCCGGCTAGATACACCGTCAACCCTCCTGCTCGCGGTGGCGCAGGCGGCGGAAGCGCAGTCCCAGTCAAAGACAAAATCTCAAACCGACCATGCAGGGTAATCACACCTCCACCCGCCGGAGCCGCCGGTTGCCGTATTGTGACGTTAGTTACCGCACCGGTGCCGCTTATAATGCAAACGCCGCAGCCGCGACGAGTGGCATAGGTGGAGACAGCCTCGGATATGTCCGAACCGGAGGTGACTTCAAGAACGTGGGATCTAAGGACGTTAGGACTATCTCTGGTTATAATCGTCGGAGGTTTGGGTTTATTTTTTGAACCTGCAGGACGACCACGTGGACGGCGTCCGGAGGAAGAGCCAGAGGCTGTGGCTGAGCTGGTTGCTCCGCCGGTGGGAGTGGTCTCGGCCTTGGCTTCGTCTGCTTCAGATCTGTTAAGTTCCATGTTATTTTGATCAGGTGGGGTTCTGGAATCTTCAGGTCTCTGTAGATGCAGTTCTTGCCCTAAAAGAGGGTGCATATAACCAGCCATTGATAACTTTGGGTTTTTGGATTTTTTTGGTTATAGTGAGAGACAAAAGACAAAAGTCGACAGAAAACTTAGTGATGAAGTGGTTAGTCACTGAGAGTATTTCAGAGAGACTGAGTTTGATTTAATAATGCTACGGACAAAACAAGAAGACGACAAGAGAGAACAAAACCTTACTGATAATAAGAGAAAGACGTCTAAAGATGTGAAAGAGTTGGGTCGGTGAAATTTGTCTGGACCCAGATCTAGATCTTCATGTGAAGTAATGGAATGAAACAAAGGAGAGAAAGAAGTAAAGCAAGAGCATCAAAACACTATATAAACACAGCTCTCTTCTAAATTATAATATACATAAATATAACTATACATATATATTTGTGTATATATAATATTTTGGGTTGGTGTAGTGACTTTTCCTCGAGTAAAGAAAAAAAAAACTAAATTAAGATGTTGACGACTTAAGAAGGGATTGATGGATTCTGTGGGAGACAAAAGAAGGATTCTGGGGAAGTAAATCACGGAGATAGAGAAGTTAAAGGATAGGCCTTTTGTGACGGTGAAGGGATGGTTTGGTGTTGGTGATATGATGATTTTAGATTTGTTTCGTTTAATTTCTTCTCTTAAAGCAAAAAAAGAAAACAAAAGCGAATGTAATTTGTTATTCCAAAGTCAAGTTATGCTGTTTGATTTCAAGAACAATAACCGACCATACTTTCTGTTAGCGTTTTTTGTCGGTAATAGCACAAAGATTGTTCTCTCTTTTTTTTCGAGTTCAACTCTTACATTTTAGTATTTTTACAAATTTAAGATCCGAGGTTTTAAATGCTAGCATTTGCTTCTTACCATTAGTCTAGATATAAATCATATGTATTTAACATGACAAGAACCAATTTCTGAAAAAAAAAAAAAAAAATTTTGGTCAATCATTCAATCAAGATCTTCTTTTAAAGACCGAAACATGCATATAGTAGTTATGTTCCAACCTAAAACTCTAATTTGAGACAATGATTCAACATTTGCCCTCAAAAAAACAAAAAAAAAGACAATGATTCAACATATCTCCTAATAAAAATATTGTTCAACAAAAACGCTTTGCTAACAATATAGTTTTTTTTTGCTTGAGTTTAATTCTTCGAATAAATTCAATAACACGCGCGTGACCCTAACGCGCCCCCAATTTTTTTCTCTCGAAATCACATTACTTGCAGACAACCAAATTCCGCCGTTCTTGCCTCTCCGGTTGTCCGGTTTCGATCGGCACCGTGAGAGGGCTTACTTTGTTCGCCTGGGTCCTTGTTCCTTTCTATGCTCTTGAAGTTTTTCTGAAGGGATGATTCGTTTCTGTTTCGCGTGGCGAGTGTTGAAGGTTCCACCGTGCGAGACGGCCGGTCTCCGGTGGCTGTTCCTAGTGCTTCTACCTCTACTGCTTGTAGACGGTGGTGGACCAAGGTGGTTGCTCTGTCTTTTCGGCCCTAGCGTCTCGCATCTCATGCGGCGGAGCAAGCCTCGGCTTGTAGATCTGTCCAGATTGCCTTCTTCCCGGTGGTCTCGGCTGTGAGTTTCGCGTCCCAAGACTTTGTCGTGGTTGCTTCTCTCCTTTCCGGTTCCATTTTTTCCAAGTATCTCTTGGTCTTCCCGCTGCGTGTCGACGCGCGTCTGCCGGAGTTTTGGGCTTCTCTGTGGCGGGGTTCGCTTTGAGGACTGCTTCCTCCGCCACGCCTGAAGCCTCTGTCCTCTCCGTGCGTGTTGATCGTGTGTAAGAGTTTTGAATCGAGCGGTTTTCTTTAGTTCTGTGGTTGGTTTTCCAGCCTTGGTAGGTGTTCTCCATCGACCCTCTGTAGCTTCTGATGCCTCGGCCTCTCTTTTCTGGTACTCCTTCGCTTAGGTACTCAGTGAATGGTTACTACTGGTAGTTCTGAGTTTCGTCTAGTTTTTCGTTGAGTCTGGTTTTTGGAGATCCGCGTCTCTGTTGGCCTCTTCTGCTTGAGGACAGTAGCAGAACTATTAGGAGCGTGGTGTCTTGTGGCAGGTTAGGCTCTTTCGTCGATCCGGATGCTCTCTGTCTCCTTTGTGTAGCTTCTTTGGTGTTTGATTGGTAGTGGCTTTAGCTATCGGTGGTAGCTAGTTACCCACTTCTTTAACAGCTCCTTAGTTTTTCATCCCTTTGGTTAGCTCAAGGTTTGTTCTAGGCTGTGGCTTCTATTTGTTTTGCTCTTGTGTTGGAGTTAGCTTTGCTTTGCGTTTCTCCCCTTTTTCTTGCGGATGGATTGAGCCTTAGAGGAGCTAGTAGGGTTAATGGCTTCTGGTGTGGTGGTGAATGGTTTTATCTAGCTCTGTGCTGCTGACTTCGGGGATGAACTTGGTATTGAGGGAGCTTGCACCTTTTGCACTTTGGCGTGTGAGGTTCCGTTTTTTGGGATAGCTCATGGACTGCAACGAAGAATCGTTTGGAGTTGTAGACCGTTGACGGCTTGGTCTCGGACCTCCTGCGAAAGGCTTCTAACGCTCTTGGTCTGTCGCAATAGGGTGTTCTAACAATCAGCATTAGCCCTCCTGCTATTGCATCACATACGAGAAGAATAGCTTTAAACGTCATCGCTTCATCTCCTCCCGCAGCTTCATTGCATTGGTCGAGAAGATGGACCGAAAACTTGGTTTTAATTAACCGTTTTTATGCTTCCATGTTTTTATTCTTTTTGCCATGGATTCATATGTATAGGTTTCAAATTATGTTTGTAACCTAAACTGTTTTCATTTTTATGAAATATTTACAATTTAGCAAAAAAAACAATATAGTTTTTTCTTCAATTTGGAAGCTATATATCTTATGACTATTGATTTTATGATTGTTCATTTAAATGAAGTAAATAACTATACATTCTTAAATAAAATAATAGAAGTTAATGGAAAGTGGACCAACAAGAAATATAATTTTTTTTTGAATAGTGTATATTGTTCTTCAACAACAAAATATGGATTATTGTAGTGGTTGGGTAAAGTTAGATATAAGTTACGCGTTTTTGGTACATGCAAGTGTAAAATTAAGTCACTTTATTTTTCTAATTCTTAGTTCACGTGCTCGATCGACTCATTTATATATATAATCGCAAATATGAATGATTCACTAGAAAAATAGATTTACAGATTTAACTATATATTATGTAGGATTACAAATTTAACGGTTAAAAAAAATAAAAATCAACGACTACACATTTTTGTTCATATTGCATGCACGAGATCGATCATTGATGTTGAAGAAAATTTGGTTTCGTCGAAACTTCGGCAGTTAAATGGAAAGAGATTGAGAATTAATATTTACATTTGATTGTTTTGCTTTGCAGAGTTCATCAGCTTCTTGGCCCTTTTGTCATGACAAAAGTATTGGTTTCATGTAAAACAACTATATTTCAGATACCAGATTAATAATACAATTGTTTCAGGTATACAACTAATAAATCAAAATGAGTTATATCATAATTATATTATTGTTTAATTTTACCAAAATAAAAGCTTTAAAAAATATTCGATATAGTTTTTACCATTCAGTTAATTAATTTTTTCCATTTATGTAGGAAAAATTTGATTTGGATTTGTGTTTTGTTGTTGTGATAAATTCAAAACACATCATAATCATGTCAATTCTGCCATATACTTTTATGAAAAATATACCATTTTTAATTGTATACCTGAAACATATTGTGATAATGTTCTTTTTTTTTTAAATAGTGTCATAAAAGTGATATTTTATTACAAAAAGTTGTAAAATAATGCATCCCAGAGGAATAGTATTATATGAACTGGTAATTATTTTGGTCTCTCCTAGTTAAATTAATCATGCTGATATATAAACGATCATATGGATGTATAATTTTCGAACATTTTCTTTTGAGTGGTGATGAAGTGATCGGACGAGTAAAGCTCAAAAAGAATTTGTGTGTGTAATGAGTAAAGGAAGACAATTGGGCTTCACCATTGGCTGTTATTGTAAGAAGAGTGGTGGATTTCACATTTTCACATGATGAGCACTTTGCTTTTTTCCTTTTCTTGATTTTAGTTTAACCTTTTAGATATCTCGAGCCACTCAAGAGCATGGCTTCACTTTATTTATGTTATAATGGATGTCAAAAACTTAAATATTAAAATTGCTAAAACTTTACAGAGGGGATGTGTTTTGTGTTACAAACAAAGGAAGCTGAAATTTTATGCACATGCTTGCCAATATACTAATTCGATTTCAACGACCAATTGTTAGACATGCATCTTAATTACTATCACTAGTTTCTGTTTAGTCATATATAATATATATTTGAGAGTGTAACGCTTAAAAATAGCAATGTAATTAACAAAAACAAAAATCTATGATTCCAGTTTCAGTTTGTTGACAAAAAAAGAATCCGAGTTGGATTTAACTTTTTTGAAGAACAATGAAACTGAAAAGCTAACGCTTTCAATAATTAAGATCAAATGCTCCATTGGATTGCTGGTACTTCCAACATGAGTCTACCACCACTCCGCAGAATAGTAGAATGCCAAAAAACATTACATCATCTCATTAGAAAGTTAAATGCACAGGACAGCCACCCCAAGTCTCAATCATAAATACGTACGATATCGTACAATGCCACAAAATGTTTTTCACACAGTGTTTGATGCAATGATCTGTATCCAATGCGTTTCCCTGTATCGATTAACATAGAAACCACTACCATCAAGATTACCACTCTCTCGTTTATTTCCTTTGCACCCATTTTCTTACATATGAACAATTGATTTCTTTTTCACAAAAAAAAAAAAAACTTACAAGGCTTTTTTTTTTTTTTTTTTTTTTTTTAGTTTTAAGGGAATATGAATGATCATGGTTCAGATTGTTGAGATTTTTGAGAGATTATATATGCGATTGTTTTTGCGTGTCAGGAAATATTACTAAGTATATAGCCCTATATTGATTGTTTCTTGTTTAATAATTAATTTTTTTTTTCCACCGGCCAACATCTGTTCAGACGGATTTCATGTCCTGATTCAGTCGGCTTTATGTCTAGCATACTCCGGTTTCGTCAGCGGAGATGGCTAGCTATATGTCTAGCATACTCCAGCTTCGTTAGCGGAGATGACTAGCTATGTGTTCGGCATTTTCCGGCTTTGTTAGCGGAGATGGCTGGCTACCAGTTCGGCATCGTCCGACTTTCATTAGCGGTGGTGGCCGGTTTAGTTCTAGCGGATCTTGTTGCTAGTCCCTAACGCGGTGGTCAATGATGTGCACAAGCCCAAGTGATGCTTCTTCGACTTTCGAAACAAGTTTTGAATCCCAAGTTCTCATGTGTCAACAATTCCTTCAGAAATAGCTTCTCTTCCCTAGACCTTCAACCGATTGATCCTAATCTCTCATCCTTGAGATGGGTGATGATGCGGTTAGGCGGCTCCTTCAGCTTCCTCCAACTAAAATTCACGATCGGATCCGGGTCAAGATGTGAAAAGGTCTACTTCTGCTTAATCGGACCTTCGTCGAGTGAATCTCGACTTTACCGGTGTCAGCATGTTTTTGAAGGTTCCAACGCTTCATCAACGAAGCCCCATCAAGCTGGAGTTTAATTTGTAAGTAGATGTTTAAAAGCATTATTTTTTAAAAGTTTAAGTGTTAAATTTGTTTTAAATTTAAGTAGAAATCATTATTAATTTTTAAAAATGAGTTTAAGTGTTAAATCTATATTACGTGAAAACATGCCGAACTTCGAACACCAAAGCTTACGGACCAACTAAGGACAGGATGCCTAGGCGCGGTTAGTTTTCGACATTTTTAAAATTTAACACTTCAACTAATTTTTAAAAATTAATAATGAAATTTTCATTGTTTTGGTTAATTATTTTTTAAAGTTTAAGTGTTTATTTATAATCTTAAATAATTATTATTTTTGAAACCATAAGTTTAATTTGTTTTAATTCACAGTTAATTTTTTAAAACTAATTTAATATTTAAACTTATCTTAAGAAAAATAAAAGGAAACAAAAATAAAAATAAGAATGAAGAAAATAGTACCTTGTTGGATTTGGTAAGCATAGAAGGCCCCATACCAAAAAAAGCCCATTGCAAGTCCGATTCGAGCCCATCGATGAAACACAAATTGGTCTTCTTCCTCCGGAGGCGACTCGTAGTCTAAAGCCATCGAAACACCGAACCTGCTAACTGGTTGTCAATTTCACTATCCCTCTCTTCGCCATCGTCTTCCTCGCATCCTTCTCCGTCGTGTAATATCCTTCGTCGCCGTCGAAAGAATCCTCCGGTGAAAGCGTTTCGGTGGCGAGATCTTAGATCGTGTGAAATTAGGGAGACGAACTAAAAACTGAACTCGATTGATTGAAGATGTTGTCACGAGAGATCGAAAGAACATCAGTGATCAGTCTCGCAGAGCTCTGATCGAAAAGAGAAATTGCAGGTCTCAATAGAAAGAAGAAGAAGAAGATGAAAGATGATTTTTTGGTTTTTGATTTCTCAACGAAAGAGAAGATATGAGTATTTATAAGCAAAGGTTCAAAACAACAAAAAAAAAAGGAAAGTTTGGTTATTTCCTTTTTCCTTTTTCCTAGACCGACTAGACCGACTAGTTTCTTTTCAAATAGTGGCATATGTGGCTCGGACTCCTGATATTTCCTTTTTTCATGTTTTGCCAAAAAAAAAAAGGAAATTGATTAAGGTAAGAAAAAGTTACATTACCGTTACAACAATCATATATTTTTTTTTTTACTGTGTAACAACAATCTCATGTAGCGAAAGGCTACAATTGCAGTATTGTCGAAAAGGGATATCATCTGGATCTCGACAGTGCTCCTCTTTGTCGTCTAACAATGGAGGAGGAGGTAGATTATCAAGAGTAATTTTCTTTTAAATCACGCAATGTATTAAATTTCATTTACTAAAAACAACATAAACATCTATGGCCAAAATTTATTCGGGTAGACAGCCAAACCCCAAAAAAAAAAAGTGGAAGAAACACAGATTAGTGAATTACTTAAGCCACAAGCAAGCGACTAAGCCAGAATAGGACCAATGCATGATTTCAAAACATTGCTTAGCACGTACGGAACTTGTGGAGAGCAATGCTCAGTCCTCACAAGATCTACCAACAAAGGGAAGAAGCTGGACACGTGTCTTTTCAGAGACTCTGCTTCTAATGAGCACAAGGCTTCGAGTGAAGAAACAAGCAGGGAAGTTCTCGCCGTTGCTTCTTCTACACGATCTGATTCCATCGGAAGAACCCATAGGACCGGTTTTCTTTGTTGTTGTTGTTGTGGATCTGTGCATTTAAGGTATATCTTCACGACTTTTGCGCATTCAGTGACTAGACGAGACTCGAGATCGAGTTCTTTGGAGACGTTTGGATTGCAAGTGACCATGTCTTGTAGGAACATCATGTAGGATTTATAAGCCTCGTTCTCGAAGTTAAGTAGTTGAGGCTCTGTTAGGTTTTGGACCGAGCATGCTCTCTTGAACTTCCTTCGAAGGACTGTGTCAGTGTTTAGTTGCTGTGCGTGAGACGCGATGCACGAGAAAATGTCTGCGAGGATATCCACGTGTGATGCGGATAAAGAGAATTGGTTTTTTCTGTATAAATCACTCACAACCTGTAAAAGAAACATAGAAGTCAAAAACAGAGTAATTGGCTTAATAAGAAAGAAACAGAGAAGTCAAAAACAGAGTCATTGGCTAAAAAGAGAGAGACAGAGAGGGGGGACCTCGACGATTTGAGACAGGACATCAATGTGTTTCTTTGTTCTGGAGACAACATACGACATGATGTGAAGACTGTCATCATCGAGATCATCTTTGTTTACGCTTTCACCAGAAACTGTCTCAATATCTTCGATATCATCCATTGTTCTCAAGACTTTCATGAAACCGGCAAAAGTCAGCGAGGCTGCTTCCTTGAGAGACAAGAAAATATCTCTCCATTCATCTTCAGAGGCACTACGAGCCAATCCATCAGCCAAATGAAGCAAAACAGAGATTCCAGAGCCTGTAGAGCCTTGAAAAGGACTCTTTATGAACCCTATGAGGATTGACACAACGCTTGGAAGCTGAGATCTCACGGATCTGAAAAATTTAATCAGTAGGTCAACGAGAAGCTGCAATGCAAGTGTTGATGTCTCAGCGTCCCATGTAGTTTCTTCGGTGTCTAGAGAAGCCGAGGATGGCGAATCAACATTTTCTTCGAATAGCATATCGGTTTTACTTCGTATGTTGTTGAAAACTGGGAGAATGATAGAGCTGAAGATTCCAGTCCAAAAGGGTCTTGTAAAAAGATGACCATGGTCCATCAGAATGTGGAACAATACTTCTATGGAACGCTTTCGAATTGCTGGTCTCGGATCTGAGGCTTGCTTAGATAGACCTGAACAATTAACAAAACTCAAATCATTTAATCAAATAGAAGATACAACTTAGTGTGTAAAGCATAAAAGCCAGATTTGGTTGTAACCTGTAAGCAGAGGAACCCAATAGGATACTTGTTCATCAAGGTCAGTAAAAATCTGTGTATCAGAAGAATCTTCCTTTAACGCTGAGATAGTATTGTTCTTGAGTTTCTCATTCAAGACAAGTCCTTCTTCTGCAAGCTTTAAAGCGCAGAAACGAAGAAATTCTATGGTGTTGAAGCCAATGTCACCTTCAAACTTGCTGTTTGTGAAGGTGATGAGACATCTAATGCAGTCTGCGTATACCGTTATCTCTGTCTCGATTATGCAATGAAAATGATCCCGCACGATTTTCTCGATTGTCTCAAAAGCTAACAGTACAATGTTCTTCCTCTCATCGACCGCAGCAGTTGTAAAGACCTAAACCAACAAGATCATTAGAAAACATTTTCTAAGATGAGTTTAGGATTGAAAAATTTTGTGTGTTACTTACCGTGAAGACATTTTTCCAACCAGATTTTACATTACTAACTCGACTAAGAACCATTTGAGAAACACATCGGACTATTAGCTCTCTAATCTCCGCGGAACTGCTTTTCTGCATAACAACCACGAATGGTCGAAGAAACTCATGTTGGAAATGGTAGTTTGCAAGCTCCTCACGCTCCAAGAATTTCATGGAAAGCTGGCGAAGAGAGTCCATGACAAATATTGCAACAGAGAGATTCTCTGACAAGCCGACTGATACGAAGAAATCAGAGAGCACATTCCATATGCGGGACCAAACTAATCGGATCCGGTTCATGTTATAATGCCTGTCTCAGAGAAAAAAAAAACAGTTATCATTTGATCAGAGAGTGGCAAAGCAGAGCAATCTAATTAGTATAAGATCATAGAATGAGAAGTTACGCTGTTTCGACTAGTTTCGTGAGGCTGAAGACACGAGGATCTGTTGGTGACTGAAGTTCTGACATGGAGACTTTGCAGAGAGCTTTCACAAAAGCAACTATAGCTTCACTGTTCAACCTTTGGCTATTAGCATAGACATGATTCAACTCAAAATTGCCTATTTGATCAAGTAGATTCAAATTTGAAATGAAACTTTTGATCTGCTCCGGAGTAACTAGTTTGGGAACACTTTTAACAAGTGAAGTACTATCATAAGAACCTCCCCTAACAACAGCCATAACAGATGGATTCTGAAAAGATCCACGTTTCTTTAAATTTGGAAACCCCAAAGCTTTCTTTTCATCTACCTCAGTTTTTTTTGTAGGGATGTTACGTTTCTCTGATGGCGATACTTCTCCAAGGAGTTGCAAATGTTCAATACGTGAAAGACAAGTTAAAATATGTTCCCAAGAGCCATGTAGATGGTTACCGTCTTCTATGGCTATTGTTATTATCGCCTGCATACAATGGGACAGATTGTTTATTCCATCAGTTTGGTGATATAAAACATATATATAGATAAGCTGAGATATAGAACAAGGGACTTTACTTTTACAGCATCAACATTTTTCTGCTTCATATCAGCAGCACAATGAAGATTAGTGAACTTGGCCATGGAAGTAACAAAAGCATCTCTCTGAGTTTGCATTCCCATAACTGCAGTGACGTGAACCGCGTATCGGAAGCCTTGTAAGCAAAGAGAAGTTGCTAGTCTATCATCACTCTGGTCAAGAGTGACACTAAATGCAGCAAGCATCGGTCCCCAGGAGACCTCGAGTATGGATCTCAAGATCGAAATATCTGTAACAGTATGATAAACTGACCTGCAGACCAATAACATCACAAACAGATTTCAGAATCTTGCTTACAAAGTGAGAAACACAGAATAATATGACACATAAAAGCTGGTATAGCAATAGAACTTACTCTGATTTCTCTGGCTTAGCTTGGAACTGTTCCTGAATATCCCTTATAAGACGTCCATTGGCACCATGAGGTTTCTCATCTGGTTGCATCCAAGAAACCAGATTGAGAATGCCGTCTAGGCCCAATAGTTTATTCAAGCCATTCACCTGTTTGTTTTGCGGGGCCAAAGTATCGGAGTTCATCTTGATTTCTTCTTTCACAACTCGATCATATAGAGAACCTAAATACTCTTCAGGCAAGTCCTTTCCATCATCTATCCCCCTATTGTTGCGGACGAAGTCAGCTTTCGTCATCTAAACAACCATTGAATTTACACAAGGCATCAGAATGGTTCAAACCATTTCTATGTATGCACAATCTCAAAAACAGAGGAATGACCAGACAATACACTTCATATGGCATCAGACGTGAATTACAAGGCAATAAGTTAAGGTATTCTACTTGATAAATATCTTTAGAAGAAAGGAAGCATACCTTATCCTTAACCATGTTGTTGTGTGCATCTGTGTTGAGCATTATCACAGAGTATGCAAGAACATAAGCAGTGTCTGCACTAGTAAAAGAACCAGGGTTGCATTTCCAGTAATGTTCTGCAAACTTTTCCATGATTCGATCAATCTTCTGTGCTTCTCCTGGTAGCCTAAAGCCGCGTAGAAAGAACCTTATCGCTTCGACAAAATCCTTCTTTTCGAAGTTAAATGAGTCAACATATGCATGCATAACTTTTAGTGGAAGTTCCTCTCTTTCACCAAGATAATCACCAATCACAGTTCCATTTAGCCCTGCAGTCTTCATCAGAAACGAAGCCACTTCCTCTGGAGAACTACCTATTTTCTTGGTACTTATGAGAAATTCGATACCTTTCGACGGCTTCCTATTGAACAGAGAGATACCTTTCTGCACATCACCAAGAACTATATGTTAGTGAACATAAAGAAAAATGATATATCATCAAAGATTTAGAGACTTGTATGTAAATCCTGGACCTGCAATTCAATTTTGTAAGCCCTTCGTTGCTCAAGCATAGAAGCATCATAAGCTTCTGGATTACTAGTATCTGGCTGTGAATCACAGTCAGATATAGTTCCTTCTAATTCACCAATCTGGCCTGAATTACTGTCCATAGAAGCATAAACTTGTGAGCCCTTAGGCCAAACCGTCTCATTCACTTTCAACTGCTGGTCCATCCAATTTCCCATTGCCTTGGCTATATTAACCAAACACTTTACAGAATCATTCCTGAATGTTATATCTTGAGCAGGAGAGAGCGTTGTCGATGATCCGGTGGGTGGTCCTAGAGCAGTTTTGAGAAGACCGTTGACAATCCTGCAAGTATCTGATGGAATTATAAGAGCTTTAATACATTACATTTACTCTTAACGAGTCATGCAACAACTTTGTGACAGTTTCTTAGACTAATCTAATAATACCTTTCAAGTATGTTTGAAGACTCCACGTCGCAGTCGTAGTTTACAAAGATATCAACAATCAACTGCGGATCTTGCGACATTTTATCTAGCAAGTTGAGAACAGTCATCTTCTGCAAGTAACTAGGTTGAAGAACATTCTCAAGAACACGGAGGACAATCATCGGAAAGAAAATGCCGATTTCCGCTTTCAAGACTGATCTAAGCTTTGATAACAAGCTCATGAAGATAGCACATTGCAATTGAAATATCGACATGATTGATACCGCACTGTTCTTCAGTAGTGATAAGCATAAGTATTGCTTAACGGCGTTGATGAAGCTTTCATTAGAGCGCCAAACAGAACCACCATTGTCAATAATGACTTTAAGCAACTCCAAAGACAAAGTCTTACCTCTCACCATGATCTGATCATCATTGTTCTCTTTCGACGAAAACCTCATGGACAATTTACACAAGTTTTTAAACAGAAGAAAAGCGTCCTGTCTCATCTTACTCATGTCACCGGTCTCGGAATCACCTTCTCCGTTTGCTACGTATCCTCGGAACGACGGTGAATCCGGAGTCATAACGGTTTCAGTCTCCGGATTTTGCAACAGAATCTGAATCACATCAGGAGGTGGAAGAGGACTTCCTTGTCCTGCAGCCATGACTTCATTCACAAACCCTTGACAGAAATAAACAGAGCTTCCTTCATTAACACTCTTGTCCGTGAAAGTTAATAGCTCGTTGACGTAAATCGTTTTGACAGAAACATCGAGCGAATCTTCTTCAGATCTTGTGAAGATCACAAGCATCATCTGAGCTAAGACCGATTTAGCACAGATCTGTGTCGTGCCGCTCAAGCCACCGAGGTAAATATTGTAACAAGTCTTGACAACGTGTAACAAGCAATCACCCCGGATCAAAATACATGGAGATCTAACGGCGGCGAGGAGAACTCGAAGAACAGCGAGTTGAATCGGTTCTTCGGCTATAGCTCCGACTTTGGAGACGGCGTTGACGAGCTTGAAGAGGATTGAATCTTGTTTTGAGGATTGGATCTCACCACGGAGGATTGAGAGAGAAAAGAGTTTAAAAGCACAATCTAGAGATGGCTCGACGACTTTTGAATAAGCAGTGTCGAGAGAGAAGAGAAAAGGTTGGAGAACGGAATCTGCATCTGATGCGGCGAGGCCGGAGACGACGGAGGAAGGATCGTGAAAGTCGTCGGGAAGAGATTCAAGCTTGTCGAGAACGGATTTACATGAAGAGACAAGGTACGTGTGTTTACGCCACGCAGCGTTTTTTATGATCTTGTCTAATGATGGACCTATGATCCGGCCACAACGTGTGGCGCCGCCGAGAGTTTGTGACGTCGACATCGCCGGAAAATCAAAAGTTTGATTTAGTCCATTGATCGGAAGAGAGAGAGATTGAATTTGATCGTACGTTTCAATTCGTTAAGTGCGGCATTTATATAGCTTCTTGATTTGCTGAATTGGTAAAAGCTTTCCTGCTGAAGAGGATGAGCGCGTGCAGTTAACGTGTTATAAAGGCGCGTGTGATTCGTTTTGTCTTATTTTCCCACTCATCTCCCACGTCCCATAGGGCAACTATGATTCAATCAAATGTTTTTATATATTAATACGATATTAATGTATAATAATTGTCACGTTATTAAAAGTAAAAAATTGTATAGTAGTAACTAGTAATGTGTCTTAATCAATTTACTTTGATGGAAACGTAACCGTAGTAATCTAGAAAGTAGAAACATAATTGCACTTTTAAATTTTCTAGCTTTCTGGTATGACTTTTTTTATACGTAACCGTAGTAAGTAAGTAATAACGATGATTTTCTTCAATTCCCACGATAATGTTAGAGTCATATTAAATTGGTTTAAAATTGGTTATTCTTCGAACATTTAATAGTATTGTGTATGGTTAAAATTAAAGATAATATATGAAATGTTGATTTAGGATTAAGAATGATTCAAAAATTTGGGTATGACTTATATATCAATCAATTCACTGCTGACTAAAATTAATCCGACTTGTATAAGTACAAGTGTAACAAGTCAAATAATTATTTTGTTTTTTTTCCAAACCACAGGCCATAGATTATTGTGGGTTTAATCCAACTACATGGTGTCCAAACGCCAAACACGACGACATTTTGACCGTTTTACATAAAATACAATGATAGATTTTGATTGTCTTGCAATAATCTCTTTGTTTACAATGTGAAACCGTAAGGACATCGCACTATGCTGTCTAAGAAAGAAAAAAATAGGAATATATCGTCATTTCTACAAAAGTATGTATTATATGAATAGATTAATATAATGATATTTGATTGGTTGCATTAATTTTGCAGTAGTGGGTATAAACATAGATTGACGTTTTCAAAGCAAGCAATTGTATTTGTTTGGATAAACCAAATGGTGAGGGAAGGGAGATGTAACGTTTCAACTTGTATCAATCATCCAAATTAGACCTAGTCTTAATAGGATCAAAGGAACCTAAAACCGAACCAAGACTTCTAGAAACATTTACTTAATTATTATTCTAAAGCTTTTGATTCTCATGATTCTCTCAGTACTCTTCTTCATCGAACTCCTTCATCCACACTTCCTCAACTTGGTAATGGCATATATATAGTTCATGGTCGGCTGCTCCCATATCTTCGGGACACACCAGTGTCTGATAAGGTATCCCACACCTGCACAAGCATGCACATATTTACGTTAGTTTCCTCAAAACAGAACATGTTAGTTCTTGTACCATCAAAATCCCTACTCACATTTATCCCCTCTGAGCCACAAGCAGCGAGTAAGAAGGAGCAGTCCGCAGAGAATGAGACCGAGAAAACTTCTCCCTGTTTGATATATCAAAGTTTGGAATGGTGAACAAAGAAACCAGAAACAAACATGTGCCAACAAAAATACTTATTCATGGCTCTTACAGCATTTGGCGTGTTTGTCGCAATCCATGATGGTTGATTGTTTGAAAGATCCCAAAGTTTCACACTTTCATCCTCAGATCCCGTAGCCAAAAGCTGCACAGCTCGGATGTTAAATGACTACACTATGAATATGGTAGGAGACAAGAGAGAAAGAGTGATATGTATGTACATTTGGCGCATGTATGTTGTATGATATGGAGGAGACTTCACCATCATGAGCATGGATAATGAAACTAGGTGATAAATCAGAAGCACGTATATCAAAGCCCTTCACAGTTCCATCTCCGAGACTCGCCTAAGATGGAAGAAGAAAAATATAAATAACCACGGATTCGCATCAAATATCTGAAATATTCACATGTAATTGTGTTAGAAGAGCAACGAAAGCGTAATGGACCACAAAGGAGTGTTCGCTGTGAGGATCCCAGGCCAAGCTTTCGACTCCAGCCTTGGTAGACCATTTCAAACCCGAGTGTGAAGGATCCCTTCCGTCTTTCTACAACACATGTATAGAAATAAAAGACTGGTTAAAATTTGTTCATGTACAAGAACTTAACACATGAAAAGGAACAAAAACTGTCATGATCACCATTACTACAGTGCCATCACTAGACCCACTGAGGAGTACTTCTGGAGCATAATGGTTCCATGCAACCGCTTTAACCTGTTATAGTCAACCAACACACAATAAACCATGAGCATGCCACAGATGATTGAAAGAGCATGGAAACAGTTTCACCTTCATACCTTCTCTTCGTGATGCTCCATAGTAACCTTGCATTTCCCCGTAGCCACATCCCAAACCTTAACTTTTTTGTCGGCACTGGCACTAGCAACTATATTCCTATTGTTCCAGTTAAAAGTAAAAAAAAATGAGAGTCTGGTAATTACGCAAGTCATGGAGAAAATTTTCAATCATGGAACCACAGAGCTTAGAAATATATACCGAAACTCCTTGTTCCAAGCAAGATCAATTACTGGATCAGTGTGGTAATCTGATGTCTAGAGTGAGAGAAAGACAACTAACTAAGTTAACAGGTTACATTTGGAAAAACAGAGGAGCTAAATAGTTTTCAAAAGTTGATCGTCACACCTGTCCGGCTATTCGTCCCAGTTGTACACAAGGTAGCACCTCATTCACCTTTAAAGCATTATATAACCAACATACAAATCATTATCTCATGATCGACAAAACAAAAGGTAAGCATCATCAAAAGACAGTTTACAGTTACATACAAGGTCAAGATCCCATATCTCTATGGATGAGTCCATTGACCCGATAGCTACAAAGTTCCCTGCCAACACGTAAGCAAAACTTGAGAAAAATGATAATCTCATCCACAAGAAAAAAAAAAAAAGAAGCTGCGTGGATACACACTAACCTTTTTCCCCTCCTTTGAGAGGACAATCAAGCCATGCTGTGCACAATGGAGCCTTGGATATAATCATGTCATGACGAAGATACATGTTCCCGGATTCCTCGTATACATAAACCTCGAGATAGTTGACTTTACGTTTAATAGTAGCACAGAGGATCAGTAAATCGGTTGGCCTAATTATCATGTCATCAAGATCCTCTGAGTCATAGTCACCCTAGGGGATATCAAGATCAGTATTTACTATTGAGTTTGCACAAGTAAGAGAAAAACTAATTAATGGTATAACTTACGTCGGTATCCTTTAGGTAAGGATCCATCTCATTGCTTGGATAATAAAGGTCTCCCTGGCCAGAGCTAAACAGTTCAATCTCTGAGTCCAACACAAGGATCATATAGGAAACTGTACATTAGCATATATGCAAAATACCGCAACGAAAAGAAAAGAAAGAGCTGACAGATATATATATATACCACCATCCTCTTCGTCATAGTTATCCATGTCGAGTTCTTTCAAGAACTTGACGACGTCATCAGCATCTGTTGAAGAAGAAGAAGCACCCTTGCTTTTGGTACATGCATGTTTCCCAAAAGATTTTGCTACAGACTTGGCATGAGTTACTTGAGAATTCTGTATTTCATCGTCCATGATCTCTTCTTCCATAGAAGGAGATTCAGCAGCATCAGGCATAGCCTTTGATGCCCCTTTTGGGATCCATGAAAATGCAGCTATCATCATTCTGCAAATATCAAAAGAATTCACTTAATAAACGCAGCTCAGTTAGGAAAACAGAGAACGCCATGAAGCAACTATGAATGAATCAGCAAACTAGATGACTTTTAGGTTTGTAAACTTGGCAACTAAAGAGCTCTCGAGAAAACTTGCGATTCCGTTACCTAAACATGACAGTAAGTATCGAGTTCCAGTCTAAACTTAAGTTCCAAAAAGGTTTCAAATTTAAGAAAGAGAGCTTACGATCAGAAGTCGAAAACCACACAACGTACGACGCGTCCAAGAGGAGAATCCAAGGAGCTTCCTCTGCTTGGGAGAGCGAGAACGCGCGGCGCAAAGAGACAAGGAGGATAAACGGCAAACGTTTGAAAGCAATTAAAATAAGGGTTTTGTCTTAACTTGCCATATTTGTGTTTTAAAGAAAGATCGCTTCTTTTTATTCTACAGTGTTTCATATTCCACTTCACACGTACGAACGAAGAATGGAGAGCGACTCCGAGATGGTTGCGTTGCCTCTGTTGCCGACTCCGATAGAATCAAACTACAGAGCTTGCACCATTCCTTATCGATTCCCTTCTGATAATCCTAGAAAGGCTACTCCCACTGAGATCTCCTGGATCGATCTCTTCTCCAATTCCATCCCTTCTTTCAAGTTCGAATCTCTCTCTCTCTATCTTGATTTTGTTTTGCATTTTTTGTTCATGGGTCAGGTCAAGCTTTAATTTTTGTGATCTAGGAAGCTCATATACCTTTGCAATTGCTCGGATTTTGGATTTCATCCGTCAATTGATCAATCTGTTTAATTTTGGTCTGACGATTGTTGTGTTGAATCCCTGATTCATAGTCTTTCTGACTTTTCATGAGCTTTGGCTTTGTGACATCATGAAGAAACTCTAGTTGTTTATGGATGTTTTTAGGAAACAAGAAAATTCCTGATTCAACGAATTTAAAAATTTCGAACTTTCAGTGTTCTGAAGCTGGTTTGTCTTCTTTTTGGCAGGGAACGTGCAGAGAGCGATACAACTGTTCCAGATGCTCCTGTTCGAGCTGAAAAATTTGCCAAAAGGTATCTTTTTTTTTTGTGTTTTCATAGTTGCTAAAAAGAGGCACTCAGTCGCTCAAAAGCATCAGTTTTGCATTTGATTTCTCGCAAGGTATGCGGAGATTCTTGAGGACTTGAAGAAAGATCCAGAGAGCCATGGTGGACCACCAGATTGCATTGTAAGTTTAAAACACTTTCCTCTTGTAAAGTAAATGCTTGTAGAGAGCTTTGTTATTCATATATTAGTTTGGTGTTTTTTTTTTCTGCAGCTTCTCTGCAGAATCCGTGAGCTAATACTAAGAGAATTGGGATTTAGGGACATATTCAAGAAAGTTAAGGTGCGATTTTCTTGTTTGACAAGGGTTTTCTCGAAAAGCATAAGTTCTCTTGTACTCTTTTCTGATTGGTTGAGTTCATTTAGGAGGAGGAGAATGCAAAGGCTATAACACTATTTCCTGAAGTTGTCCGTTTGAGTGATGCTATTGATGATGAAGGCAAGCGCATAGAGAGTCTGATCAGAGGGATATTTGCTGGAAACATCTTTGATTTGGGTTCTGCACAGGTATATCATCTCTTTCTTTTCATATACTGTTCTCTGTTTTGATAAGTATCTTAATGAGTGGATCTTGTGTTTCTTTATATACATATTGAAGCTTGCTGAGGTTTTCTCAAAAGACGGCATGTCCTTTTTGGCTAGCTGTCAGAACTTGGTTTCACGACCATGGGTCATTGATGACTTGGATAACTTTCAAGCTAGATGGGTCAAGAAGCCTTGGAAGAAGGTCACTTCTTTAACTTCTCTCTGTTTTTGTCTGCTTAACCCTATGCTTTATCATGTCTTAAAAGTTTTATCGCAGGACACACTGATTTGTTTTATTCCTCTCTTTTTCATGACAGGCTGTGATATTTGTCGATAATTCTGGTGCAGACATAATTTTGGGTATCTTGCCCTTTGCTAGAGAAATGCTACGTCGAGGAATGCAGGTGCTACCATGTCCTAAAATCATGCTGAGTTTTTTTTTTTTTGGCACAATTATGGACATTTTGTTCTCTGGTTTGGCTTTTTGATTGTGAGAAGTATATTCTAAGTCTTTCCTCCTTTGCACCTTCCCTTTTGAAGGTTGTGCTGGCTGCTAATGAGCTTCCATCTATCAACGATGTAACTTATATCGAGCTTGCAGAGATCTTGTCTAAGGTGATGAATGTAGTCATTTGGGTACTCTCGTCCATTACAGATTAAAGAAACTCGACCCTGACTGAGTCTTTAATATACCAGCTGAAGGATGCAAATGGACAATTGATGGGTGTTGATACCTCGAATCTTCTTATTGCAAATTCAGGGAATGACTTACCGGTATGGTATTCAAAAGCTCACAGAAGATGATTGGACTTTCAGTATGACCAATTCCTGTTTATCCATTGGTAATTGTTAAAATATTTCTTCTCCTTTCTATACCGTTGCAGGTTATTGATCTTGCAAGAGTATCACAGGAGGTTGCGTACCTCTCAACCGATGCAGACTTGGTCATCTTAGAAGGCATGGTAAGACCTTTTAATCGTGTGAAGGTGGTGAACTATGTGATATCTAGTCTTAGGTTAGGTATCACCAAACTGACTCCTTGACTTGACTGTCTTGTACAGGGCCGTGGAATAGAGACAAACCTTTATGCTCAGTTCAAGTGTGATTCCCTCAAGATTGGAATGGTAATAAACTTATATTTTCATGGTGTTACATAGAAAAATAGTTTTGGGTTTCTTGATTTTTCCTTATTCTCCAGTCTGGTCTTTTGTTATGCAGGTAAAGCATCCAGAAGTAGCACAGTTTCTCGGAGGACGGCTTTATGACTGTGTCATCAAATACAATGAAGTTCAGAGTTAATTATATTTCACAAACACATTTTTACTGAACCAGCCATTCAGTTTATTATATGAAAAACTGTTAGGCTTTGTAAGTTAGAGATCCAATCTCTATCTCTGCATTCAGATGTAAGAATTGAAAAATCTTTCGACATTCTTTATTAAAGACACACAAAAAGACCAATCTTTCTGATTGGTCCTTATATGGTATTTGAAAGTTTCATATTTAAGAACATGATCTTATTGAGAGAGGTAGCTCTATGGTCATGGTTTTTAGGTTTCTTGAAGCTGGAGGAGCATTGGGAGGACTTGCAGTCAGAAAAACTAGGTAAGAGAACTCTCACCATATTATTTTAAAATCTCACATTCATCAATACAATATAATGTGCAATCGAAATGCATTGAAAGAAAGAAAAAAAGGTAGGATGCAGCAACAAGGTAGATCATCACTTGGTCTTGGTAGGATATGAGGCCATCTTGTTGATTCCACAGAGTCCCTCTGGTTTACCGGTGTTTCTCTTCATCCTAATAAACCCTTTCTCTCCCCATCTTGGTCCCCATGAGTTCTTGACAATAATATAGTCAGATCCCTTTGATGAACCGTATCCAACCGCTGCTACACCGTGGTCTAGGTCTGTTCCACATCGTCCATCAAACACTCCCTGTAAACAAAACAAAATCCCCAAATCGGATTTTGAGAGAATGCTAGAAGATTGGCTACATAAAACACAGTTTAGATGTCAGAATTATATACCCCTTTGTAGAACTGGAAGTCTCTTCCTGAAGCCTCAATAGCCACACTGACTGGCTGATGAGCTAAAGCCTTTACAAGGCTTTCGTCATCGTTTTCTGGGACATCTTCGTAGCCGCTGATCGTCACACGTTCCACATCCTCCTGTGTAAGATTCATGAATGATCAGTGTTTATAAATATAAGTTTTAATTCATGTGTTTGTTACCTTCTGCTCTTGACAAATTCCTTCTTCCATGAGATAAGGGTAATCGTCTTCTTTGTGGAGACCACCTGTTGAAATTATGTACTGGAATGCGTAGTCCATGAGACCTCCATTGCAGCCACTGTTGAAAGTTGTGTCACAGTCTATGAGTTCTTGCTCTGAAAGCGAACTCAGATTCCCTGTTGCGATCTGGTTGATCCCCTCGACAGCTGCAACTGTTGAAAATGCCCAACAGCTACCTGCAGCAACAAAATAAGATCGTTGGATAGCTATTCGAATCTCTGGTTCTATTCTATGTACTTGGGACCAAGAAAGATGGAAAGAGAGAAATGTTACCACATTGACCCTGGTCCTTGACAGGAGCCACAGCGCCTTTCTTCCTCCAGTCTACGGATTTAGGCAAGTCAGTGATATCTCTGTACCTGAAGTTAGCAGAGGGCTGTCTCTTTCTAGAGAATTGTGGCTTTGCAAGTCCTAGATATCTTCCCTTGAACTCTTCATGAGTCAAATCCGCAAACTCATTCAAACCGAGCCAGTAACTGTTGATCTCATTGTTCCTCTGGTCTATATGCATCAGGTTCTCTCTGAACACCTCGAACCTGTGCACCTTCTCCTCCACGCTTTTGTAAGCCTTGCTGTGTTCTGACATCCATGACTCAAAGAGCTCTAGAAGCTTGTCAGTGGAGGTCAAATGCTCCGGTGTGTATCCAACAATGGAGAAATCACGGGCAAGAGCAGAACAGAGGAGAGCTGATGCTGAAATGGCGACCAAAAGAGAGAATTTGGTTAGTGATGGTGCAGAGAAAGCCATAGCTAAATCTGTTCACTGAATGAAGAGGAAGAAGAAGAAGAGATGGTGAGAAATAGAGTAGAGGAATAGAGTTTTTATACAAGCGGGAGACAAGACAAAGTCTCATAGTATTGGCTTTGAAGCAAAGACAATGATTAATTTAAAAACCAAGTACGCTGGTCTCTGAGTCTTCACGGTTGGATCATTTTTGGTTAAGCCTTTTGTTCTAAGCGTGCAATTTTCAACAAAACAGATTCACTATCAGACAGTTAATGATTATTAAAATATCCGGAGCCCGGAGGAATGATTTATAAAAAAATTAGGTAGAGGTTTAAAATTTCTGAATTTTTTTACTTTCTTGATAAGTTTTGGTTTCGTACAAATGAGAATAGTAGGTTTCATGACAGGGAAAAAATCAATACAGAGGCACAAATGTGAATATACCTACACAGAAAAACAAAATCGTAATCGTTCAAAAGCTTTCTCTCTGTACTAGAATAATGGCAGTTTTCTTGGTAGATGTAAGTGTGAAGATCTTTACTATCGTAGCTTCCCTGCGGAATGCAAATATACTGAAACAGAGACGACCCTGCAAAGTGCAAACACAGTGATGCATTTTATGAGAAACCTTTTAGGCAATCATTGGCTCTTATGTGCATAAATGTTGGTGGCTACTTTTGATATCAAAAGTTGAGATGATTGTATTAGCAAAAGCAAATGTGGTTAACTTACGTTGAACCCAAGAAGAAGGCTAGGGAAAGATGAAAATTGAAGAGGAATACAGAGACAACCGCAGTGAGAAGCATCGCCACTGATGTCGAATAAACCTACATGCAGATTGATAAAGTTAAACCCGTGTAAAAAAGTGACGGGGGAATAAATGTGCATTTTTTGCAAATATATCACCTTCACAATATTGTCTGCATATTTCATCACCATCGACACAGCAATGCCACTGCAAAACAAACAATAGAAGAGTGTTTTTGTGTTAGCTTCACTAACTTACATCAGAGTGAAGAGAAAAGTCTGGCCTCTAAAGCAGCTTTTACCTGAGAGCATGGTTAAGAATCATGAGTACTGTGATGAAGGAGTAACCATGGAAGAATCCCCTGAAAATGAAAAGCCAGCCCATTCAATACCAGAGCAGATGAGACATATCAGCAGAATACGCAGCCAGTAGAATATAATGGAACTATAGGACACCGAGGCTATAGAGGTGTGGTACTAGTAAGTTCTGGCATTTTATAGCAAGTATGAAAGAAGATGGTTTTTGGATTTACTTATTTGCAACGGCATCAAAATCTTGGATCACTATAGCAACAGCATTGAAAGCCATCCCGAAGACATATAGCCAGAAGTTCTGTACATTTATATTCCTTGAAGGTCGCTTTTTTATGATGGCCTGCGAAAATGGAAAGCAAAACCTTTATAAGCTTTATAAATCATAAGTTAAGTTTATCAGTGGAAAGACCCAATTATACTGTATTAGTGTTGACACACACACAGAGAAAAGAAACCAAATCAGCTTTGAGTATTACAGTATACAGTCCTAATATCTCACCTCTGTGTACACTCCGGCGAAACCACTTAAAAGAGCCATGACCTAGAAACGACAACGAGTGATTATATTAATTGGTGTGGACATGAAAGCTGCTTCACAACTCTTAGTTGATATTAGCATGCAAAGGGGGCTATCAGCTTACAATTGCCATAGTCCAACCAGGAAGAGATGTCTGAAGAACACGATCAGAACTGCAAAAGCAAATTCAAATATGAGACATATATTGGAAAAATCAGCAGTGACCTGAAAGTGTTCACAGAGCAGGAATCGGAAATGAGCTTTTGTGTGTTATGCATCATATGCAAGAACTGGTGAAGCTCATTTTGATAGCATTCATAAGAATATCAAGGGGCCACATTTACTTTGAATTCAACTGAGCAGTGGTGCATCCGCAACACAACAGAATGAAACCCGCCCACTGAATCTCGCTCAATCTGTTAGAGAAGATAGTAAGCAAAATGATTAAACAGAGGCAGTTGAAAAATTGATGGGAATATAAAACAGATAACATATGGATTTCCAGAACAACTAATCATTGGAAGCTATGAAATCCAATTTGGATGAATAAACAACCTACTTTTTCTTCAGTATAATTCTGTACAAGACACCGGTACTTATGATGTTCAAGTTCTTCAATATCTGATATCCCGGGGCGTCAACGTAAGCAAAAATATAGTACTGCCACACAAAAGGTGTCACAACAAGTAGTTAGAGACATATTAACACGAAAAACATAAGAAAAATCGGCCAAAGCCACAGAGAAAAAAACTCAGGAAATCCCACCTGTAACAAATTCTTGAAAAGATACAATGCTGCAGGAATTGGAAAGACTTTAACTTCATCATATGTTGTGCTTAACCTGATTCATAGACAGATTTTTGGTATCAGTAAGGAAAAAACTCAATGAGCTATCTATGGTCATGTTCAAAGAGGAATTAGACATAAAACTCATGGAAAATTCCCTGAAACCAAACACACAGGCAGATCGAGTAGCAAAAGAATATGATACCTGTTGTCGTCAGTAACACCTTCGTTTTTCCATATCCTTGTCAATGCAAGAAGAGATAAAGCACATTTGAGAGTCTCAACCTGAAGTCCACCAAAGAGTAAACAAAATCACTATATCATCCTGATAGAAGATTATGATTCAGAGATTATAAACCACACAAGACTAGCCTCGCTTGCAACACATACATTACACTCAATTTAATGCATAGATGAAACTCACCAAAAAGTTGGCGGTTGTAACACTATACTCATACTTCCCAGCTCGCTTCGACCACACGATGAGTATCGCTTGAGAACTTGTCAGAATCGTCAGTGCACATGTTACTACACCCCTAATTCAACACAAGATATTCAAAGAACTAGAATTTTCCAAAAAAAAATGAAACAAAGGAATAAAACTTACTTTCGTTTCCAGTTGATCCGTTCACTGGATCCAACACCCAGAGTAGCCATAGCAATGTTACTCGAAGCAACTGCCAAATCAAAGCACCAATGAGCACATCAAACGAACAAGAAAAGTGTAGATTGAGAGGAATAATAAGAAAAATTCTCACCGGTATGAGATTTTCCTTTCAAACTCTCGATATCAGAAGCGACGTCATGATCATCCTGAAGAAGCTCGGAACAAAATTGAGCATTAAAGAGAGTCCAAAATCCTAAATTGAAAGCAGAAGAAAGACAAAGTGGATAGAAGCTACGAACCTCGTCTTTGATTTTCCGGTACTCCATTGTTTCAAGCTCTCAGATCTCTGTGATCTTTACTCCGAACACTCAAGCTTAAAAAAAAAGGAAATTTTGGAAAATTAAATGTCAAAAAGAATAAAGTGCTTAATTTTCGATTTTGAGGCTTGAAATTTATTGGGCCTTAATTCAATACCTCATTGGGCCCGTATGGGCTACATTTTGACAAAAAGAATTTTGGGATTTTTCTGATAAAAAAAAAGAAAAAAAAATCAGAAAACAAGCAATACAATTTCAACAAATTTCTGTACTGAGAAAAAACTAAGTAATAAATTTGTGTTGTGATGGAACCCTACCTGAAAACAATGTATATCTATATTCATTAAGAAAAAAAATGTTGTATATTCCAATTTCATAGGTGCATTCATACACAAAACAACTATTACAAATCAACAAATAAACATAAATTACAAATATTTAATTCAAATACAAACAAACAAAAATGCATGTAATTGGCTGGGGGCATAAAAGTAAATGGACCCCACAAAATAAAGTGGAATAAAAACCCAGCCTGTGTTAGAGCTGTGTTCACTAATCAATCTCTCACATTCACATTCACATTCATCTTCTTCAATCTCTCAAGAAGAACAAAGCAAACAAAGCAATGAGCTCAATGATGGAGACTCTCCAGATTCGTAAACCCACTTCTCTCCCCGTTTCTCAACGTCCTAGTTCTTCCTCCACCGTCGACGATGAGCCTGGTCTCATCCGCCGTCGTCTCTCTTCTCTCTCACTCAACCTCTCAAACCAACCAGCAGCGATCGCAGCTAGATTCCCGAGATCCAAATCTGTTTCCGCCATGGGAGAACAAGCAGGAAGCTCTGTGAAAGAATGGTGGGAATGGGGTTGGTCATGGATCCTTTCAAGAAAACCGATATTCATCAGAGATCTTGAGCTTAACAAAGACGAAGCTAAATCAATTGGTTCACAAAACAGAGGAAGTATAATGCACGTTTTCTTCAAACTCCGATCTCAGATCCGTAATCTCATGGGACCTTCTTCATCTGATTCTCTTCCTCTTTCTTGCAAAAACAAGCGTCAACGATAAAATGATTCTTGATTCACATGGGGGTTGAGATTTTGTGATTTGTCTCTTTTTTTTTTTTTTACTTTCGTGCAATGGAGTATAATGTATAATGTGTTTCTTTTTTTTCTTGATGTTGTATTTTGCTATAATTAATTTGCCTAGATTATTAATCAATTTATTTATTTTATTTGTGGTTACGAGTTTGTGGCTGTGCAGTTGTATTTTTGTATTTTAATAACCATGCAAATTATATAGAAAATCCGTTATTTTCGTTTTAATCTTTTTACGCGCCAACATGAGATTCTTCTATCTAATTATGATTCTGAATTTCGTTTTATAGTTTCAACAATATGTGTTCAAGAACTCTTAATGTTAAAGTAGGTTCAAGAATTTTATCATGATACAAGTAAAAACTAAAAATCTAAAACATTTCACCGAATATTTTCCCATTTTGTGGGATTTTCAACAAAAATGGTATGTAGAAAACAAATATTAACGAGAGTTCGGTTCCATAAAACTGAGACGCGTGTGGCCGACAAAACATTTGTCGGTGGCAGCAAATCGTCGGTGGCGTATTAATATTTATTGTTCTGATTATAGTTTACACTAAACTTTAATTTCAAGTCGGACTAGTTTTAAATTCAGAGAATTTGGGTAAAAATCATCGTATTTTAGCTAATTAACATATGATTTTTTAAATAACAAAGCTGACCAAATTGCCATACGTTACTCTTAAGAAGATGTTACTAACACTAATAATATATGAAAAAATGACACAAAAATAAAAATAAATATTAAATAGTAAGAGGTTGCGGCGTTGCAAAGCATGTGAGTGAATATGAGGGTACCAAAAAATCTGTATATGTAAAAATACATTAAAAATGGTTTTGGTATATAATGTTCCAAATTACAGATTGTGGCCAATGAATAATTTGCTTGGAACAGCTTTGAATTTTGGTTTTATTTGAGTTTAAATACAGATTACTTAGAAAAAGCACTTTGATTTACATGATTGAGACTTGCTAGCTCATCATCTTCCACATCATTTCCTAGGCCAATGGAATTTTCATATTAATATATTCAAAACCGAGTTGTGTAGTCCGAGATGGATGAAGGGTCGTGATCCTCTAGAAAGAAGAAAGAGATTTTTCAAAATAAAAATGCTTAGAAATCACACAACATACAAAGACATTTTTTGTTTCTCAAATACAAGAGTGAACAAAGTTTAACAATGGCAGATAATGAACAAAGCTCACTAACTTCAACAATGGCCATAACTAACAAGCAAACATAAAAATAAGAAAAAGGTAAAGAATAAACCTCCAAAGCTACTTGACGATTAATCACACAGTTGTTAAACATTAGCTTGAACCCTTGGTCTTTCTTCTTCTCCATGTGGTGAGCATTGAGATTGTTGATTCCATGAATAAGAACATTTTCGCAGTCACAATCGCACAAGCAGATTAAACACCAGGGAAAACAACCTCTACGCGTCTCTCATGCTAATGTTTAGACTATTTCTCATCGTTCTTCTTCCAACACCAGCATTTCCCTTTTGCATCATCTCCACAAACTCACCATAATCAATCTTTCCATCCTGTTCAGACCAACATAAAAACCGAGAAACTTTTTATCAGCCGATGCCTCGACATTAGTCTAAAGCGGAATGTGGAACAGAGTCATCATAAGCTTACATTGTTTTGATCGACTTCCTTGATGATGTCCTCAAGGAAAACATCAGCCATGCCATGTTCAACACACGCTTGTTGTAGCTCATCGATTGTTATGAAACCGCTTCCGTCTTTGTCAAAGTATTGAAACGCTGCAACAAGATGTTCTTCCCGCTCCAGTTTGTTGAGATGGATCGTCGCTGCAATGAACTCGCTGTAATCTATTGTCCCACTGTTGTCCACATCAGCCTATCAATACAAGAGCTGAGGGTAAGAATACACTACAATATCTCATTGTCTGTTATTAGCCAAATAAGGTTAGACTTTTACCGCTTCCATTAGATCATGGATCTCTGTGTCTTTCAAGGTAGATCCATACTTTCTCAGCCCAGCTTTGAGTTCATCAAATGTGATTGCACCGCTGTTATCAGTATCCATTGCCTGAAACATTTCTCTTAAGCCAGCAATTTCTTCTTCCGAGAGGCTCTCAGCTATAACCTGATGACCCCAAAACAAAGACAACACAAACAACTCCATGAAAACTGAAGCAGAGAACATGGAAAATAAAGGGTTTAGCACAAAATCACTCACCTTCAAAGCCATCTTCTTTAGTTTATTCATTGCAGAGAACTGCTTGAGACGAGACAGAACAGCTGGATCAAGTGCTCTATCTGGTGCAACACCATTCTCACAGATCCATGGATGACCTGAAAAAGGATTATAAAAAAAAGATATAAGTCTAATGCTGTTTGGTTGTCACTATAAGTAACCATTTATGTGAATACATACGCAAGACTTCATGAGCGGTCAAACGTTCTGCAGGCTTGGAGGATAACATTCTGCGGATCAAGTCTTTCGCACTGTCGGATATCACAGGCCACGGGTCTGACTCAAAGTCGATATATCCTTTCAACACAGCATCAAATATCCCTTGCTGTGTTTCTAATTCCAAAAAAAGACAACAACAAACATATCAGGTGACTACTACTGTCTTAAGGACCAAGAGACGGGCTTACAAGACAATTTACCTGCCCAGAAAGGCGGGACTCCACTTAGCAATATATACAGTATAACACCAGCAGTCCACACATCAGCTTCAGGCCCATAACGTTTGAGCAAAACCTCAGGAGCAACATAATATGGACTTCCAACAACATCAGTGAATATTTGACCTGAAAGTCACATTCACTCCCATAAGATTCATTTGCACGCCTAGTTAAGCAAAACATTAACTAAAAAGCTTCAAACATTTTACCTGGTTTGAAAAAGACAGATAGCCCAAAATCAATAGCCTTGAGAGAGAAATCATCATCCTTATTAACCAACAAGAAATTCTCAGGCTTCAAGTCTCTATGCATAACACCAAGCGAATGACACGCTTCAACAACCCCGACAATGATCTTAGTCAGCTCAGCAGCTTTCCTTTCACTATAATGCCCCCTCTGAATAATCCTATCAAACAATTCACCTCCAGCACAAAGCTCCATAACAATGTGAACATACAAAGAGTCCTCATAAGCTCCTTTAATCGTCACGATGTTACCGTGACCAGCCAAATGATGCATTATCTGAATCTCCCTTCTAACATCCTCAACATCTTCTTTAGAGATCAACTTCCTCTTGGATATTGACTTACAAGCGTAGTCAACGCCAGAGGCAATCTCTGTACATAGATAAGTCGTTCCAAATTGACCTTGTCCTAGCTTACGGCTAAGGGTATAGATATCACGAATGTTTGGTGTCTTATGACCAAGAACATAGTAAGCTTGATTGTCTGGGTTACGCCTCATGATTGGTTCTCCTAAAGGAATAACAAGAGCTGGATTTTGGCTGTTGTTATTGTCGTCTTTCTTGTGAGCAGCTTCTTTGGAGAATTCTTGAGCAATGATGTCTGCAGCGTTGGGAGAGTGATCGGAATTGGTAGAGGTTTTAGAGTAATCTTCAGGGTTATTGTTATTGCCCTCGCAGATTTTGTCCTTGAAAGATCCACGGCAAGAATTGCCCATGAAACAATGGGAATTTACCAAATCCTGGTTTAAAAGACAGCAACTTTCACTTTGTGTTCTTCATCCAACGAACTGTTCATAGAGATAACACTGTCAAAAGTCAAAACCCATAAATCAGACCAAATCTCAGAAGCTAAACGAAAATAAAGTAACGAACTTTAACAATCACAAGTAAAGAAAGTTGCAACACTCACACCAGATCAAAGAGTCAAATTAACCAAAAAAAAAAAAAAAGACAAAACACAAGAGCTAAGAAGTTTCGATGGATCTTCTGAAAGGAATCAGAAAACAGAGAATGAAGTATAAAGCAAAAAAGGATAGGGGAAAGGAGGATCTAGTTACCAGTAGTTGAACTCAGAAGGGCGAAAGAGAAGACTGAAAGAATGATTTAGGATTTAGGAATCTGACTTAAAAGAGAAACTAAATTTTGGGAGACAAAAGAAAGAAAAGTCGAACCAAGAAGGGAAAGCTACAATATTTTATATTTTTTTTTATTTGAGAGGAAAGCTTCAAGTAGTACTATAAAAAAAAAGAGATTGAAGTAGAATAAAAAATAGATTTTTAAGAGTTTTTGTTTGGTCGGATAGATTAGATTCGTTGGATGAGAATGTGATGGGTTTTATTTTACGGCGGCGATTGAGCGAAGAAATGTCTTCTAATTAGTGCTCACCAGCTACTACTACACCTCTCTGACTATCTCTCCGCTGTTTCCTCTCACCTTCTTCACTTTTGCATTATTAAATATTGTAATCCAGTTTCTCTTTATTATATAGAAAATGGGATACACACACTTATTACAAGTAAAACACTTTGGGAAGTTTTAAGCACGATGGTTTTATTCTAGTAGGAGAAGACTAATTTAAATACATGTGATCTACTTGTAAAAGAAGCCACCATTCCTTCACTCTCGTATAAGAAAAGTAAAACTCTTGAGACTTTTTCTTAGAATATAGATATGCAAAATATATAAACAATAATAATTATGACGTCACTGATTAGTGACGAGAGATATTGACTTTTCCATATACAAGTTCCTGGTTTTATTTTGGCCCCTCTGCCTCACATGGATAAATAAAAGTTAAAACCAACCGGGTCACCTACAAATCGGTTTACGTTTGGGCCTTTTTATCCACTGATCCAGCCCAATATTCAAATACAAAATCCAGACACCTCAAAGGCCGTATTATTTGTATTGTTTAGACTTTAGACCTTACAATAAGGCCGGCAATGATAAAATATTACACATTCAATTCCAAAATAACATACACAAAACAAAAATCCGAAATTTTTAATGAAAAAACGATATCAAAGTTGACACCTTCACAAGACTCTGTCAAATTTGACACATCCACACAAGCAAAATTATATTTTAGGATTTGTATCAATGTGCTGGCTGATTTCTTAGCAAAACTCTCCTTTAAGATCTCTCGATCTTTGTTTGAATTCGTTTTCACATTAGTTTGGTGACAAACATAACGTTACTGAAAAGAATAAAAAACATAAAGTTATTGATTTTTTCACTTTTGCATAATAATCCTTCATATTCTTTTTCAAAATGTTACTTCCTGTCCAAAGAAAAATATCTTAACCACTACCAGTGAACATAAATGGTACGTTTCTCCTCTTTCTACGGAATTTTAAGAAGCAATGATGATGATTAATTGATGATGTGGACAAGAATCTTTATATATTCGCATTCACATGCCATAACTTTCAAACTCTATGAAAAAAGATTCTATTGTGTGTTTATATCCTGTGGTGTGTAGTGTGTACTGTAGTTCCATACAGAACCGCTTATACTACGTTCATTTCCGGAAAATATCTAAAAAATATGGACTCATAAATATTTATAAACCAGTTAGATGTTTTTTTCTATGCTCGAGATACGTTTATGGTAGGTAATCTTTGCGGTCAAATATACGAACTTTTTTTTTTTTTTGTGAAATAAATATACGAACTTTAACAACGACGTTTAACAATATATCTTTTGTTTTATACATGTCAAGTTTTGTATGATAAACTATAGATATTTATTTTCAGAAAACCAGTAGTTGTAGTTTAACAATATATCTTTTGTTTTATACATGTCAAGTTTTGTATGATAAACTATAGATATTTATTTTCAGAAAACCAGTAGTTGTAGTCACATGGTTTGTTTTTGTTGATCAAAATGTGTTAATGCTATTCATTTAGAGACTGCAAATAGAATTGGTATTCGGTTCAAAAGGTTTAAGTCTACCAAACTATTCACTATTTTTAACACCAGATAAATGTTGATCATATACTTTCTTTTTCTTTAGTTGCAGAATAACTTGATCATTTAACCGATCAAAATTAAGTTTTCTACTGTTTTGTTTTTTTAACAATAAATAAATGAGACTGAATTATCCAAAACATCAAAATATTGACAGAAATCAAATAATAAGTATAATTCATATGATATCATGATTAAGAGGTTTGTATGAATTAGTTATTTTTGGGTAAATTTAGGAACGCTTAACCAAGTTAATATAAAATGCCATTACACCTGACCGTAATAAAATCATCCTATACTAATATTTGGGAAGTACATTCTAAGAGTCATAACTTAGATTTTGTAAGAAATTACAATATATGCCATTAGATCTCTAATTATAATCATTTTATTCCATTTCACTAATATATATAAACGGGTCAACGGGTCAAACGGGTTTAAAGATATTAAAAGATTTTGTTTATATAATACATAATTAATATAATTCGAGAATGTTATATACTAATCAATTCGAAAATGTATTCAAGTTAGTATACTTCATTCGTGGATTCATTTTACAAAAGGTTATGCCATGTCTTTGGAAATGATTTTGACAGATGAGGCTGTAAGTACCACTGAAATTTTATACACTTCTCTTTGTAATATATGTGCCGTAAGTTTTAAGTCATCTTATTTTAATTACAGGGTAACAAAATTCAAGTAGACATCAAAAAAGAACACATCAGCAAATTCCAAAGGTATGTTAAACCGTTTTTTTTTTTCGTTTTTTTTAAACCATGAAACTGGGCCCCCCAAACCTAATATAATCTATTAAAAAACTTAGACCCAATACAACTATTTTTTTGTTTGTTCACAATCACACAATAAAATTATCAATACCTAATTTTTTTTTTTGTAAGAGAAATTATCAATACCTAATTGAACCAAAGAAATTGTTAATCTCATATAAAAAATACAAATCTAATGCTGCTAAATATATTAAATTCTAAAATACAATATTCTCTCCTTCTTTAGTCAAATAAAATATATAACATTAGATCCAAATAGTAATAAATATAAAATATTATGATATATTCTCTTTTATATTATACTATTATACTATATTATTTCTTATTTCTTTGAACAAAATATATAATTTAATTCATGAAAATATTAAATCTCGTGCTGTATAGCACGGGTCATGATCTAGTTGGCTAGTATGTCTTCTTATTCCCACGTACAACGAATTTGTATATTTTGGAAAAAATAATCCACGAATCAATATATTCTTTAACACAAAAAAAAAAAAAAACTCAATATGATTTTTTATACAATCTTTTTTCTTCCCTTTAAAATCTGCAAGGAAAATAGTATAGTGGAGAAGAAAAAACTATTCATTATATTGTAACATACGAATACGACTCACGATTAACTAAAGTTAAAGTGTCTCATTGTGTTTGGACTTTCGACAATATTCTCCATTATTGCATTTTCTCTTTCTTGATTAATTATGTCAAGTTGATATGATTTGAAGATGCTTTTCGATATGTAAACAAACTAAAACTCTACTTTACCAATAACTTTATTTTCAGAAATCTGAAGTCCTTACATAAAAATCAGATATTTATCTCTAGTTTCTCGTATAGTCCCAATGAATCTAAGATTTCAAAAACCAATCCTATCTTTGTTTCATATTTACAAAAAAGTACCAAATCTTTTTCCCCAATAATGCCGACATTAAACTCCTTTCTTTTACATACAAAATCCGAAATTGATATCCGTTTTCCCCAAATTAAAGTTTTTACATTTACTTCATGAATGCGAAAGATGGTAAAAAGCAGAACATTTCGAGAAATTTGATTTTAATAGGCCCGTGAATAAACTCGTGGACCCAAATCGAAAAGATAACAAATTTAAAGAGATTATTGGAGTTACTTAATTCTCTGAAAAAATTCTGTACGCAAACACGAGAAAGAGAAGAGAGACATACACACACATACGTGGTTTGAGAGGACAGGAGCAAAACGGCAGGTGTCACTAATCCCATAGGCTTCTCTCTCTGTTCACAGTTCTGTCGCAAAAAAAAAGTATTCATTTTTATATTCTCACGGTTATTTCGAAATCTAGCCTTCGTTTTCTTTTTTGATTTAAACCAAAAGGGAAAACCAAAAAAAATGCTTTTTGATTGCTTAGTGACGCCATTGAAGCAGCGGCTCACTGATAGTGGCTTCTTCTGCCTCCAATTCCAAGTTGCTAACCCTAGTTTTCTCATCTCTCTCTATATATCATATTCTCTCGTACTTTCTTGCTTTATCTTCCTTCTACTTGGTAGAAGAGATAAAAAGTAGTCAAATTTTATTCAAAGTTTTGATTTTGACATCTGAGGTTTCACCTCTGTTTTTTCCAGAACTCCTTTGGGTCTGTGTCTTTTACGTCACTAAAGGGTTTGTTTCAATTGGTTTGTTATAGTCTTAGGTCATGCTTTTTGGTGTTATCTCTCTCTGTTTTATCTTTTAGCTCACCAGTGATTGTGTCTGCTTTTCGATTTTTCAGGTGGGTTTTGTCTCACTCACTCATCGTCGTTGATTAGTGACTCTGTTTTGCGAAATTCTCTTCAGATTTCTTGATAAAAGATATAAGACGGAATCATGAGTGGAGCTGTGCTTGTTGCTATCGCTGCTGCTGTTGGCAACTTGTTACAAGGATGGGATAACGCAACTATTGCAGGTGATTGATTTACAAAGAAAAGGGCTTTTGATGGTTATTTGATACAATTCACAGATTCTGTTTCATCCTTTTAGCTTATCTCTTTTGCTTGTGTGATGAATTTTGAGCTTTCTTTGGGACTCTGCAGGAGCTGTGTTGTACATAAAAAAGGAGTTTAATTTGGAGAGTAATCCATCAGTGGAAGGTCTAATTGTGGCGATGTCACTTATTGGTGCTACTCTGATTACAACATGCTCTGGAGGGGTAGCTGATTGGCTTGGTCGCCGTCCGATGCTAATATTGTCCTCAATTCTCTACTTTGTTGGTTCTCTAGTAATGCTATGGTCTCCAAACGTTTATGTGTTGCTCTTAGGAAGGTTGTTAGATGGATTTGGGGTTGGTCTTGTGGTCACACTTGTTCCTATTTATATATCCGAGACTGCACCTCCTGAGATTAGGGGACTGTTGAATACGCTTCCGCAGTTTACTGGCTCGGGAGGGATGTTCTTATCTTACTGTATGGTTTTCGGAATGTCGTTGATGCCATCTCCTAGCTGGAGATTGATGCTTGGTGTCCTTTTCATCCCTTCCCTTGTCTTTTTCTTCCTCACAGTCTTCTTCTTGCCCGAGTCCCCAAGGTGGCTCGTGAGCAAAGGTCGAATGCTTGAAGCAAAGCGGGTTCTTCAGAGACTACGTGGTCGCGAAGATGTGTCTGGTTAGTCTTTAATCGTTCTGACTCTAATTATTTCAATGAAACCATTCTTTTTATTGAATGTTCTTATGTGGCAATGTATAGGTGAGATGGCTCTGTTGGTTGAGGGTCTTGGAATTGGAGGTGAAACAACCATAGAGGAATATATAATTGGTCCTGCGGATGAAGTTACTGATGATCATGATATAGCTGTGGATAAGGATCAAATTAAGTTGTATGGTGCAGAAGAAGGGCTGAGTTGGGTTGCTAGGCCAGTCAAAGGAGGAAGCACTATGAGCGTTTTGTCTCGCCATGGAAGTACAATGAGCAAGAGGCAAGGCTCATTGATTGATCCTCTTGTCACACTGTTTGGGAGCGTTCACGAGAAGATGCCAGACACTGGAAGCATGAGGAGTGCCTTGTTCCCACATTTTGGGAGTATGTTCAGTGTGGGAGGGAATCAACCGAGAAATGAAGACTGGGATGAAGAGAATCTTGTTGGAGAAGGTGACGATTATCCATCCGACCATGGAGATGATTCTGATGATGATCTTCATTCTCCGTTGATCTCACGTCAAACGACAAGCATGGAGAAAGACATGCCTCACACTGCTCATGGAACTCTTTCTAACTTCAGACATGGAAGTCAAGTGCAGGGAGCTCAAGGGGAAGGAGCGGGTAGTATGGGGATTGGAGGTGGATGGCAAGTGGCATGGAAATGGACTGAAAGAGAAGATGAATCGGGACAGAAAGAAGGTGGATTCAAGCGGATATACTTGCATCAAGAAGGTTTCCCGGGATCTCGACGTGGCTCAATTGTTTCATTGCCTGGAGGTGATGGAACCGGTGAGGCAGAGTTTGTACAAGCGTCTGCTTTGGTTAGCCAACCAGCTCTTTATTCCAAAGACCTTCTCAAGGAACATTCAATTGGTCCTGCTATGATGCATCCATCCGAAACAGCTAAAGGGTCAATTTGGCATGATCTTCATGATCCTGGAGTCAAACGTGCATTAGTCGTAGGAGTCGGACTTCAAATACTTCAGCAGGTAATCTAGATAGAGACATCAAAATTAGTGAATCACAGAATAAATTTTGCTGTTTATGCTAACTCTATGTTTTCCTGCTTCCTCTTGGAAATGTAGTTCTCAGGCATCAATGGAGTTCTTTACTACACACCGCAAATCCTTGAGCAGGCGGGTGTCGGGATTCTACTATCGAACATGGGGATTAGTTCTTCCTCAGCATCCTTACTTATAAGTGCATTGACAACCTTTGTGATGTTACCTGCAATCGCTGTTGCAATGAGGCTCATGGATCTCTCTGGTCGAAGGTAATTAAAACTTAAATTTCGTTTGTTCTTACATTACACACGAAACGAAACAAGCTAAAATGCGTTATGAAATGTCTTTTAATTTATGTTTGCAGGACCTTGCTTCTCACCACGATACCAATCCTGATAGCATCTCTATTGGTCTTAGTAATCTCGAATCTCATTCACATGAACAGCATTGTGCACGCAGTCTTATCAACCGTAAGCGTTGTGCTCTACTTCTGTTTCTTCGTGATGGGTTTTGGTCCTGCTCCAAACATCCTCTGTTCAGAGATCTTTCCAACTCGAGTCCGCGGAATCTGCATCGCCATCTGCGCACTCACCTTCTGGATCTGTGACATTATCGTCACTTACAGTCTCCCTGTGCTGCTCAAATCCATTGGACTTGCTGGTGTGTTTGGAATGTACGCAATCGTCTGTTGCATCTCATGGGTCTTTGTGTTCATTAAAGTCCCCGAAACTAAAGGCATGCCACTTGAAGTCATCACTGAGTTCTTCTCTGTTGGAGCTAGACAAGCTGAAGCTGCCAAAAACGAGTGAGAAACTAAAAGACTTGAGATCAAAAGTTTGTGTAATGTTTCCATGTTCTTGTGGATTTGTTGTTGTCTTTTTACTTTGTGCAGTAATAATCATCTCTCTCTCTGTTTCTTCTTCCTCATGAAGGGAGAAAAAAAAAAGTTTCAAACTTTCAATTACGAATCTCTTTATTATCATTTACCATTTGCATAATCCGTAGAAAAATCCGTAAAACTCAGAAAAATTACATACTTTTGATAAGTCTAGCTCCGATTTTATCAAGTTTCTTCACAGAAGCAATAGATTTCAAGTTTCCGACCTTCAAGAATGCTTCGACCATTTTCTCCCCGATCTCGTAACCTTTCTCCGCCGTGTCGATAACCGCAATCGCCGTTGGACCAGCTCCACTTATGGTGCAACCAAATGCTCCAGCTTCTAAAGCAGCTCTCTTCACAGCTTCCATTCCCGGAATCAATGGTGCTCTCTTCGGCTCCACTACTTTATCCGAAGAAAGCGCCTTCCCGAGATTCTCCACGTCACCTTCCAAAACCGCCGCCACTAACGCCGCCGCTTGACTACTGTTCCAAACATGGTGAGCAATCGGAATCTCTTTGGCCAATGCTGCTCTCATTTTCTTAGTTGGAGCTTCGAAATCAGGGCTAACGAGAACAAAGAAGAGATCTTTCTCCGGTGGGAATCTCAAGGGTTTTAAATCAAGTGGCTCGTAGCTTCTAATCAAAACGAATCCACCAATAATCGCCGGCGCAATGTTATCAGCGTGAAAGCCTGAGACTTTAGCTTCCGATTCTAATCCGGCGAGAACTAGCTCGTCGTTACCTAATTTCCCGCCGAATAATTCATTAACAGCCACAGCTGCTGCGGCGGCGCTAGCCGCGCTAGAACCTAAACCACTCCCTAAAGGAAGTCCTTTATGCAAAGCTAACGATAAGCCAACCGATTTGATCCCAAGCATCTTCATCGTCGCCATAGCTGCAATTCCCGCGCAATTCCGGTGTGGATCAAAGCTGAGTTTGGTCGTTGTTCCGGTGATCTCAGAGATTGAGATCTCTCCGTTACGAACGGTGGGATCCACGTGGAGAGTGACGTGGTCACCGAGACCATCGACGGCGCATCCTAAGAAGTCAAAGCCTGGACCTAAATTCGCAACAGTCGCCGGAGCGAAAGTTTTGACGGAGGTGAAAACTGGCTCTGGCTCGGTGACGATGACAAGGCTTTTTGATTGTACGGAGGCTCTGGGTTTAAAGGCAGAGACTTTAGTGATTACCGGCGATGAAAGTTTAAATTTTGGTTGAAAATTGTAAATGGGTTTTGAAGGAGATTGAAAACAAATGGTCGCCATTAATGGAACTGAAGAAAAATCTTCAAATCACAATATAAAAAGAGTTGCAGATGAACAATGTGATTTACCTAATTTTACTGGTAAACTGTTAGGGTTTATAAAATGCTTTAGTGAGTAGTGACTAATTGATTCAATGGCTAATCAGCAACCACTAACTAACCTATAAAAACCAAACCCAACCGGTAAATTTGGAAAGCTTCCGGTTATTAGATACAGTTCGGTTTAGGCAATTAAACCGGATTGGCACCTCAAGTTTTTACAGTTTTGGTATGCAACTCAACGGGAAGATAAAAGGATACCAAGTACTAATTCCTTCTTTTAAGATTATGATACAGCTTTGTCTTGCAAGTTTATGCTTCACCTTTTATGTGGTTAAAAAATGTTCCGTATTCTTCAAGGCTTATTCTTGAAGTATGGTTTCAATCAAAATCTGCATTCTACATTTCTACTATATATGGATGAGGTATGTGTCTGCATTTCTTCATCTTTCATATGCTTGAAGAAGATGGCTTGAGTATTCATGGATCTGTCATACCGGTCTAGAAGGCCGCATAGAAAGATCATCGTTTCGCTTACGCTTCAACCTTCTCTTGGTTTCTTCTTCTTTTTCATCAAAATAAGCTAAAAATCTCTGCAATGTTTTAGAACGTGAACTTTCTGGTGAAGGTACTGTAGCTTCTTCCTCAGGCTTGCTGTGGCGCCAGAAGTCGCGGACTATCTTGAAGAAGTAGATGAAAAGAGCGATAAAACAAGCGATCCCACACACAAGGAATAATCCCCAGAAGCTACGGAGTTTAAGCTGTTCTGAATCCTCATCTGACTCTGCACCATTCAGGTTACTGCAGTTGGATCTTGAAAGCCACTTGTCATGAATCTTTTGAAGCTGTCCCGTCTCAGATAGACCTAAGATCGCGGTTGACATGTCGATTGCTAATGGAGAGTCTCTTGGAAATGCCTTTAAACAAAACCGCAAAAAAGATGATCAAGATTAATGTTCAAACAAACTGAGACAGTTTTAAATGAAGGTACTCACAAATCCCCAGCCACTTCTGGTGAATTCTTGGCCTCTAATGGCAAATCCGCAAAATTCCGAGAGGAAGAGATCAATGTAAGGGCGTTCATCGACAATTGCAGCAACAGTTCCGTTTTGAAGAGCTGCAGCGTATTCTTTAGGAGAGCCGAGTGGTACAAGTCTGGATCTGGCGATGTTAAGCTCATCAATCATGTAGTTTTCCGCATAAGAACCTACCTGAAACCCAACTCGTCCACTGCTGCTGATGAGTGTGTCTACTCCTCTGATCGGTGAGTTTAGCTGTTGCACTGTAAGAATCGATGTAAGACTCGCTGTGTAGCTTGAAGTTATAATCAGTACCACAAATAGCCAGATCAGCAGCACAGCACGACCGAGTGTGCTCACTGTGTTCTCTCCTGCAAGTTTAGTTGCATAAAGATGTTAGAGATATCATCACCTAATAACTTAGCTGCAGTTTTTAGATGTAACTTACTGTGGGCGAAAAACATCGTGGAGAAGCTGAACCTGCATAAATAGATCATAGCTTGTGAGGTCTTTAGGTATGTTATACGCCAACATATTGATAAAATGAAACTTCAGTGACTGTTTACTAACCAGAGAATAGTAACAATTTGTTTCCTTGGAGGTCCGCGGAACTCATCGTTGATTCTATGTTCAAGAATCCATATTACTGATCCAACGATGAGGAAAAAGGCTGCTGTAACAGCCCACATTGGAGGTGTAAAAGGGCGTAAGAACGCCCACGGAGTATCGTTTAGCTTTGTGACAGGAGCAACCACGACAAGCCCTGATTCTATGTATGGCTGAGTGAAATCCACAATCCTTGTTCGTTTTGTAACAATAGCTATGTCTCCTACAACAGCATCAAATACCTGAAAGCAAAAATGAACAACTCACAACTGTTACAGTCATTTTCGACAATGCTTTGTAAGAAAAATGATATTTTCTTGATTCTTTTGCTCACCCCGGTAGTGACATTGTTGACAAATTCATTGAAGTTTGGGTTCTTGAGACCGTCTCCAAAAAGGACGAACTCATGAGGAACCGGATAAGAAATCAGTTTTACAGCAGCTTCAAAGACATCAATGGCATACCCTTGCACTTTGTTGCTTCCATCCACCCTTGACACAAATTCCTTGAAACTTGCTCTATCGGGTACACCGATTCTCAATCTTCTCCCGTTGTTAGGAAAAACCCATCCACGTGGTGTCACAGAAGTCCCACCAGGCCAAGTCACATTGTTCAGATGTTGGTTTGAGCTCGAACGATTTGAAGGCTTATTGTATAGTGACTCTGGAGGTAAAATAGAGAGCCCAGAATGGTTAGACCAATACCCTATCTGCCTAAACCCGTCATCAACCACGTTTATGATGTCATATGAGGGCTGTATCATTGATCTGTCAGGAAGAAAGTGTATTTGACCTGTAAGACCAGTCATGTTTGTATTCACAATATAATCAAGAAATTGTGATCCTTGGTCAAATATGCTCAATGCACCTAGATTCAGTGACCCTCCTCCCGTCATGCTGGTTAACTTTGGGTCGCTCGAGAAGGAAATATTAGCTCCGCTATCTAGAAGTGTCTTAACAGCTCGAGCAATGATCCAGACAGTATCATAAGCATAAAGTCCATAAACGTTTAAACCGACAGTCCCATTACTCAACTTGTTCCACCGTGTCACAAAATCTTTTTTCTTTCTTGAATTTGGCGTGTGAATACGAAGAGTGAGCACTCCTCTAAGAGATTCAGCATTCTTGGAAGGCAACGGGTTAACTGAATCTAACAGAGAAGTCAACCAAGTTGTAGCTATCCAAACATAGCCTTTCTCCATCATGCCAAGCTTCTGGGCTTCTTCGAAGATCACCCTACCTGTTCTAGGGAAAGTGTTCACAATGATAACCCGAGATTCCATCCCTTGAATCTTAACCAACTCATCAATGATCTCACGAGGACTCGTAATCACCACATCCAAAGGAAGCACAGCCTTGTATGAAATCTTGCAGCGCCTTCCTTCGAGCTCATCGCCTAAGGCTGTTATACCGTTTCTACTGTTGTCATCATCATTGTACAATGCAACCACCTCTGACCAACCGTAGTAACTTATCATTTCCGCAATGGCACGCATCAAAAAGAGATCGCTAGGTGCTGTTTGGACAAAGAACGGGAACTGGAGCGCCGATAGGCTAGGGTCTAAAGCCGTGAATGACAGCATAGGCACACTAAGCTCATTTGCAAGATGAGACAGAACATGAGCCATTATTGATGTCTGAGGACCAATGATAGCCACAGCATCAGTCTCCATGAATTGCAATGCTGTGAAAATAAAACCACAGCATCAGTCTCCACAAAGGACAAGTAAAAGTTTAGTTCCAAAACAAGAATCAATGAAATAAGATCATATTTTTCTTCACCTCCCATGATGGTGAGGAATCCATTACGCTTGGCATCATACGTCATTATACGCAATTTTGATCCACCAAGGAAGCTAGGATCAGAATTGACATCTTCCTCTGCAGCTTTCATGGCAATATTTGTAACTTCACCATGTAAAGTCCCTAAACTGAATATTGCTCCAACATCAACATAACGAGGCCTTGAAGCAGCTCCCTCTGAAATAATCCCATCACCACAAAGGACAATGAAGCTCAATAGAACCAAAACCCAAACCATTGTTTTGGCTTAATCAGTTCCTGTGATAAACAAACAACAATTAGACAAAAACCTTGAGATAAAATTCCCAAAATACTTAAGAATCACTAGTGACAAAATGAGAGATTGTGAGCCACTTCACCGAATCAAAATGGGATTTTTTTTAAGAGTAGCATAAGAAGAGAAAGCTAGAAACTTCTTAAGAAACAAAAAGAATATGGAAGATAAGCAAAGAAAGTAGCTTTCTTTAGAACTGAAAAAGTGTCACGAGGATTAAACCCTTACCTCAAACATAGAGAAGAGAACAACGAAGGATTGTCAAGAAATGAGTGGCAGAGATGCCAAAACCCAAACCCAAACCAAAATCATCCTTTAAAGAAAAGCAGATTCGTCAGGCACATGAATATCTAGCTGAAAGAAAGCATAAGGAACAAGCAAGAGGACTACATACATAAAAAAACCTGAAAAAGGAGGTAAATTGATAAAAGTAAAATCATGGGTTTGCTTGAAGATTTAGGAAAGTGGTGAGCTTTTTGGTGGGATTTGATTATTTCCAATCAGAATTCATGCACTATTCACATTCACAGGCTGAGAAAAAAGGGTTAAAGAAGGAAATTAGATAGACTAATAATGATTGTCGACATAGAGAATGTGAAATATCTAAACTTTAAGTTTTGTTTCCAGTGAAAAATGAAAACTTTTTGTTTTGTTTGCAAGTTGACGAAGTGACCTTTTTCTCTTCCCAGCCAAAGAAAAAGAAGATGATGACAAATATATTATATTACTTATACTATAATCTTTAATGGTAGTCTATAATCTTTTATTGGCTACTGAAATCATTAACCCAAAAAGAAGGAATTTAATCAAATTATCTTTTGCGTCATGGAGTTGTATGATTATACTTTTGATTATTGAATCAGTATTTTTTTAATTTTATATTATACTTGTTTGGATTCCGTTATACCTTGATCCAATGACTCTTTTTTTTTATGTATTTTATTGTTCATTTTCCTTTTTGAAAAGTAATATTATTATATTTTGTGGTCTTTCACACGACAATGAGAAAGTCTGGATACTTGGAATATCTTTTGGTCCAGGACCTTCAGGCTTCAGGTATTCCACATTTAAAACATCTTCCACATATGACATAACTCCAAATAAGTATGTTGTTTTGGACTATGAAAAAATTACAGATGCTTGTGGCATTTTTCTGATTTTCTTGTCGGCAACCTTAAATCTTGTTACCAAAAAAGAGAGACAAGTTTATTATACCAAAAGCAATTCTTGTTATTATTTTAAATATTTTAGAAAGATTAACAAAAACGCACGATGAAGAAAAAATCTAACGGATATAAAACCAAAAAAAAAATCTAGGAAACAAATCGTAATCAAATGTCCAATATCAATAGTGTCAATCATGGGAGAGTGGGGATTTTTTTTCAAGTAATGAAAGCTCAAAATCCACTAACACCTTTATTTTTTCCAAACGTTCCAATTATATTTGGAGTTTTGTTGCTTCAATATGCTTGCAGCCTTGCATGTATGCTTAAAATTTACTAATGGACTTTAGTATTATAAGGCCCATCAGAAATAATGGACTTTAGTATTATAAGGCCCATCAGAGATAAACTTGGGCCAACAAATAATAAGCAGCAAAACTGACACATAAAAAACGTGGTGGTTTCAAACTGCAAATTAAAGAGATAAGTCTTCCTTACATAGTAAACCGCTCTGTTCCTCAACTGAAGTTAACTGTCTCCCTGTTCCTCCATAACTTCTTTCCCACGTAACCGTCTCCTTCTTCTTCCTCTTCCTCTACTTAAGCAACACTTTCTCTAACTTCTACTCTTTTTTTCCATTTTCTCCCATCACTTTCTCTACGTGCTCACAATGAACAACAATCATTCCTTTTATGATCGCAATTTTCACATTCCACTTCATCCTTCTAACGCAAGTAACCCTAATCCAAATCTCCAGTTTGCTTTATCTTCAAGCTACGATCACAGTCCTAAGAAGAAACGCACCAAAACCGTTGCTTCATCCTCTAGTTCTTCACCAAAGTCCGCATCAAAACCCAAATACACCAAAAAACCAGACCCGAATGCCCCCAAAATCACACGTCCATGTACCGAATGTGGCAGACAGTTTTGGTCTTGGAAAGCTCTCTTTGGTCACATGAGATGTCACCCTGAGCGTCAATGGCGTGGCATTAATCCTCCTCCTAACTACCGTGGCCCCACTACGGCTTCATCAAGACAACTAAACCAGAGATCACCAAATTGGGTCTCATTTATGTCCGAGGAAGACCATGAAGTCGCTTCTTGTCTCTTAATGTTGTCTAATGGTACACCATCATCATCGTGTAGTGAACGGTTTGAGTGTGGAGGATGTAAGAAAGTGTTTGGATCACATCAGGCTTTAGGAGGACACAGAGCGAGTCATAAGAACGTTAAAGGATGTTTCGCTATCACAAACGTAACCGATGATCCTATGACGGTTACTACTTCTAGTGATCAAGATCACAAGGGGAAAATCTTTACGTTTTCGGGGCATCATAAGTGTAATATCTGTTTTAGGGTGTTCCCGAGTGGTCAAGCTTTAGGAGGTCACATGAGATGTCACTGGGAAAGAGAAGAGGAGACGATGATCAGTGGTGCTTTGGATTTGAATGTTCCTGCACCAATACAGGATCTTTCTACTTCGGACACATCAGAGTGTTGTTTAGATCTTAGGTTAGGACTTTAATTAGTATCTATAAATATAATGTCTGTAATTATTTTGGATGTTTGCTTCTAATTAATAGGTCAATGTACATGTTGTGATTTGATGATAAGTATAACGTATCTAGGGTATTGTTGTAGTCCGCTATATATATGCTTAATAAATAAAAATTTTAGTTTTTTCTGCTTTCGAAATGTACTGATTTTCTGTATATTAATTCATTTGAATAAAAAGAAAAAACAAAACTTGAATCAAGAAAGAAAGAAAACTTGTGGTGTACCAAAACGTAAAAGAAAGTCTCAAACATATATCTAACCAAATACTAGATAACAGAATTGATCTCTTAAAACATGAAATTCATAAGCACATATTGAGCCGTTTTATAAAAGTTAAGCCAACTAATAAAACATTTTAATTTCACCGAAGCTTAACTAGTTCATATTATTATAGCAAAATTTCATTGTTTGACTTGATCTAAAACTCACCACGATCTCCAAGACTCCCAACCATTCTATTTTTAATTATTTTCTAAAAACTCCTACCATTCCATCGTACATAGATTAGATCTTATTCCGCTAAAGAATCTTAGTGTTACCTATATCTAAGATAACCTTGTTTTCACCAGCTAGCTTTAACATATACAATTCTTAAATAAAGATTGAATAATCTTAAAAAAATTATTAATCTAAAGTCTAAAGATTCAGATGCATTATAGGTAAACACGCGGAACTAATTACAACATGCACGAACCCTAATCCGAGACAGTTATCAATTAATCTTCTCGAATCTATTAAACAATTATTAAATCAATTGTCCTTCAAACATTTATCAAACAAACTAGTGCGACACACAACCTTCGTGAATATTCAACTACTAACTCTTTTTAATAACAATAATTATCGTTTACAGCGATGCTTGTTAGTATATAAATACATCAAAAACAACAAGAAGAATCTTCTGGTGAGATTTATTAATAATTTCTTTTTATTAAAACACATTATGTAAAATGCAATATTATCAAAACAAAATTCTTTTGCGCATATATCAAAGATGAATCTCCCTAGCTCTTGATTGATTCTACATTTCTACTGGCTCGTGTTAATCACAGGCGCGTGACAAATATATTGTAAAGTTGTTCACGTACATTTTGATTCATTTCATATATATGTCTACATCTACAACATGTTGACAAAATATATATGCATCATAATATTTTTATATGTTTTTGATTTGTTTATATATGTTTTAAAATGGTAGATATGAAGGCTTACGTAAGATGAAGTTGACCCATTTATCTCCTCACACGTTCTTTACATCTCTAATAAGCACTCCATCTATATAAAAAAGGGTGAACTATATATGATCAAATTTAGTTTTTTTAAATGTAGTTTTATCACGACAACTTCGGCTAAATATATCCACTATATATTTTTTTCTTTGAATATTTAATGAGATACTACAACTTGAATACTAGTATATATTATATGATCCAAAAACATTAATTGGGGTGACGTCTTAGGAAAATGTCAGATAGATCCAACAAAAATATATATATGAATGAATTTGACGATTCCTGATTGCTGATGCCTGCCATACGATGTTGTTTTTATTTAAATATATAAAAGCAAAATATAAATTAAAAACTATATAAATTTTTAGTTGACTAAGCATTAAGTAATGTAAACTGAAACTTATTAATCAAATTCAGATCCGTAATTGAAAATAATCAAGCTGATATTAGAAACCAGTCAGTACAACGTACATACATGAGTTAAGTATATATATATATATATATATATATATATATATATATATATATATATATATATATATGCATTATTATTTTGTAGCTAGATTTAATTATGTGGGAAGCACGTCGTGATTCTTTTTAAGAGAGAAAAACATATAAGAACTATTTATATGCATATATTGCACCATAATTAATTAGAATAATCAAAATATATTTAAGTGGATTCTTGAGCGAGATTAATTTATCTTTGAATCCAGGCTTTACACCTAATCAAACTATAATTCTAAAATCAAAAATAGCAAATTGTTAGTATTGAACAATTATCTCATTTAACTTTTAGTGAGATTCCGCAATGGGTGGCGACAAAAATAATAAAATTAATCACTGCTTTCATTTTAAAAAGTCATTAAACGGCAGTGACATCATCTTCCATTATCGCGGGCTTTGCTTCAGAAAAATATTATATCTATATTAGTTTATTTTCATTCAAACAAGATGTGCTTATGAGATAATTAGTAAAGTACAGTAGTTACTTACTTATACAATTAACATTTGCCCTTAGATTTTGCGCCACTTACTAATTATTCTTAGCAATTTTACACTTACATACACATACACATGACGCTCTTGGTTTTGACATTTGTTATAAGGAGGTTTAATCATGTAATTAAAGTGAGAAATTAATATTGTTTCCATAAAAGCGACATGTGTAGGACCTGCTGGTTACAGACAAAGAATTTCAGTGATAGAAATTTCGTGCTATTTTTATATACATAAAAAATAGAGACATATTTCGTGCACGACAATATATCTTGTATGTATACGATATAAAACTGATAAGTTATCAACTTATAACAAACACGGAGGATTCCAACTAAGTATAATGAATCCTTTTTCAAAAAAAAAAAAACAAAACTAAGTATATAATGAAATAAGAGGAAATTAATGGAGACTAAAGTGAGAGGATTATAATGAAATGAAACCATTTGTTTAGTCAGGTCTCATGGACGCGGCGAGTAGGGGATCGGACGATGAAGAAGGGACGATGACTCCTCAAATCCCTGAGAGCCGTTTGATCCTTACTTTTTGGAGCAAAGTGGCTTAACTACTTAACCCATATTTCTCTCATCTCAAAGCCTTGATGACCCTTTGCAAATTATTTTAGATTATTCTATAATTATCCTCTAATTTACTATTTTCAGAATCGATAAATTGAGAAGAAGAACATGTGTGTAAGACCGGATTGGATGATGGATTTGCCGTATAGTTGGACTTGGATCGATAACTTCGTCGGTATTGAAATCCTCAACGTTTCATGTGTTGAAGTCGCACATTAGAAATCAAAATGTAGATCTTCGAAATAACTCAATAACTAAATGTGATATTAAAACATTGATTAATACACCTTTTTACATATATTTTTCTACATTTTTTTTTTTTTTTTTTTTTTTTTTTTTTTTTGTCAACATTTTATTTTTCACATAACTAAAAATGCACTTATTGAAGCATATCGTATATAAATAAATAAGATTAATATACTTTGACGCAAATTTTATTTTATTCATATTTGTGGATAAGTTTGTGGTAAAGTGAAAAAAACTCATCTCATAATTTATCTCTTAAATTTCAGTTTTCTTTAATCCCGAATAGAAGTAGAAACTCTTGAAAAGACAATTCGATTTTGTGTGTCTAGTTAGTTTATCAATCCAAAACTGACACCATTTCATTGAATCTCATGATGAGTTATATATCTTCTTTCATTATGTTATTGTACTTATGCATTCTGAACTAGGTGTAGAGCATCCTCACATCAACGAACTAATTAACTGACACAAAAAGCTATAACAAAGTGCCGAATGGTTTCTAAAACTTTCACTAATCTTTGGTCTACAAAACAAAAAGTCTAACAAATCCAATAAATCGAACATATAAATTCAAATTCATGTTAATTGTTGAACACAATTTATAGTTTAATGAGCAGTCCTCTTTAATCTTTCTCATCAACTACCTACGTACATTTGCGAAAAAGTTTTATATATTTGTGTGTTTTCACTATAAAAGATTTCTTTTAAAGTTTTTAAATAAAATGCTTTCTTCACCACACGAGTATTCTAGCACAATAGCTTTTTAAAAGTTTTACATTTCTTAACACACTCGTTCATATTTGTTTCAACATGATCATATCTTCTTTAATTTTATCTGTACGTACGTGTGTTTGCAATATATGCTTTTCTTCTTCTTTCCAGTAGGAGAATCCAATGCTTAGCTACCGCATAATCAAAGATAATCTAATATCTTTAATTAAAAAGATGGGAATGAATTTCTTGTATTGGATGATTTGAATAATTTCCAAGAAAATCTAATGTTTAAATTATTTGAAAAATAATGTGAAGTATATATACGATAAAGAGTTTAGAATCAACGCACATGATTTTTAGAAATGTTATCAAAATTTTAGGTCTTATAAATTAGAAAACATATGAAAGTGACTTTAATCATCGATGAAATAACTAGAGAAATACGTTTCACATTTAACTTCCAACGTAGATGTGATTACAAGTCACATGCCATTAACTACATCATTAACAAATATCTTTATCATTGTAATATTTTTGAATTTTTTTATATATTTTTACTGTCTTCTGAGATCCATATGAATCTAAATTTAGTAAAAATGTGCGATTTTCAATTCTGTTTTGGTCATTATCCCAACATTTGTTATCTAACGTCAATAATTTAAGTAATTTCTAAATGATTACACTTTATAGCCATCATGAAAAATGGAAAGTACGTATATCATTATAGTTGTTAAAAAAGTTTGCTATGATCAATTAGTGTGAACTTTTATCATAGAAAACAATTCAATTAGGCAATTAGCTACTGAACGAATTATTCAATAATTCGGGAAAAAAAAAAAAAAAGCTATTTCAGTCTCTTCTTCCATGAATCGGACTCACATGGATGCCATTTGAAAGCATGGAATTAACTTTCAAAAAAGCATTAAAGTTTACAATTTTAATGAATATATATAACATAGTTTAAAACCTCTTTTGTACTGAAATCAATACAAAACTCAATCTTAAAGAAGAAGAGCAACTATTGGCTAATTAAAATAGTTAGCATCATATCAATCTATGTGCATACACTCACATGTATATATGTACACAGAGATGTAAAAAACACCATGGCAAATTCTGAAACCAAAAGAAAGATGAATAAAAGAGCAATTAATTATACAAAGGGCGTTTAAGAAAATTTCAAACTTTTAAACAACAATCAATTTAACAAATTAGAAAGAAAAAAAAAAGACTTTAAGAAAACTAGGGCTGAGGTCAGAAAGGGATGATTGTTTTTGTGAGAAGTAAATTAAAGAAAGAATCTTGAAGGTCAAAATAATTAATGAAACCTGTTCAACATGACAGACATTGTCTTCTGCAAAGAATCTTTCTCCCTCTTCTTCTTCCATTGAAACAGATCAAGTTTAACCAATCAAACAGAACAAAGTACACATTTGCTTACGTAATCAATAATTAATTATACCTAATTAATATATTAAAATTTGGAAGAATCTCAAACAAATAGGCCAAAAGACATCACCAACTACATCATTAAGAAGAACAATCATCTCAGCTCTTAAAAAACCATAATTTCTCAACTCTTTCTTTTTTCTTTCTATTTCTCATCTTTCTTTCTTTTGCAGAAGAAAACAGAGAAACAAAAGATCATATTTTATTTTTAATTAATGTAAGTGTGAATTTTAATTAGAAACAGTAGAGAGATCTAATTGGATGGTAATAAAAAGGGTCCACTTTGTTCTTGGGGAAAGATTCTGCACGCCCACATGGTGAGATTAAAATAGACTAATATTACCCTTCATCACCTACTTGTGTCCAGAGAAAAAAAGAGAAAGAGAAAAAAAAGAACTTGTGGTGATGATAGTATCATCTATTTGAGAGCTAAAGAATTTTTCCTTAAGCTTTTTTCTTTTTTGTTCAGAATCTTTTCATCATTTATGTGTTTGTGTACCAATAAACAGAAACCAAACAAACAAACCTCTTATAACTGAAAAACAGAGCAAAACTAAATCTTTTTGTTTTTCTGTCAGTTAACTTACTTCTTCTGAGTGTTTGAAACCCAAAGTCAATTCTTTTTTCTGAAATTCTCTCTACTTGCTCAAGGAATCTTGATAAAGTAAGTAACTTTTTTTGTGGGTTTTCTAGTTACTAACTATTTCTGGGTTTTTGGATACTTGTTGTGTTATGGAGCATCAGAAGATTTTTTTGTTCTTTGGAAACTGATGTCATGAAGCATCAGATTCTTAATTTATAATTCCATTATCTTTTTATTTATTTTTTCTTCTTGTGTGTGGCATTTATTGTCTACTGGAAATTTTTTCTATGAATTGTCTTTTAAGGGCTCAATAATTGGCCCTCTTGGAGTTTCCATGTCCATTGGGGAATATTGTACTTGAGAAGCTGATGTTAGTACTTGATGAATCCTTCTTACAAGTCAACTCTCTCTAGCTTTTATATATTTATAGCCTCTCTCTATATATGATGATTTCACCATCTCTCTTCAATTCTATTATATACATGTTTGAAATGCACTTTTGATCTTCCAGTTGACAAAGACTGAGTTTTTGCTCTTATCTTGTTTCTTCTCCTTCTCTTGTTCTTGTTTGGTTTCTTAATCATGTTTCTGCAACCTTTGCAGATCGGTTATGTAGACAACGACGAAAGGAACCTTAAGGGGACCTCAAAGACGCTTGGTCTTGCTGGTTCTTGAAGTACTTCAACATCAAAGAACAAGTCACTGAATAATTTGATTGGTAGGCTTTGGTGGATACAAGAGAAAGAGATTGTTTTGATATGGAAGGTGGTCGTGGTGGTGGAGATGGCAATTTCTTACCCAACTCTAACTTTGGTGCATTCTCTGAGTCGGCTATGGATATGGATTTCATGGATGAACTCTTCTTTGATGGATGTTGGCTTGAGACAACAGATGGTAAGAGCTTCAAGCAGACCATGGGACAACCAGTTTCTGATTCTACCATCATGAATGATAACAACAACAACTCCAACAACAACAACTCTTACCTTTACGGTTATCAATATGCTGAGAACCTTTCACAAGATCATATATCAAATGAAGAAACAGGGAGAAAGTTTCCTCCAATAACACCGAGCTTTCTCAAGATCGAGGATCTCTCCAATCAGCCGATGAATCAAGTACCTTTTGACCAGTCTGCAGTTATGAGTTCTGCGCAAGCAGAGAAGTTTCTCCTTGAAGAATCTGAGGGAGGAAGAAGATATTGGATTGCTCCAAGAACAAGCCAAGGTCCTTCTTCATCAGTGAAAGATAGATTAGTACAAGCTATAAAGGGTCTTAACGAGGAGGTGCAAGATAAAGACTTCCTCATACAGATATGGCTACCAATTCAACAAGAAGGCAAGAACTTTCTCACAACTTCGGAGCAGCCACACTTCTTTAACCCGAAATACTCGAGTCTTAAAAGATACAGAGATGTTTCAGTGGCTTATAATTTCCTGGCTGATGAGGATTCTAAAGAGTCTGTGGGTCTCCCCGGTCGTGTTTTTCTTGGGAAATTACCTGAGTGGACACCTGATGTGCGGTTCTTTAGAAGCGAAGAGTATCCGCGAATCAAAGAAGCAGAGAAATGTGATGTTCGTGGATCATTAGCCCTTCCTGTGTTTGAAAGAGGTAGTGGTACTTGTTTGGGTGTTGTTGAGATTGTTACAACAACTCAGAAGATGAACTACAGGCCAGAGCTTGATAATATTTGTAAAGCTCTCGAGGTTTTTCTCTTCCCTTGATTTCTCTAAACCATCCAGTTGCATGTTTAACCAATAACACTTAACTAAGTTAGATTCTTCAATGGGAAGTTTTGGTTGTGTATTGTAGCCTAAAGAGGGTTTTTTTTTTTTGCAGTCTGTTAATCTAAGGAGTTCAAGAAGCTTGAATCCTCCAAGCAGAGAGGTGTGTCAAAATGGTCTCATAAACCAAACCCTTACTTCATCAATACATAGAAACAATGACTTTATGTTTCTAAATGTCATTATGCCCTTTTGTTTCAGTTTCTGCAGGTCTATAATGAATTCTACTATGCTGCATTACCTGAGGTATCAGAGTTTTTGACATTGGTCTGCAGATTATATGACCTGCCTCTGGCTTTAACGTGGGCACCGTGTGCTCGGCAAGGCAAAGTTGGATCCCGCCATTCTGATGAGAACTTCTCTGAGTGTGTTTCAACTGTAGATGATGCTTGCATTGTCCCTGATCATCAGAGTCGTCATTTTCTAGAGGCATGTTCTGAACACCATCTGCTTCAAGGGGAAGGCATTGTGGGAAAAGCATTCAAGGCAACCAAACTGTTTTTCGTGCCCGAAGTAACCACTTTTAGCAAGACCAACTACCCTCTTGCACACCATGCTAAGATCTCCGGTCTACATGCTGCTCTAGCAGTCCCGTTGAAAAACAAATTCAATAGTTCGGTTGAGTTTGTGTTGGAGTTTTTCTTTCCAAAAGCTTGCCTTGACACCGAAGCGCAACAAGAAATGCTCAAGTCACTGTCTGCGACCCTTCAGCAGGATTTCAGGAGCTTAAATCTTTTCATTGATAAAGAGCTTGAGCTAGAAGTTGTATTTCCCGTTAGAGAGGAAGTAGTTTTTGCAGAGAATCCACTTCTTAACGCAGGAACCGGAGAGGATATGAAACCTTTGCCTTTGGAAGATATTTCTCAGGAAGATTCTTCATGGATCTCCCACATGATAAAGGCAAATGAGAAAGGTAAAGGCGTGTCACTTTCTTGGGAGTACCAAAAAGAAGAGCCAAAAGAAGAGTTTATGCTTACATCTGGATGGGATAACAATCAGATTGGATCAGGCCACAATAACTTTCTTTCAGAAGCTGAGCAGTTTCAGAAGGTGTCAAATTCAGGACTCAGAATCGACATGGATCCAAGTTTTGAATCAACTTCCTTTGGTGTGGGGCAGACATTACTAGGCAGTAGAAGACCAGGTGAGAAGAGAAGAACAAAAACAGAAAAGACAATTGGTTTAGAAGTTCTTCGACAATACTTTGCAGGAAGCCTCAAAGATGCAGCCAAGAGCATTGGTGGTAAGAACACTTCTTGTTATAATGTCTATCTTATAAACTTCTCAGACAGTGATGATTCAAACAGTTTCATTCTTATGTTGCAGTCTGTCCAACTACCTTGAAAAGAATATGCAGACAACACGGGATAACACGGTGGCCTTCTCGGAAGATCAAGAAAGTGGGGCATTCATTAAAGAAACTCCAACTTGTTATAGACTCTGTTCAAGGTGTTCAAGGCTCTATCCAACTTGATTCATTCTACACAAGTTTCCCAGAATTAAGCTCCCCACATATGTCTGGTACTGGCACTTCCTTCAAGAATACAGACCAGTCAAGGAATCTAAATGCTCAAACCGAGAATGGTGTTTCAGTACAGGGGACTGCTGCAGCTCCAAAGTCACCACCATCATCTTCTTGTAGCCACAGCTCTGGATCAAGCACATGTTGCTCAACTGGAGCTAATCAAAGCACCAACACCGGAAATACCTCAAATACTGTAACCACTCTGATGGCTGAAAATGCTAGCGCGATCTTGAAGAGAGCTCGTAGCGAGGTGAGACTGCATACCATGAATCAAGATGAAACAAAGTCCCTGTCTAGAACCCAGAGCCACAAAACATTCAGTGAACATCCTCTTTTCGAAAATCCACCTCGGTTACCGGAGAATAGTAGCAGGAAGTTGAAAGCTGGAGGGGCCTCAAAAGTGAAAGCCACATTTGGTGAGGCCAAAGTACGGTTTACTTTGCTCCCTACATGGGGCTTCAGAGAGTTGCAGCATGAAATTGCTAGGCGTTTTAACATAGATAATATTGCACCCTTTGATCTAAAGTACCTGGATGATGACAAGGAATGGGTTCTTCTGACATGTGAAGCGGATCTCGAGGAATGTATCGACATTTATAGATCATCACAGAGCCGCACGATCAAGATAAGCGTTCATGAAGCTTCTCAAGTCAAGCTGGGAGGTTCTTTTGGTAGCATCGGTCTTGGTCCTTCGTTATAAGCAATCAGGTAAAAGGTTGTCACCTGCAAGAAAAGAGCAGGAGATTCGACTAATTTACTAGTGTGTTAGAAAAATATTACTCACCATTTGATAGCAATAGGGCATCTCGTTTGTAAACATATTTTCAGTGCCCCCATTTTGCAAGCAGCAAGTAGTGGACTGGTTTCCTGCATCGGCTTAGCAGATTTTTTGTATAATAAGGCGATGCGTATACCAGAAACATGCTTATATGTATGTATTTTTATTGTCTGTACATCATTTGTCATCTGGATTCTACTAAGCTCTGCAAGTATGTTAAATTGATATTATCTTCTACATCTTCACTTGCATTTGTTTTCTTACCTTACTATTCATGAAAATCATTTGTCTTGCCAAAGGCCAAAGGGCGAATCTTCTTCCTAAACAGAGAGTATCTCTGTTATATCTTCAAACCCTTGTGTTAAGGAAACAAGTAAGCCTGCAGACAAAAAGGTTCTCGTTTTGGTTTGTTCTCGTTCTTTCTGATTCAGTGAGTGACAAAGGAAGATATTGATCCTGAACCTATCATTGCCACCTAAACTTCAAAGACAGGAGAAAACAACATGGAAAGCAATCATAAATAAAGAAAACTGTGTCAAGAGAATTACTCTAAGTAACTGATTATAACATTTGGTTCTAAAAATCAGGATGACGAAAGAAGTTGATAGACATAACTATGCTTCGAACCTCTTAACATTGCAAATCTCCGATTCTACGTCTTCTTTCACCAAAGCCTTGATGAAATTCCAGGGTGCAAGTGATGATTTTGCAAATACTCTGCCTGGTAAATAAATTTGCGGCAATTTTGTAAATATTAGAACTGAAAATAAGCAAATTAATTACGGGGTGAATGTTAAAACGTTTTAATATTTGGGGGGCAAATATATAGATATCTGAATTGACGATTCTGCAAATATGCCTGATTATCAAATTGTTTTATGGAAATATTTTAATTATATGAAGATTTCGGGGCGAATTGTGTAAATACCTAAAATTTAACAATAAACGCTTTTCGTCCGCCTCCAGCTCCCAAAGGCCAAAAGGGCGATTCTTCTTCTTCTCTTTCGATCAAATCTTTTTCAGATTCAAACCCCAAAATTGCAGAGCAAAAATGTCTCGCAGATCGCTAACTCTCCTCAAGAATCTAGCTAGAAACGCGAACGGATCAGGTTTTCAAACCCGATCCGTGACTTACATGCCTAGACCCGGTGACGGAGCACCACGCGCAGTAACGCTGATTCCAGGAGATGGAATTGGCCCTCTGGTGACGAACGCCGTGGAACAGGTGATGGAAGCGATGCACGCGCCGATCTTCTTCGAGAAGTACGATGTTCACGGAGAAATGAGCCGTGTGCCGCCGGAAGTGATGGAGTCGATAAGGAAGAATAAGGTTTGTTTGAAAGGTGGGCTTAAGACTCCTGTTGGTGGTGGTGTTAGTTCTCTTAACGTCCAGCTTAGGAAAGAGCTTGACCTCTTTGCGTCTCTGGTCAACTGTTTTAATTTGCCTGGTTTACCTACTCGCCATGAAAATGTTGACATCGTTGTCATCAGAGAGAACACTGAAGGTGAATATGCGGGGCTTGAGCATGAGGTTGTTCCTGGTGTCGTTGAGAGCCTTAAGGTGAGAATTTTGATTTTGGATTCTGGCCTTCTGATATGGGTTTTAGTGTGATTTCAATCTGAATTTTGTGGTATCTTAGCTTAGAGAGAAGGGTTTTATGATAACTTTTGTAGATGGAATCAAGTTTAGATTGATCTGACATGAGCTTGTTAGTGTGGTTTCTCATCAGCTTGTTGCTTATCACTATTGTGTTGGTATACTTTTCGTGTATATTTGCAGATGCAATTTGCTTATCATTTTCGTTTGCAAGTGGTCTTTTTATGTTATGTGTGCTTGTTCTGATCCTATTTCTCTGCTAGGTGATCACGAAGTTCTGTTCCGAGCGTATTGCCAAGTATGCTTTTGAGTATGCCTACCTGAACAACAGGAAGAAAGTTACAGCGGTGCATAAGGCTAACATCATGAAACTTGCGGACGGTTTGTTCTTGGAATCTTGTCGGGAGGTTGCTAAAAAGTATCCGAGCATCACCTACAATGAAATCATTGTTGATAACTGCTGTATGCAACTTGTAGCGAAACCAGAGCAATTCGATGTCATGGTATGTTTCAGAGTTATATACATATGAACTTTCGCATCTATCCATTGGCAATTCATGACAATCTCTAATTCTTCGATATTTTACTTAAAGATAAAGATACATGTCATCTCTCACTAGTTAAGTATCTCTGTTGATTGCCTGTTTTAGGGTCATATTATCTTATTGGTATGAAACTGATGTTGCGTTGCCATATACTAGTTAATCGCCCCATTTAAATATTGGTATGTGACGGGTGATGTGTTGCCACATACTAATTAAACTCATCATTTGCATATCAGGAAAGGGAATTTTTTAAATTGTACTTCTGTGGCCTTGTCTTTGTATTTTTACTACTTTGCCTCTGCTGAAGATAACTTGAGGACAAAGCTACATGTATCTAGCATGGAATTCTCAGTTAATCAAACAACCTGTTTCTTTATTTATATTGCCTTAGTTTGCTAGTATTGCCACCACTATATCGCTTCTGGCTCTTTGTTTTATGATTCATATAAATATGTTATGTTCTCTCTCATTACTTTATGTGCTAGCTTCCTTTGGCTTTTTTTCCCATTTTATAACGGCAATTTATAAAATGTTTTGCAGGTAACGCCCAATCTCTATGGGAATTTAGTTGCAAACACTGCTGCTGGTATTGCTGGAGGCACAGGAGTCATGCCTGGAGGTAAAGAAACATCCTCTATTGATCATCTCATTACACACTCTCGAGCTATATACATTATTAGATAAATAATGATTCTAAAATTTATATATCTGCGACATTAAATACAAAAACAGGAAATGTTGGGGCTGACCATGCGGTATTCGAGCAAGGTGCATCAGCAGGAAATGTTGGGAAAGATAAGATAGTATTGGAAAACAAAGCAAACCCAGTGGCATTGCTTCTCTCATCAGCGATGATGCTAAGACACCTTCAGTTTCCTTCATTTGCTGACCGGCTTGAAACAGCAGTGAAGAAAGTCATCGCTGAAGGAAAGTGCCGGACGAAAGATCTTGGTGGCACAAGCACGACTCAAGAGGTCGTTGATGCGGTCATTGCAAAATTAGACTGACTTTGACAAATTACGTGTTCGTTCCCTCTCTGCTACAGATTTTGTGTTGCCAAAATATGGGGTATGACCCAAGCACAACGGTTATCTGGTTTTGTACCTCGAGTTTTATTATATTCTTTAACCGTCGAAATATTTCGATAAGAAAAAAAAACATGTTCCAAATAATTCATGTTGCTACGTTTGTTGGCGGCTTTTGTCATTGCAAAGTTTCTAAATTATTCGTGGAATATGCAAACTTTGACGGAATTTTAATTCCAAGAAGATGAATGAAAAGTTGATGGTATCGTACTGCCAAAGTCTTCAATTGTGTAAGAATGTGAAAACATGCAATTTTCTAAAAACACTTGATGAAACCAACTGATTAAGCGGTAAGACAAATAAGAAAGGGCCTAGGCAACAGGCCCATTAGTAATAAATAGGCCCAACTTGATCCAACGACTTAGGTAGGAAGAGCGAGGCAGAATCCAATTCCTTCTTGATTTTCCCCAATTCGAGGAGGACTGAAAACCCTAGAATTCATAAAATTAGACGAGGAAAAGAAGATGATGCGGTTCGTAGGCAACAATGTTGCTAAGGTAATCTCGAAAAATATTGTCTTTGTGTTGTTTGTCTCAAAAATCTTGTCGCCGTTGTTGGTCATTGAAATTGAAGGAACCAATTTGCAGATTTGTCGGTTGCAGAATCGTAATATTTCATCTGCCAGTAAGACAGGTCTCAGTTATATTTGCATAGCAATATCTTTGCTTCGATCAAATTTTGTATTTGTTGAAATCTCTGATAGTTTTTGCTTCAATCAAATTTATAGCTGTGACTGCCACCATTGACGATGCCCCTAAATATTTGTGTAGAGCTGTGGTATGTGGTATTGGATATATGATCGGTATGTAATCCGCAATCTTTTTTTTCTTTCTGCTTTAGAAAGTTGGAACTATCTTCGTTTAACATGTTCTTTTGGTCTACTAATTCAGGTGGTTGGGTATCAGCACCCGCCTCAAAGTTTCTTCAGGAAACTGAAGAGGTAAAAAAAAATAATGGCACTGGATTTTGCAATCTAAACAAACCTTTGTTGTTTTGTTTATACCATTCCTTTTCTTCTCTTTGTTTCAGGCGCAACTCCGAATCAAGCGATTGTTGGATAAACACGAAGCCGGATTTGAGGCACCCATGAAATGATATTTTATGTAGGAGTCTAAAAAACAAATATGATTGGATTTTGCTACTTTACGATAATTATTAGTAAATGCAAATATTCAATCACGTTGATATTCAAATGCTGATTGCATAAGTACGGTTTCGACTTTAATTGGAAAACAAACCATTACCCCAAAAAAAAAAAAAAAAAACTATAGATATAGTTAAATAACTAGTAAATAAAATTATATATAAAGTAGCTCGAACCAAGTTCGTAAAGGATTTAAAAACGCTGATTGAGTTTGTTAATGCTGTGATGCAACTTATTATAGCAAGAACAAACAAACCTATTTCTATTTATCTCTAATTTTTGCTATGTAAAGTTTAAATTATTTTTATTTTCATTTTTCTTTTGTACAAATATGTAAAACTTAAATTAATGGAACAATTAAGAAACTGTGGAATCATGCCTACAAAATTTGCCTAATCTCATCATGTGGTGTATAACGGTATACTGTATAGTCTGTTAATATATATATAGTATGTTTAATCAAGAGTTGTGTGTGGCCTTGCAGGACAAGGACAACAAATGCTCGAGGATGGGGAACATTTATTTAATTATCGTTAACCCCGAAAAAAGTTACTGTAGGCAGTAACAGCTATGTGAATGGAGAAGATTTCGATTCTGTTCATCAAATCATTACACATTCAAGAGAAAAAATAGAGATGCGTGTCCCTTAACATCAGAAAGAGAAATATAGGGCAAATCATTACTTTTTTTTTCCCCCAACAATCTATGTATATGTGTTCAAGATATAGCAGAACTAGTGAAGTATCCAACTATTCTCGAAAAATAGTATCATAACTAATTAAACTAGTATTCAAATATTCTTTATAAAAATCATTGATCACTTCAACAAAGTGGGATAAAGTGAGTAAATTTGAAAATGTCAGTGTCTTTCCATATGAAAAATGTTTTTAGTTATCAAAAGTAAATAAAACATAAGTAAGTTTTCAAATTCTTAATATCGATAGGGTATTCTTCTTACAATAAAACTCCTGATTCATTCTATATAAATAAAAAAATCTGAAGGCATCCATTGATTCAGCTAGAATCAAGATTTTAGAATGCATATTAAACTATATAATATTCCGGTAATAATTTCATGGTACAAGTGTGTGTGTATAAATAACGAATTTAAGAGTGACATGTAAGGTGGTTTGTTTAGGTTTAGGTAGCTAACGTATATCATCATTAACATAAAGGAAAAGAAGAAGCGAAGGAAGATATGATTAAAGAATGCAAAAAGATTTGCATACATTTCGAGATAGTATCGAGACTACTTAGAGCAACATTATCAATGGTCTCTTACAACTCTTAAGTTAAGAAATATGTCTTATAACTAAAAAGTGTCTCTTAAAGTCTCTTAACTAAGAGATTTTTGTTAGTTATAAGACATATTTCTTAACTTAAGAGTTGTCTTAAGAGACCATCAATAAAGATGATCTTAGTGCACAAACTTAAGACCAGTTTCAAAGTTGGCACTGTACCCAACATTTTGGACAAAACCATAAGCTCTTTAATTACAAAACGAGTTGCAAACTGTTTTCAAGATTGAAAAGGGGAAGATCAAGCACCTCACCACCACTTGTTGGATTTCCTTTGGAGTGCTTCCCACATCTTCTTCATCTCTTCGTCGACTTTGGCAACAACTTTTTGGATGGATTCTTCATTGGAAGCAGAAACCTCCTTCAACGCCTTGTCCATGGCTTGTTTACTATTCATGATAGCCTCCTTCAACGCCTCCTCCAACGTAAATGATACGAATCCGGTGATACCTAAAATATTTAAATAATTAAAAAATTGCAAAGAAGATCTCATAATAATAAAATATAACTGAAAGATGGATGTTTGTTGTTGCATTTGGTTCTTGTACATGATATGTACTAACCTACAAAATGACATAGAAGAAGTATATAGACGTAAGGAACTTGACATTTCAAGATTATACACTTACCTTCACCTATTTCATCAGGTAATTAGTGAGATGTATCATCACATTGACGTTAAACACATACAACGACTTCAAAGTTCGAGAAAAAATCGATGCACTTGAGAATTTGTTTTACAGTACTCTTAAAATTAACAACATGACAAAATTGATAGATGTTGGTGGTCGCATGTTTGGAATAATGTGTTTTTAGAAATATATTTTTTTCTAAATCTAATGAAGTTTTAATTTAACAAAATATACAATATATGACATTTGCATTAATCGAATTTGATAATAATAATAAAAAAAAAAAGTAGTCCTCACATAGTTATTTAAAAATTTTGTCCCAAATATTTTATTAATCTTTTCGAAATATTTATGAATAACAGTTAACTAAAATATCTATTCTTAAAATATTTTATTATACTATACTCCGAACAGAATTAGAATTATGAAAATCCTAACATTTGAAATTAGGAGTAGCCTTCTCATATACATTCGTAACATTTGAAAATCCAGCTAAAAAACTATACCCGAACAGAATTGAAATTTTGAGCCCAAGCCCGGCCCGTAGGTATTATAGAAAATCCAGTTTTGTGTGGTCTTAGGCGGATCTTAGTAAACCGGAGACAATTCCGGCAACAGGCCCATCAATAAAACAGGCCCATATCGATCGAATGGAATCTTAAGTAAGATAAATAGGAGGAAGCGAAGCGAGGACAAAATCATCCTCAATTCGACAGAGAATTCGACGATGATGCGGTTCCTAGGAAACACCGTTGCTAAGGTAATTTGAGAGAGATCCTTGTCTAATTTTTTTTTATCCATTTGTGGCTGTTCAGTGAAATTGATGGAACAAATTTGCAGTCTTGTCGCAAGGGGAGGTTGCAGAATCGTGATTTTTCATCCGCCGCCAGTGAGAATTTGCATTGTCCTTTGGATCAAAATTTGTATTCTCGTTCATATATCTGATACTTTTGCTTCAATTAAATTGTGTAGATGTGACTAGCACAACCACCATTAGCAAGAAAATTGTTGAATATTGCTTTAAAGGGGCCTTTTGTGGTGTTGGATACGTGTTCGGTATGTATTGATCTGTAGGATTTTGTTTTAAAGAGTTGTAACAGTCTTCTACTTCTTCTTCTTGTAACAATGTTCGTTTTGGTTCTTTAGGTGGTCTGACATCAACCGGCAAGTCAAAGAACCTTCAGTTCCATGAAGAGGTAGATAAAAAAAGAAAGATAGCATTTGGGTTTTGTAGCATCATCTATATTCCTATTCATTCATATGATTCTTCTTCTCATGTTTCAGATGCTGGTTTCCCAGATGGAAGGCATAGAGTACTTGAAGGCATCATTGGTAAAGAAATAGTTGTCAGATTTGAGTTGTGTCCAACTTTGTGTAATGTACGAACTCCCATTGTCTTTTGATTAATGATTTAGCCCGATGTAGAAAACCAGTCCTCTACAGCTGCTCACAGGCTCTCATATAATTACAAAATAAGGGCACCGAAAATAAAATACACAGTCGCCTCCTAGGCACGTAAACTAAGTCTTGTATCCATCCCAAGGAACCTTTTGAGACCCGCTCGAAGGGATATCATGTATCTGACCATGTGAGAAGTAAATAAAGTGGATCTCATGAATGTTGGACCAATGCAGAAGAGTGTCATGCTAAGTTGCTTAGTATATAATGCTTTCTCTGATAAAAACCCAAAAGAAGAGTATTTTTATTACCTCTCTGCAAACTCAATCACTGTTTCACCAGGCCTTATGGTATGCGGTTCCAAGTACCACAACTACACACACAACATCCCATGATGTCATGAGTTGCAGCAACTGCATAGTGAACGATTGTTCTGCAAAGAGCATGCAAGACCTTTTGTTACCAAGGCCTTAAACATTTTGCTGTCGTTCCACTAAAAGAAAACATGTTTAAATAACAAGTATGCAACATAAAAGTAAAACAACAGTCATATAATTAGTAAGAAATGCTTCTCTCTCTTTTTCAGAAATGTCAAAATTGTCTGTCCAGGCTGATATGGAAGTCTTCAAGAGAATACCATTACATAACCCAAATACATAAGTCCAAATAAACAGGTAGGTAATTTAATAAACTTAAAGCAACATTGGGCACTAGTACAACAAAAGAGTAAAAGAATATTGAAATTGCCGGTTGCTCAAGAAGTAGAATCCTGGTTGAGAAGTTCCCTCAATTTATCCTTTCTTTCCTGAAACATGACCAGTAAAACTAATGGTCAATGCCCAGGGAACAATAAAAGAAGAAGAAGAAGAGACAAGTCCTATGAGCATCAAACTTTCCTTACCTTCTCAAATTGGATAGCTAGAACCTTTAGTTCTTCTCCACTCTTGATGGCCTCGTCGTACATTCTGTCTATTTTGTGCCAATGCTCTCTTCTCTTGTAAAGATCTGAGAAACATCAAAACTTTGATTGATCAATCTATATTTCAAACGAATTATCAAAATCCACCCATGAATTCTCAAAAGACCATACTTAGAAAAACGTGGCCAAAATATCCACCAAGAAATGCTCCACAAAGACCCAAGCTTTTCTGCTCCCTCCACGCTTTCTTGACGCTCAAGGACAATTGGGAAGAGGCTAGGGTTGAAAACGCTCTTCCAAAGTACTACAACAAATCTCGACACAAACTATACAATCACCACATAGCGAAATCCGAGAGAAGTTTTCGGATGAACGAACAATTTTTTTGCTTGCTTACCTTTGCGAAAATCGTCCGATTCATCGTCTTCTTGCTCCTGACTCGGTGATTTAGGTTTTTCACATTAGTAAATGTGATCAAGTACCGTCACAATAGTAAATTAAAAATTCATAAGAATTGTGGGCCCGTAAGAGTTTTGAGCCCAAATCCGACCCGAAACAATATACAAGTGACCCAAGTGATATAAAAGTTTTCTTAATGGAAAAATAATATTGATTAATTCCGTGGCAACAAATGAAAGCCAATCCGGTTTCAAGACCCGAGCTGACGTGGCCAAACTCACATCAACTAACTGTCGTCTCTCTTTCTATCTCTCTCCCTCACAAGTCTCTCTCTCTCTTCTCCTTCAACTGGTGATGGCTGCTCTCAGGCTACCCACTCAGCTTGTTACACGTGGCACTCTCAACCACCATAATTCCTCTCCTTCCTCAGCCACCGCCGCCTCCTCCGGACGTCTCTCTTGGCGACGTTCTCTCAAACCGGAAAATTCAATCCCGCTCTTCCCATCATCCTCATCCTCATCCCTTAACCGGGAACGATCAATAGTAGTTCCGGTTACATGCAGTGCGGCAGCGGTTAATCTTGCTCCGGGGACACCAGTCCGACCCACGAGCATCTTGGTGGTTGGAGCCACTGGAACTTTGGGAAGACAAATCGTCCGGAGAGCTTTAGATGAAGGTTATGATGTTAGGTGTTTGGTCAGACCAAGACCAGCTCCCGCCGATTTCCTTCGTGATTGGGGCGCCACCGTCGTCAATGTACGTATTCACATCTTCTTTTTTAAGTTTACAAAAGTCTTTTGATTTGTCCAAGAGAGAACTAAACCGGAGTTTTGTGTCGTGTAGGCGGATCTTAGTAAACCAGAGACCATTCCAGCGACTTTGGTCGGAATTCACACTGTAATTGATTGTGCCACGGGACGTCCTGAAGAACCCATCAAGACGGTAAGCTTCTAAATTGTTAAAGATTCAATTTTTGATTTGTGAATTTAGCCTAGTGAGACTTATTAACGTTTGAGACTGGCTTGTGTGTGTAATACTCACTTTCATGCCTTTGCTTGTACGTTTGAGTGTTGGATTTAGGGTTCCAATGTGATTGAAAGTTATGTGTGTTCGGTTTAGGTAGATTGGGAAGGAAAAGTTGCTCTGATACAATGTGCAAAGGCAATGGGGATTCAGAAATACGTCTTTTACTCAATCCACAATTGTGACAAGCATCCGGAGGTTCCTCTCATGGAGATTAAGTATTGTACTGAGAAGTTTCTTCAGGAATCTGGTTTAAACCACATCACCATCCGGTTATGCGGTTTCATGCAAGTAAGCCTCATTCCCCTCAACTTATGCATCTAGTTGTCCCTGGAATTGAGTACATGAGGTTGAATGTGGTAATGGCTGATTCTTGTCTAATTCAGAGTTTACTATGTCTGTGCAGGGTCTTATTGGTCAATATGCAGTTCCAATTTTGGAGGAAAAATCGGTTTGGGGAACAGATGCACCAACGCGTATTGCTTACATGGACACACAGGTGAGTAAACAAATGTAGTTGTACTTCATTTCTTTGTGTAAAATATGGATGAAGCACACAACATGATTTAACATGTTCCTCATGCTATAACAGGATATTGCTAGGCTAACACTTATAGCTTTACGCAATGATAAGATCAACGGAAAACTTCTGACATTCGCTGGCCCTCGTGCATGGACAACCCAGGAAGTAAGAAGGGATATGGTTACCGCTCTTTTATATGAACTGAATTGAGAAATGTTACTAAAGCATAACCTTTTTGGCTACCCTTTTGTGTCCAAAACATGTCAGGTAATAACACTATGTGAGAGACTTGCTGGGCAAGATGCAAATGTCACAACCGTTCCAGTTTCTGTATTGAGAGTCACCCGTCAGATAACTCGGTTTTTCCAGTGGACAAATGATGTCGCAGATAGACTGGCCTTCTCAGAGGTACGTAAAATTTGGCCTTTATCACCAAACAATGATGCTTTTCTTTCATAGTAGCTTTTCAGATCAACTGAAATCATGCTTCTAACATCTACGAGACATTTTAGGTTCTTTCGAGTGACACGGTCTTCTCTGTTCCGATGACTGAGACTAATAGTCTACTAGGTGTGGATCAGAAGGACATGGTGACTCTTGAAAAGTACTTGCAGGATTACTTCAGCAACATATTGAAGAAACTAAAGGGGCTAAAGGCACAATCCAAGCAATCAGACATCTACTTCTGAGTTCTGACCTTGTGGTCTCTTGATAAGATTCAACACTATTTACCAAGACCCTTTGCATCCATACCGTGAGCTCCATTGTTTCAATGTTCTTCAATGGCTACTGTGCTTCTTCTTGTAATTAAAGAGAATTATAATGTAAATGTACCTTGAGCTGTCCAAAGATAATGAGATTCCTCTGTTTAACTTTTGTTAGAAGCTAGGGCTGTGAGCTTCTTGTTACTATTTTTTCTTCCTCTTAAAGTCTTCTAAATTATTGGTTCTTGTTAATACTCCTGAATAAAAGTGAGAAAACTTTTGGCAAATGAATAGTAAGCTGAAATAAATGCAAGTGTTAGTCTCAATGTAACTTGAGAACCTAACAAGTGGAACAAGCTCATTCATTATGTATGGTTGAAATTTGCTACCACTTTTTTAAGAATCTAAAAATTGCACCAAAATCCCTAAGTCCGGGAGTCTATTACTACTAGTTACTACTTACTACCCATTTAATTTAAGAATCCATTATGCCTATAAAAAATGATCCATTGGATATCAACTTCTTATCTCGACCAGCAAATTCACTTTTAAGATCAGAAGTAATAAGTGTTTACAAAAGGTGTTTTGAGTTGTTAAATCAGTATCTTAAATAAAATGTTAGACCTATTATCAATATCACTACATTATCATTTATCAACACTAAAATCTTTTTCTCTGCCCGAATATTATTTCGATCTAACTAATATCGTGTTAGTTTATAAAAACAGCAGTTAGTAGATACACACTAAGGTAAATAATACACTGGAATGCTACGATCATGTTTAATAAATCAAAATCTGAAAAGGAACTATAGAGAGGGAAAATTTGGAATCTAATCATAGGGTTAGGTCGTTGATTATCATTTAGGTTGTCTTTTCTATGTCTTTTCGTATAATATTTTCATTGATTTTATTCCACTGATGTAGTACTAGTGAGAGAAGAACTAACATGAAACCTCGAAACCACATTCACATTCTGTGTTCTCCCCTAATTGTTCTGGCCTACCTCGACAGCGACCCCGATACTTAGCCAAAGATAAACGGTCCGTTTTATATATAAATACTAGTTACATTTTTATACACGTTTTTTTTTTTTTTTTAACAGACATTTTTATATACACGTTATTTTCTATAAAATACAAAAATTTAGAATATAGATAAATTAATAAATCAAATATGATTTTACTATACGTTAGCTAAAAACTAAGTCCACATAGAGCAAAAAAAATCTAGGCATGCATTATCACTAATGCCAAATTGCCAAAGGTACGTTTGTTCTGTTTAGAACTTTTCAGATCTTTTTGTTTTGTAACTTTTGTTTCTCAACTTGAAAGTCGAACGTAGGAGGAAAAACAATTTCAATAATAGAGGAGAAATAAAATAAAATAAATAAACATAGACACATGGAAATATATAAGTGGCATGATGAGCCAAGTGATTTCCAACTACAAACTCTAGTGGCAGAGAAAGAAGATAAAATCCAATGAATGCTCTTCACAATCAGATCAGACCAGTCTTTATTTTTTCTTTAATATATATAC